ATCATTTTCTGTGAACAAAATTCGGATTACTAAAGGTGTTCTTTGGCTGGAAAAAATCAGCCTTTCAATTTTCAAATTTCAAATGGTTGGTTATTTTCACACAGAACTAGCCTTATATTTTACTTCGATACTTTGACTTCAGATCTTCTCAAAACATTAACAAATTTTGGACCATGGCTCCTTGTATAGCAGTGTGGATGCAATTTTGGTGCATTGATTTGGGTACATGTAATGTGAGTAACCAAAAGATCAAGTCTTTGACATTGCTGCTGAATGAAATTGATTCTGTCTTTGCCATTTCATATTTTACTTCTTCCCTTAGTAACAACTTTTGAATTGATATAAAAAGAAATGAAAATGATACCAAGCATGATGTCATCAGGATAAAATTTAAATGTGAGTAACCGGTAATGCGAGTAACCACTGTAATGCGAGTAACCATATAACTTTCCATGATGATAATGAATAAAATTTATGACTTTTGATCACTGATTTACTGGTTTTTTTTATAAGAAGAAATAATGTATTTAAAGCCCCTTGAAAATGTAAATTGATGCAGACTAGGATTTGTGGTACACATGTCTGAACAGTATTAGAATTCATAGGGCCTACATCAAAAGTTGCTCATAATTTGCATAAAATCACATTGTGTACAATCAATCTAATGTTGATTTACAAGCAGTTAGAGCAAATTTGAGAGTTGATGAGGGAATGTTATCAGTAAATATGCATAAATGACATTTTTAGAGTTATTATATTGTCATGTACATGTACATGTATCGTTCAGCATGTTCAATAGGCCTGTGCTGGGCACCATCAAACTTTTCTAAAAGACAAATTAAGATTGAGTGGTAATCTTTTAATTATACTGATACTTAAAGAATGATTAATTGATTTAATTGTACAGCCTAGCCATTTGTTTTGTTTGATAAAATGATTTAGGTTGAATTAGACCTGTCCTGGTTAAGATTTGATTTTTTTTTTTCAACCAAATGAACCAAATTGTAATGCGAGTAACCGTAATGCAAGTAACCAAAATCCTTCTTTGGTTATCTTTTATTCCTTTACTTCTTTGTTGGCTTTATTTTGGTTTCAGTCCATACGTTGAGGGTTGCACTCCATGCAGTTAAAATCTGATCAAAATTGTGGGGGTAAAATTTGTATTTGACCCCAGCCAAAGTGTCGGACAAACTGTAATGCGAATAACCGTAATGTGAGTAACCAACCTTTCTCATTGTATAATTTATATCTGATTTGGGTCTTCATTTTTTTATTAACCATTTACACATGTAAGTCAAGTACATGTACTATGGTACAATGTAGGTGTCCTATATATCAATTTGGTCATTGCACTTTCAGTTTAAGCAGACAGGGGAATCAAAATAGAGCCAAATTGTTGGCATGTCCTTTTTGTGAAATGCGAGTAACATTTTTTTCGAAGAGTGCCACGATCTTGTCATGGTACAAACATATTTTTTTTTTACCATCAGGGTGAAGCCTTGAATATAGGGTATACTTATGCAGCATAAGAGATACATGTAGATAGCCCGACTACTGCTAAAACCACAGCAATCGGAACATGAAAGGGTGCAAAAAAGTGTAATGCGAGTAACCGTGGAATCGCCCACAATATAAATACCGGTAGTGGCCATCACTACCGGCAGCCGTAACATGATTTCCAACTGCTATAGTTACGGCATTGCAAAAAACACTGAAAATCTATCACGTTTATAACTGCACTCCCAGCAACAGCGTGCAGTGCACCTTTGACTTTAACTTTCAGCACACACTGCCTTCTGATCATGACCAGTATAGGCAGGTCACAAGTTCACCAGTTCAAGTTGCCACTAAGCAATAAATCATAATTAAATTAAGTTCTGAGATGCCAAAAACATAACTATTAATCTTCATATTAATCTTAACCCTGACCTGACCTGAACCGTACAAGTACCGTGCCCTTTCCTTGAATGTATTTCAGTCTTGTTATATTTTCACTTAAATACCAGCCAACTTCAGTTTTGTAGCTCACTCTGTTCTGATCGCTATTCACGCTCACTCCTTGAATCTAGGCCTATACATGTACCTGTACAGTTTCCAACAAGTAGTTTTCAGTACTCAACCTCTGTCTCGGTGTGTTTATTTATTTGCCTCCTTCAACAACACTTTGAATTATTGTACCCCAAACTCTACAAGTGCATTGGTAGACTCTCAATTGGGTGAACGTTTTTTTATCAACCATTTCAGTTAAGTACTATGGTAGGTGTCCTGTAAATATATCAATTTGGTCATTGCACTTTCAGTTTAAGCAGACAGGGCAATCAAAACAGAGCCAAATTGTTGGCATGTCCTTTTTGTGTAATGCGAGTAACCATTTTTTCGAAGAGCACGAAGAGTAGTTTTCAGTACGTACTCAACCTCTGTCTCGGTGTGTGTTTATTTATTTGCCTCCTTCAACAACACTTTGAATTATTGTACCCCAAACTCTACAAGTGCATAATTTGCAGTCAACAACACGCTAGCTCACGTCACAGATGTGAAACTTCGGTCTTAAAACTGGTTTGGCTTCGGGTCTAGATTTTGTTGTTTGCTGATCACTGACAACGTGAAAACCTAATTGCATTATACAATTATTTAAAGGTGGGCCCGTCCATATCCACTTTTGTTGTGAAATCGGGACATAAATTTAGCCAGCGTTCCACCAAGAGCTTAATAAGAAATCGCCCGAAACCAATGATGAAACCACGAATTGAGAAATGCGTTTTAAGTCTGGTTCAGGGTTTAGCATTACATGTTATAGAACCACAAGGTGGGAGTCCGCGACATGGTGTATGTTTGTTGTATATTATGGAGGAAGGAAAACAGACGGCCGCTGTACATGAACGTTCGCGAACATAACGTGACGTGAACAAAAACTGGCAAAGCGAACGGCGCGGCGTAAGTCATTGCAAATATTTTTCGCAAATAAGTTTTGCTTTTATTTTTAGGACTCGAGTCTTATTAGTCGAGTCGAGTCGCCAAAAAATGTGACTCGAGTCGGACTTGAGTCGAGTCATTGACTCGAGTCATTACAACTCTGGTACCACACCGCTTTCAAGCGCCGCTAGTGGGTTCAATTTTCGTCTGGTGCGTTGTCTTGCTTTCCACGGCTGCTTTTCACAACACACCAGACAAAAATTGAACCCACTAGCAGCGCTTGAAAGCGGTGTGGTACCCACATACATCCTGCAAATTTTTTTTCGGTAATCATCACGTGATGCATCATTTGCATAATTAACTAAACAAAATGGACGACAGCCGTTGGAACTGGACCTTTTTTTATGGACAAGCCGCCAAAATCGTCAAAATTTTTTACATATTAGTTTTTTTGGTTCTGTTTCAAGTCGATCATTAGCTTCGTGAATGACTGCTGAATAATGTGAGGTATGGCCATGGAATCTGGGGTGGGATTATAGAGGTGAAAATGGAGCATTTTGGGGAGGCCCTTTTTTTTAGGGTTACGACCACACTCTCACGCCGTAGTTATGTCTCCAGCATTACATGTGAAAAAAATGAGCTTGTTAAGCTGGAGTTACTCAACTCGAAATTTCAAGATAACTAGACCTCTAAAGGTGCGGAATTTAACGTTTTGTTGATATTAAGCAGTTGTAGACGGCATTGTGTGAGTATAAAGTGAAAAGATAATTGCGATTTCGAATGGATTTTCGGCTCCCTTAGCAACGGACTCTCCGTCCAAATACCACATGTGGATTTGTGATGGTTAATATGGAGGAAGTCCAGTATTACCGTCACATTTATGGGACTAGTCGGTTCCCAGACCAAAAGACTCTGACGTCACGCCAACAACGCTTCGCGTGCACATTTAAACGTTAAAACTCAAGCTGTAGCTTCGGTACAGAACAGGGACCGTTTTCATCATTTTTTTGCACCATCGGGATCGATTCAACCCTTAGGGCCTAGGGCCTATACTTGTTAGCGATATGAACGTGAGTAGGCCTACATTGTGTATGTCAAGAACTACCGGGCATAGGTCTTGGGTAGCCCAGGTTGGACGAAGTCTTCATTGCATTACGACTGACGTCCAGGATGACAATTCTCTACATAAGACCACCCAAAATTTTGACCAGAGTTTTGTTATGTTTTACCTCGCTATAGAAGCTTATTTCACGCCTACAAACTCTATGTGTCCTTATCTATTGGTCCGGGGGGTTCAGGAATTCCATATGTGATGCTGACCGACGTTAATCAGGAAAATAAACTCTAAAGCAACGTTAAACTTGTACGTGTTTGTAGACTCTTTTCATCATTTTCTCATCACCATACCGCGTCGTACGAAAGCGCACACGCTAGCGCCCCCCTTTGTTGGTTTTGGTGGGAACGTGCAGTGACGTCACTCCAGCCAACTGAAGTTATGAAAACACTCCACCAATGACCAAAGCCGAAACATGTTTCTGGTCACGGTCGCTAAAACATTTATCTTCAGAGTTTATTTTCCTGATTAAGGTCGGTCAGCATCGCATATGGAATTCCTATACCCAGCGGCCCAATAGATAAGGACACAAGGAAAAAAACTAGAATACAACGTAAAAAATTGGCTTCTCCAACAAAGTAAAAATATTGAAAATATTGGTCATAAATTTTTTCGCCCGGTTTTGAGCACTTCATATCCTGGACTCCCTCCATACGTAGGGAGGAAAGGGAGTCCACCTGGGCTAAGGTCTTGGGTAGCTCTACTGAGTGGAGTGTTGAACTACGGTACCCTCCGTACAAACGCTCCACCGATTTGGCATACTTTGGTGACGGATTCACAGTAGCATGAAAGTGTACATACCCACGCGAGGACAAAAAGACCCCCCAAACAAACGGTAATGAGAATACAAATGAGAAAGACAGTAACCCTGGATAGATCCACACATTCATGACATTCCATAAGACCCCTTATATTGTTCCCAAACAGCGGAAATTTTGAAAAAAACCCCCAGCAAAATAGTCAGAAAACTTACAGCTCAATGTGTTTGCCGTGAAGCTCAGACCTTGCTCCGACTTGCCGAATGAGGGCGTCTGACGTGACGTCACCGTCGTTGCTTGATCAAAGGAAAACAAGTTGCGCTTAATCAACGACTGTTTCATGTAGTCATATGTGTCCCGCGCCAAAAGCCCACACTGTCAGACGGCACGCGGCACATATGAGTGACTACATAAAACAGTCGTTGAGTAAGCGCCAACAGCCAGCGCAGCCGGCAAAAACGAGTAGTTGACAGCGATCGCTCTCTGTGCCTGTTAATCGACCGCCATTCATTGTACACAATTTTTTTTGTGCACAAACCAATTGCGGTCCTGGCCAATCCAGCAAGGTTGTCAAGTTAGCGGTTATTCCTCCTGTTTTCACTGCAATTCCTCCTGTTTTCACTGCAATTTCTTTTTCAGATTTGTGGCTCTGGAGGATTTTTTTTAAAAAGGGAAATAAAGTCCGAAATTATAAAATGGTCTGAATCCCATCTTGTGAATACGAGGTTACAACGATAATATTGGCATGGAGCCAGACTAAACTTTTTAAGTACCAAAAAACAGTAACTGCGCATGTTCAGTGCATATCCGGCAAACTAACGTTTACTAAAGGTTTGCCGTCTCCGGCAAAATATCCACTGCCTACATAGTTCTAGGACTAGGGGTAGGATGGAACGCCGTATTATCGCGGTACTTATCACGTTTCTCGTTCGGAATAGAGATTGCCCATAACCTTCCAGAATTGTCCTGTCTTATGTGTAGTATTACTCTTCCTTTTTAAATTAATATAAAAAAATCTGACGGGTGGTGTGGTTTATTCCGTGTACGATGCCTGTGAAAATAGACATGCGCGCCGTGTGCGAACGAAGGTGGACTCCCTATTATCGCGGTATGCGGGAAGTGGTTTTTATAATGATCCCAACTTTTTTGTTCATAGTTTATCTTTGACCAAAACATCCCCTGAATAAAGTCTGATATTTTCCCTGTAACGTTCAAGTTGATTAAAGACAACATGTCTGCAGGATGATTTCTTAAGACCCTGCCCTTCCCCCGAAAGGAGAACACAAATCCCTGAGGCAAGTCTACTGATCGGCGATTGAGGGCGCCATTCACTTTACACGGTGTGCCGTTTTATTTTCGCTAACGCGCGGTGCTTATTTTGATCCCGTAAAAGTTGTTACGATTTCGCGCTGCAAATATCGTCGTTCGACTTCATTTTACATTTGCAGCTGAAGAATGGGAACCAGACAATGGAACTTTCATGGACAGAGCGCAATTAAAGATTTATGTTAAAATATAAACGGTACCTTTTAGCAGACACGGTGAGGGGAAATTTTGCAAGTTTTGGAAAACGTTAATATTTATTAAAATCGTTAAAATCCCGAAAGACACAACATTTTTTAATCGTCCTTTTTATACAACTCGGTAGAAAATCCTTGATGACTGGTGAACTGGATAAAAATCGCCACTTGAAGGAGTTTTGACACTGTAAAAAGAGAAATTTCCCATGCCGCGATAATAGGGATGCCGCGATAATAGGGAGTCCGCTTCCGAGTCACCGGCATCGGTACCGCGCACGACCGACCGCTGCTCGCGCCCTCGGAGGCCGGCCCGGCAGTCAATTTCGTTGCCCTGCCATGCCTGCGGCAGGCCCAACGCGGAAAATCACGCTGCCTGGCAAAGCCATTAGATATTGAATGTGGTTCTGTGGGATAAAAAATAACTTTGACTTGAAAAGAATCATATCTATTCGGAGTCATGTCACGCACGTACTCTACTTTTTATTCTGATGGTACGAGTCGTCTTAATTGAAGGTACGAGTCGTCCAAGGTACGAGTTGTCCAAGGTACGAGATGTCCAAGGTACGAGTTGTCCAAGGTACGAGTTGTCCAAGGTACGAGTTGCCCAAGGTACGAGTTGACTCGAAAGCATACGCAATGGGAAAACGCATGACACATGACACTTTGACATGTTTGAGTTTGACAGGTGATCGGGTCATGAAAAACTTGTTTTGATTGCAACGACATGAATGACCTCATCAGACATCACCAACCGGCAAAGCGTGAGTTTACTTACAAGTATCCAATCCCAAGAAATCTTGCGGATGAAATCTGCAAAAGATCGATGAAACCGGCGTTGTAACTGTGGCTTCGTGATGATTGTGCGCCCCTCCTCAATCGCTCGACTCACACACACATGTCAATCGCGGCAAAAAGAACAGGTGATAAGATAGTCTGGAAGGCGGACACACAATCTGCGCATTAACACCTTGACACGGTAGAGTCCGGCAGCTGACCGCCTACGACTTCACAAATATTCAATGTAAACATGCAGCTGGTGATGATATACAGGTGACCTTTGACCGCTCGTCGTAAGTGACTATGGAGAGCATATTGGGTTTAGATGTGCATTCTGAAATAACTATTTCTCCTTCAAAGATTTTCAACTGCTTGGAGAATAAATGCCCCCCCCCCCCAGTTTTTGATTTTACGGAGGCCAAGTGTCCGGAAAAAAACCCTTGTCTACATTTCAGAATTTTTTGCTGATGAAACCCCCTCTGCAAAAATTCCTGGCTCCACCCCTGCACGTATACCATTCAGCACTCCAGACTCAAGGACCATTGAGTTTCAAGAACCATAGACATATAATAAAACCTAGACACGACATTTGCTATTGCGCCTGTGAGCAAAATGCTGCACGTATAGAATTAGTAAGAAGTATGCGCGTAAATCGAAGCCATATGCATGACATTCGCGCATCACGTAATTAAGCCGCGTGACGCAGCCCGTTTTGCTCACAGAATTACAACGTAAAAGCAGATAATGTATGTCGTGTCTAGGTTTTATTATATGTCTATGTCAAGAACATATATAGGTCTGGGAGCTAGATAAGCCAATGTTAGACCTGTGAACGTGGCATCAATAACAACACCACGTTCACGTGTAAGCCAATGTAAAAAAATTCCCGGATGTTAGTGGCTCTATCCACGCCCACCAAAAGCTGAAAAGCAGAAAAGTAGATTCGACTAAAATGTTAAGTCTACTTGTCTGCTGGGTAGGAGAAATAGAGCAGCACAGCCAAAAAGTAGAACCGTCATTAAAAAAAAACATTCAATTTTCTTTTTCTGTGATAGTAGAAGTGCATGATCAATGCAGACGCCAACTTCCGTCCTCCTTATGTCTATGTTATCGCAACATTAGGCGTGCTATACCACTTGGTGACTAAATGAATATTCATAACAAGCAAAATAGTTTCAGTCAAATTCATCATGGCGCCGATTTCACAGGTAAGTTTGCCCAAACCACCTACAAAATTATCCTCCTGCAGACCTTATTTGTTGGTTGAATTATTAGATTTACTAATCAAGACGTGTCATTCTGCTTGCTGAATGCGCCTGTGTAATTTTATACAAAATTATCGCGTAATACATCCCCAAAAATGTAAGTAACTAGGTTCGAGCGTTGTTGGCAACGAAATCAAATCGCCGCGCCGTGCCTAGCCCCACTAGTGTGGCCGTCGGTATGCTGCGCTGAACCTTGGGTTCAGCGCAGCATACCGACGGCCACACTAGTGGGGCTACGCCGTGCCGTGCCGTGGCAGTGGTAATTTCATTTTCACTGATTGTGGAGTTTAGGACCCCAGCCCGGTAAATGCACTTTTTATAACTTTTTGGACTCACTGCACCGTACCTAAGTAGATGACGATGACATCATATTGAATATCTGCGGATTCAGCAGGTGAGAAAGTCGCTCTTTCTGCCAAATGTTTAAATTTAAGGCAGTGTATATTTTGCCGGAGACGGCAAACCCAGTTTTAATAGTAAACGTTAGTTTGCCGGATATGCACTGAACATGTGCAGTTACTGTTTTTTTGTACTCTAACATTTTCCGGTGACAAGTTTTAGTCAGGCTCCATGCCAAAATTATCGTTGTTTTTACCTCGTATTCACAAGATGGGATTCAGACCATTTTATAACTTCGGACTTTTTTCCCTTTTAAAAAAAATCCTCCAGAGCCACAAATCTGAAAAAGAAAATGTAATAGGCCTACTCTGCAAAAAATGTTTGAGACATGTTAAAATAATAAAAGAAGAATATTCTTATTTATTTGGGGATGAGAAAAAAAAAATTTAAAATGTGGTGCGGTCGGAATCGAACGCGAGTCATCCCGTTTACTAGAGCCTTTGCTTAACCACTACACCAAACGTGCTACACAACTTTTGGTGGGAATTTAATACATCTTATAATTCAGCCCTATTTTAAAGAGTACAGCGCCCTCTGTTGATATGGATTGCCGCCGGCAAACCTTTAGTAATCGTTAGTTTGCCGTCATTACCTCCGGCAAAATATCCACTACCTTAAATTAACATTCAAAACAATAGGTCAATTTGCAGCATGCTGAGGTTTAGTCCAACTTAGCCCCACTAGTGTGGCCGCGGTATGCTGCGCTGAACCTCAGAGGTTCAGCACAGCATACCGCGGCCACACTAGTGGGGCTAAGTCCAACTAGGCCCTTAGGACTCAACGAATCGCCTTTTTCAACATTTAGACATGGTTGGGCGAGTACTATCGCCTGACCATGTCCAAATGTTAAAAAAGGCGATTCGTAGAGTCCTAGTCATGCTAGTTACTCGGACTAGCTGAGGTTGCAAATGTCATTTTGGGGCGATCATGTAGTCAGGTGGTAGGCTAGTCCGAGTAACTTGGACCCAACTTATCGCCTTTTTAAAAATTTGGACATGGTCTGGCGATAGTAGGGTCCAAGCCCATTCCTCGACCTAGACAACACAGTCACTGACAGTCCCAAAAACCAACATTTTCCAACAAAAAACATCAGATTTCACCTTCAAAACGGCCTCCAAATTACTAGATATGTCACCTGAGGTACAAGTAGACATAGATGATTAAGATGGTTGTACTTAAGTTTACTTACGATCCGGAAAAAAAGTGAAATTTTCCGTTCAATTCTGGAGACCCCCTCTGCCTAGGTTGTCGTTGTTGTGCTCACGTTCAAAACTGCATGATAATGGCGTCTGACCTCGACCTCATGCAAATGTGGTGCGGTGCGCTTGCGCATAATGCACTGCATGCATACACGGCAGATTCCCCTGCGCCGCGCCGACGACTGTTTCCTGATGTAGAGCGCTGTGTAAGTTCGCGGTACGCCTGGCTAGCCAGCGCGACTCCCAGGCGTACCGCGAACTTACACAGCGCTCTACATCAGGAAACAGTCGTCGGCGCGGCGCAGGGGAATCTGCCGTGTATGCATGCAGTGCATTATGCGCAAGCGCACCGCACTAGAATTGAACGTCTCCAGAATTGAACGGAAAATTTCACTTTTTTTCCGGATCGTAAGTAAACTTAAGTACAACCATCTTAATCATCTATGTCTACTTGTACCTCAGGTGACATATCTAGTAATTTGGAGGCCGTTTTGAAGGTGAAATCTGATGTTTTTTGTTGGAAAATGTTGGTTTTTGGGACTGTCAGTGACTGTGTTGTCTAGGTCGAGGAATGGGCTTGGACCCTACTATCGCCAGACCATGTCCAAATTTTTAAAAAGGCGATAAGTTGGGTCCAAGTTACTCGGACTAGTGGTAGGCCTAGTTAGGCCAACGGTCTCCTATTTAATATTTAGGCAAATTAATTAGAGTCAACTCAACGGTGTTTTTTTATCATTCAAAAATGAGGTTTCGAACCTAAGGCCCCCAAAAAAGTCTCCGGTTTCTGGTATGCGTGCGCGTCGCCGTGTCATGCGCGTCCGCAAAATGGAAAAGTTTTTTTTTCAATGTAAGATGACGTCTAAAAACTGCCAAACTCACTGGTTTGACTGAAATCCTGCTGCTGCACAATTTTAGCGTGTTTTTAGATTAGTCAGAGTAACTAGGACTCTACGGATTGCTTTTTTAACATTTGGACATGCTCGGGCGATAGTAGAGTCCAAGATCGATGGCCCTATTGCGGTTACTAATACATTTTTGACCATTTTCACTCGTACCCCCAATCAAAATTGTCAGATTTCACCCCCAAAACGGTCTTTAAACTTCCTTATGTGCCCCTGTAGGCTTCAGTGGGAAGTGAAAATACAAATGGTGGTAGTTACATACCTTTGGGAAGAAAAGAGAAATTTCACCTTAAATTCGGGAAACATCCTTGTCACAAACGCCTTGTTTGAGGCTGCCATTTTGAATTCAGGAAAAGTAGACTTGTGCATGGCTCTGGCTACACTGTTTCCTGACAAGCATCAGACAGACCAATCACAGGGCACTTTGATTTGTCACCTGGATTGGTGACCAATCAAAGTGCCCTGTGATTGGTCAGCTGATTTCTCGAAAAATTTGATATAAGGACAACTAAACAACTCAGAGGAAAGAAGCTGAGACATCATAGAATACAACCGAATGTAAAAAAAATTCCGACTTTTTGGACAAACTCCTCAGCAGATCGGGGAACCTGGCGTGTGGCCAGAGGTACAGCACAGCAATACCGCGGCCACACTAGTGGGGCTAGGCAGTGTGTAGCATGTATAGGCCCTACTTACCTGGCGCCGGCTAAATTTAAGTAAACGATATTGTGCCAGCTAAGATTGAACATGCGGAGTGACTTAATTTTTACCGTGACAAACTTAGTCTGGTTCCGCGCCAACATTGTCGTTGTGACATTGTATTCACGAGATGGGAATCAGACCATTTTACAATTTCGGGCTTTATTTCCCTTTAAAAAAATCCTCCGGAGCCATCAAAATGAAAATGTAATATACTCTGTAATTAAATGTTGGAGTCAATTTAATATAATAAAAGAAGAATATTCTTAATTTCTTGGGATGAAAAAAAAAATTCAAAATGTTGCCATCAAGTTTGAACCTAGTCCCATAAATGTGGCCAATTTACTGGACTACCTCCATAAATAAGGGCCACACTTGGAACATGTACCCGAAAATGTAGAACTTTGTCAAATTTTGATTTTACATTTAGACTTTGTAGTTTATTTACACTTTAGAAGCACACTCACACTCTTTATAGTGATAGAAATGAAGTCCTGCCTTTCTCAGATGTCTAGTTTTCGTGTACTTTCCAGGTTCGTTTGCACACTATTGCGTAAATGTAAATTCCAACATCGAAAAGATCTTGCGCGTGCTGGATCATTTCTGCTGTCAGTCACGTAGACGAGTCAAGGCGCACGTTGTAACTCGGACACGAAAAAAGACAACGCAAGTGGTGAAGCTCGTTGGCTCCGTGCCCCACTTCTGCACCCGCGTGGTCTTTTGCCGTGGTCTTTTGCAAGGTTGTTGCCGTGTGATTCAGCGCGTTAACGACCATCTTCATTTTCCTGTTGAGTTTTGGCATTGTTATCATCATTTTACCCCAAATTTCCCTCAAAAATTCAAAACCCTGCCCTCTAGTTTGGTAAGTCAAATTGGTAAACTGTGTATTTTGTTTTCTAAAGGGAACCGGGCCCATAACTACAAGATTGCCCATTTTGGAGTGACAAAATCTTTTTAAGAATACAAAAGACTGAGGTTTCCTAAACAGAACTCCACAATCTCCAAAATTAAACATTAGACATTAGCCTAGTGTCAACACTACATGTACATGTATGTACATGTAGTTGCAAAAAAAAGACGCGACTAGTTTACTAGTCGCTACTAGTGACACATTATTTTTTTATCCAGTAATAGGTTCATGTACCTTTGGTCAATGGACCTTTTTACTAATAAATTCAAATTTATGTCCGCATGCGCAAATATGGTTCTGGTGACCAGAAGCGAACGCAGTTCATTGAAAATGTACGGGGGTACACGCATTCTGGTTATTTTCTCTCAATTTCTGCAGGAGTTGTCTTTTTTTGCTTTAGAAATTTGAAGACTGCTTCTGTACAGGTAGGCCTACGTCTTTTTATGTAACCACATCTCTCACTACACATGCGCCATTATATTACATACAACGGGGCATGTTTACACTGAGTGGATGCAGTTACGGTGACTGTCAGGGCGTGCTGCATTACACAAGCACTGTTTATGGACTGTGTAGTCGCTTCGGACTTAAAGTACAGCGTGGTACGACTACTAAGTCACGGGGTGAAGATTGAAAGTTGCAGCGCAACCGCTAGTTACGGCATAGTGGAAAGACGACTTGTCGCGGCAGAACGACTAGTCGCGGCAGAACGACTAATTGCGGCATAACGACTAGGCTTGGCATAACAAATAGTCGAGGCGGAACTTCTAGTTGTGGCAGAACTACTAGTCGTGGCAGAACTACTAGTCGTGGCAGAATGACTAGTTGCGGCGTAACAACTATTCGCGGCAGAACGACTAGTCATGGCAGATATTGCAAAATTCAGAAATTTGTACCTCATTCCCTTAAATTCATGTAATTGTGATCCTTCTAAAATCAACTTGGAAATGTGGGGGGGGGGATATAATGGAAGAGCCCAGCAGTCTTATGTGCTCCCTGAAAGTTAGATCACAATGTGCCATTTGTTGGTTTCCTTCTAAGAGTTGGTTTTTGAAGAATTCTGAAAGGTTTCCTTATTAAAGGTAGAGTAGATCATTTGCAGCTATCCAAAAAGTAACTGACAAACTTATTGTTGAAAAGCATACTTGGTTTAAAGATAGTAATGGGACTAAACTCCCTGTGAAATTATTCTTTCTGGCACGCTGTCAATTTGAAGAAAACAATAAAAGAAGGCCATTTCCAATTGGAAAATTCTGTTTATACATGTAGTTTGCTTGTAATTCAGCGAAGCCATGAATGGGTGGGCGCTTGCGTTGACACGATGCACACGCGCACGCGGTTGCTATAATTCGTCGGTTCAGTGCGTGACATCGCGTAGCTGCAGTCGGCTGAATGACAACGTGTCCCGGATGCTGATTTAGGGCACAATTCAAAACACGACTCGGCAGCTTTTGAATTGAAATCCAGATCCTAGAATATTGCCTTGTTGCAATACAACATTCACTGATCTAAAACTTCATCAGGTTGGGTGGTAAGCACCCTTCTTTAGATTTTGAGCATTTTTGTTGCTTCAAACGAAACAAAAGGAAATGACAAATGATATACTATATCTTTATATACTTCTAAAGGGAGTTTGGATTAAACATATCATAATTAATCCTAATGAATGATTTGAAAACCATGCAGGAGATGGGGGAGAAAGGTCAACGTACTACCATTGCCTTTGATGTGTCCAAACGAGAGTTATTCAGTCCTCAGAATGGATTCAAGTCCCTGCACAAAAAGCTGCGCAGTAGCTGGAAAATCACAAGGTAAGTTTGTATATATATTCAGACAAATCTGCAGTTACAATTTCTAGACTATGTAAAGTCCAAATCTTTTTTATTGGTTTCCATAGCTGTGTTTACATCAAGCTTGAAATGTTTACATGGAAAATGACACTAACCCCAAACCTTCTAAAAATCCACAACATTGGAGGATTTTGCAGGATTGAGGCTATATGGCAAAATTGTGTTGCTGATTTCAGAGGATGCACTGTGTCAAGGTGCCGTAGGCTGGACCTTGTGTTGTTTTTGCTCAGACGTGCATAAATTTAGGCCTAGATTATACTTGAAATCCTCTGCACTGCTCCAGGATGTCACTGGCTATGCCTCAACATATAGACAGTGATTGCTGGAGGATTTTGCAGGATTGAGGCACTGGTCACCCCTCCAAGGACCACATTCAAGAAATAACGGATGATTTTGGAGGATTGAGGCTGTATGCTATTTTTACATGGAGGCAGTTGAAAGATTTTGCAGGATTGAGGTTGCATCCTTGCAAAAATGCCTAAGGAGTAAGGTTTAATCTTAATTTGTTTTAGTATGCATCTCTTTTGACAGTTTTTATACATGTGCATAAACTGCACCGTTGGTTTTTGCACAAAGAAGGATCTTGCAAGACTGAAGGATGTTCTTGACAAAAAATCACTGTAAAAAAAAAAAAAAAAAAAATGCACAAAATGAAAACAAAGGGGGAAACGCTAAAACCACATATGAGATGCATTCTCCTTTCCCTAGTTTGGCCATGCTCCTCTATACAATGTAAAGTCACCTTAGCAATATATCTATTTTTATTAGTGCCCGTTGTTTCACCAAATTGTACTTCAAAACAAATTTCATTGGTTTCGGAGTAAACACAATCATTCTGTTCTACTGCAGTATTTATTGTTGCATTTCTGTATTTTTAAAGTTTTTGTTTGATTTCTTTTTGCAGTCAAAAAGATGAAATCACCGAGGATAAGTTGGCAAATGTCAAGGTCTTTGTGTTGGCTGGACCCAGGGAAAAGTTCACAGCACCTGAGGTATGTGGAAAGATCCAATTTCATGCAATTCACAATGCTAGCTACGTTAGTCATTTGTTGCAAAACAGGGAAATGATACTCAGAGATCACTCAGAGAGGATACAACTCTTGACAAATCATGAAATATATGGTGAAGGGAAAAGTTTCACTTACATATTGGTAAAGTCAAAGATAGCACATATAAGAGTGATTCATAGTATAAATAAGATTCATAGGTTTATAATGATTTGTAGCATGGTACACAACTGAGCAGCTGTCTAAAAGAGGCATTTTTACTGCAAATACCGGTATCTTGCAGTTAAAGAGGCATTACGGCCTGAAATCTCTGAAAATTTCATGTTTTGGATTGTTTACCTATACTATTTTTTAAAGGTCTGGTTGAAAGGAAACTAACCCAATGTCTTACCTTTCCCAAGAAAAGACGAAAACCCCGGTTGTTTACATCGGACGCGATGGAGTACGCATACGTATTTCCTGTCATTTTTATTCAATGTATGATACATGTTGTGTGTATCACATTAATTACTCACAGCACAAATGTTGTTTCTTACACGTCCGCAGAATGCATCCACTGTGCGGCTGGAATCACAACTAGCACAGAACAGCTTGATTTTTCGGAGACGAAATTCGTTTTCACATGTTTCTCGCAACAATAACAAAAAAAAAATTTAATGGATGGTTCTGTGAAAGTTTTGGCCTATTTTCTACTTTCAAATGCTCTTTCCATTAAATATCATTTTGTTTAAAATGCGTTTTGTAGCCCAATTGGGCGCATTCCAGGCCATAATGTCCCTTTAATGTTTAATCACGAACCCTTTGCCATTTACCCCTATTTGGTCTGTGTCGGATCGAATAAAGTTTTTTGCCAGATTGCTGTTAGAACCCAGGTATACCCCAGTATCATTTTCAAATATTCAGCGAGCTTCTGTAGCCAAAAAAATGCCTGGGAAGTTAGGGAAATGTACATTTGTAACTAGTTTACGAGAGATGTTAAAAGTCTTTTATTTTCCTTAAACACTTTGTCCAGTTTGAGGTAATCAAGAGATATCTAGAGAGTGGAGGCAGCGTGCTAGTCATGATGGGGGAGGGAGGCGAGACCAAATTTGACACCAACATCAACTTCTTACTGGAGGACTATGGTGTCATGGTCAACAATGGTAAGTCTGTTGAGAAAGGTTTCTGTTTAGCATTTTATGAAGGAGACAACAACTTCATTTTTGTTTTATTTTTAAAATATTTTGTTTTGTGAGTTGAAGTTCATTTTCAGCTCAGGAAGGGTCCTTTAATCTTTTCCTGATGGGCACTTTTGTGTTGTCTACAAGAAATGTGTAATTTTTATTGCATGATGGACATTTCAACCAAAATGAGCAATGCAATGGACAGCGCACTACAAGGAATGCCAAGATAATGAAAGCACTCTCCAGTGGAGTCTTTCGCTAAAATGGCATCTTCCTATGCACTCCATTTGGAACCATGACCAACTGACTCCCAAAATTTGTGCTCAAAGAGCTGTTAAGCATGGTTTAGTTTTCTGATTGAGATCTGATGTGATTGCTTATGGGCCCTTTTTTTGTACTTTCAGACAGTGTTGTCAGGACGTCATACTACAAATACTTCCACCCTAAAGAAGCACTTATAGCAAATGGTGTATTGAACAGGTGAGTGAGACTGCAGACCTGCCCTCACACACATAGGTATCTGAAGACAGGTAACAGCACCAAGGCTCCTGAAATCATATTGGTGGTATGTGCCTTGGCCATTAAACCTAGATCTCCAGAATATTTATGTACAGGCGCGGATCCAGAGGGGGGATTTTGGGGGTCCGAACCTCCCCCCCCCCCCCCCCCCCCCCGCTCTGACACATCCCCCCCCCCCCACACACACAAAAAAATTTGAATAAGTGCATCAGAAACAATGTGCTGTGCTGCATTACCTAAATGTTCGCCTGTACACATCAATCGGACATACACAAATCTGACGGGGCTGAACCCCCCCCCCCCCTCCCCCCCCTGAAAAAATTCCTGGATCCGCCCCTGATGTAGGTAATGCCCTGTCTGCTTTGAGGTGCTTGTTATCATTTAAATTGGGAGTTGCCATATAATGTAACATACACCTGCGCCCTAATAGCAACATGCCAAAGTCTCTAGTCGAGTGATTATCAAAGCATGGCCGTGTCAGAATCACTTGGCTACGGCTTGGAATTACACACGTGTCTATGGAAGCTGCAGCCACTGCCCATAGTGTAATTGAAAGCATTAGCCAAGTACTTCAGACACAGCTCATCACCACCAAATGTCTAGCTCCTGGCTCCCTGTAGTGCATTTGTAATGGGCATGGCAATTGTAACTAGCAATGGAACCAACCTCAGTATGGCTGGTCTAGACAAATTGACTAGACTAGTCCAACTATGGTCGACTGGCATGGGTTCAAGCAAAAATAATCCAACTTTGGTTAACCATAGTTCTCTGTTGAACTTGCTCTAGGTTGACCCAGCATCAAAGGCCTTGAGGACAATAGAATGTCAGCCTTTTTCTAGTTCTATACAAGTGGAAAGTTGACATTTTTGTGCTTGTTTTCAGGCAAATATGTGTGTGGTATTTTTCTTGTATCACAACACAGAGGTGACTATCTCTAAATACTTGTGTTGAAAAAACAAGCCTCACTGTCTTTTGCTAATGTAAGCAAATATTTTCTGCGAACCATAGCAGAGCATTCTGTGCTAATAGAAAGTATATTCCACTGGTTAAAAAGGAATTTGTAGCATATGTGTATGCACACATCCTGTTATCTACTTGTTCATGGTTAGCAGGGAAATTCTAGTGTTGTAAGCACAGGATGGTGATCACAAAAGTTCATGGTGATCAGAGCCATGGTCTAGCTCAGCAATAGCTTTGTGATGTGTAGTCCCATGACTATTGAGCCTTGACAGGGAACATATCGATAGTACCTTGTGGGGTAACAGTTAAAGGATTTAAACAGTTCCTTTTGGTTTACTCTTACAGAGCAATAAGTGTGGCAGCTGGCAAGGTGGCTCATAGCATCAGTGAAGATGAGGCAGTCAATGATGCAAAGTAAGAAGATTTATCCAGGAATTCTCATTCTTCTTAATTCATCCTCATTCAAAATAATGACCTCTTTCAAAAATAATTAACTCTTTCAGTAACAACAATATCCTGTTCGTGTATGATCTTTGATACAGCTTCTCTGCTCAAATTTGCCAATCTAACAGACTGCTGCCCAAATCAGGCGTGCAACTTTTCCTCGGATCCGCTGATTTCCTCGCTTTTTTACTTCTCATGAATGCCATTACAAATTAAAAACACTGTACAAAGTCTTGTGTGGTTTGGAGTTTCCTCGTTTTTTTTCTAAACTCCCAGTTGCATGCCTGCCAAATCAGGACACATGTATGCTTCTTAAAAGCCAGAGTTTACTAATTAACATTGCTCTAGACTCACTCTGCTAAAAGCTGCCAGCATAATGGACAAATTTGTGACGGATAACATTTTGATTGGCATATGTAGAATTTTCAAATACAATTCTCTCGTTGTACTTCATGGTATAATTCGTATTTGTCCCAATCATACATATTGCTTGTAATAATTTTCATTTAAACATTGACATCGAAGAGTGTTGAAAGCGTCCTTGTGTGGCAAAATACATGCACACTCCTCCAATCTCATATTTCTGATAGATTAAAGTATTACCCTAGCACTGTTTTCTACTGAATGATTTGCAGCGTATTGAACCTGCATGAGAGATACCCCAATAATTCTTGTGTTACGGTGAGAAAAAAAGGAAGGGTCCGAACTTTTGGGCCGCTTAGGACATAGTCAGAGTTGTATTCAAATCTTTGCACGTCTCAGTCATGTCAGTAGTCAATCACAAGGCATCTGCTGTCAAGTCAAATCACTAACTGTTGAAATGAACTTTGACAATGGCATTCCTCTCTGTAACTTTCTTTAGTATTTAATTTGTGTTGGACATGTTATTGACTAGGGCTGTGCATGGGAACTGGGTACTCTAGTGCCGACTGCTGATGTCAATAACCGGTTCCAGATTATGGAATCGGGTACCCTTAACCAACGTTACATATTACTTAGTAACTTCTCAGACAATGAAAAAGAAAGGTTTTGATTTATTCACTTTTGAATGTCATTTGTGGAGCATTTTCAAAATGAAAACCACGCTACGTGGAAAACCAAAACAGATTCACGTTTAAGACGCTTGCTAAAGAGGGTAGCCCATTCCCCATTATTGACTTCTTGTTGACTTTTGATAGACTTGTAGCTGACTTGTGGTTGTCTTGTGACTGACGTGTGACTGATTTGTGATTGGCGTGATTGACTTGTAATAGACTTACATGTGTGATGGATTTGTGATTTGATTTGATGACATCTCTGACAATGGTCATTTCTGGCAGGTGCTTCAGGGACCATATATAGCCAGAGAATCAATCTCATTCTTTTGTTCATTGTTTCTACATTTAGATCTGTTGATTCCAATTTGACTGAAAGGTATCTGTTCTGTTAACAGTTTTTAGATCAATCTGTACTGATAATACTGTGTAGATAACTATTAGTAATTATAGGTCATTCATAAATTGGTCTGTTCCATGCCATAATGCTTTGCTAACGCAGCAGTCTTCCATGCTTTTGTTAAAGAAGTGAGTTACATGTTAGCTTTGCGTCATCAAGTTTTTAAACCTAACAGAACTCAACCCATCAAACCCCAACGGCATGTCTTGTTGCAATCTGTCAGGATGGGTACAGTACCCCTAAACTGACAGTCTTTGACATTTGGTTGGCACACCTCCAGAATCAAAGTCAGAAATATGTGTGTACAGTTTCCCATATGGTGTTGGAATTTGCCAGGATGGGTATAGTTCCTAGTAAGTCATGCGAGGGAGTTAGGGTTAATAGCCAAAGTACTGGATCATGGCTTCAAGTTAATTAGGCGTTTTAACATTTTTTAAATCTTGAATTCTCATGTCAGTGTTGCTTTCTTATTAGCAATTTGACTCAGAAAGTAATTGTATCACATACTAACAAGCAGCAATAATTCTGCATCACTGGCTTATTTACAAATTGCTCCATGCTGTCATATTTATGCTTCCCCCTCCAAAAAAAACCCCAATCTGTTCTAAACACTCATATTTCTTGTGAGGGCTTCTGTCATATTTTCATTCATTTTAATTGCAATTTTACAATGATGGTTTGCATAGAGTTGGTGTCAGAACATTCTTATGACATCAACTGAAGACTCATTCAAACTTTGAAATGTGGTAGTGTCATCAGAAAAATAGTTACAAGGGGAATCGTTTCGACGTGTTTTGTGAAATGAATCGCAGCTGCGACTCATCATAGGGATGCGATGTGTCGCAGTGCTGCGATGCATCGTAAGTTACGATGAGTTTCATGAAATTGGGTGCTGATAAGCAGATAAGTGACCCACAAATCACCCTCCACAACTCCCACAAGGATCCATCAGTCACTTCTTGGTCCAAACTTCCGCATATCAAGTCTAACACTTAATTGCTTTTCCTTCTGCAATTAACCCTTCTTCTTTGGGTGCAAGGAAAGAGGCGTCTCCTCCCACCATTACCACTCCACCTGCTGGGGAGACGGGTGACGATAAACAGTCCAATTACAGGGAGTGAGTCAATTGAATGCTATTCCAGCATGGACGTACAGTACCTGTAATATGTTGAGCTGCAATCTTATCTCCTTCGCCTTGTTTTGCATAGCTAGATATTTTTGTACAGAATTCTGTGTTGTTTATTTTTTCTAGTGCACCTGCATTTGGCATTATGGTAATCTGATACCGGCTGGTGGCATGTGTAACTCCCTAGTTTAGCATTATAATGTGTGCTCTGACTTTTTAGCAGTCTTTCGGTGTTTTTGAAAACAATGAATCAGATGGAGAGGACATTGTTAGACACAGCTTGGTAGTAAGACTGAGAGAGCCCAGCGTCAACGCTAAGTAAAACGAAAAACATTTGGTTACACAAATGTGTATGCTTTGCAAATTTTTGTTTTAGCAGCGCCATAAAATTGGTGCCATGCTTTTCATGTTGTCATCCTGCTGGGAGCACCATCTCCACATGGTGACAATGTCATGGAACTACTAAGCACAGAAAGTACCTACTAAGCAATAATCTGTTACCAGCCATAAAACTGTCATGCAGCATCTGTGGCTTGTGACTTGTTCTTAGCCGGTTTTTGCTAATAATCACATATTCATAAATACTTAAGACAGTTTACCCATTCCTATTGGTCGACAGCCCGTCACGTGGCCGATCTTAAATGGATGATAAAACACCGACTGGCTGGTCTTAAACACTTTTTCCAGTGTCACATGAAATTTGGACTCCTATGAAATCAGGTCCCTATTACCCTTTTATTGGTTAAACGTTCACAATCCTCACCTAAGCATACGCAATACTACCAATGGGTCCGTATTTTATAGTCTTAATTCACACTACACCGGCACAGCTGCACTCTGCACCACTCGTGCAGTACGCGCCACGATAAATTGGGCCCAGAGAAATTGGGTTTTCGCTGGGACCATTACTTTGTGTCTTCTTTTCCGTGAGCGTTTCTATTTTTTTCCGAAATTGAACCCCACCCGTGGCATTTTTTCCGTTTAGTAATTAAAATACACATTTAATGATTGACACTATGGATTAATTGGAACAGTACACTTTACAATGTGATATGCATTCACGACTGCATTAATAGGGTTACATTTCTGCTTGTTTTTTCTTTTGGTTTATGCAACTACATGTCTCATCGCTGTATGTGCAGTAACATTACCAAACTTAAAGCTTGTAACTTTAGCCGCTTCATTATTAGAGAATATTCCTTGCATGTCAGTATTGCACATTACTGGTAGATAGATGGCACACATATAACTTTCACCTATTAGCACCTGTATTCATTGTATTACTTTGTATTCATTCACCGATGATTTGGGTTTCATGGGTGGCTTGTACGTAAAGCGCTCTCCTCTCACCACTGTGGCCCTGGTTCGAATCCCGGCCGCGGACCATACATACCATATGTGAGTAGAATTGGCCATCGGTTCTCTCCTGTGCCACGAGGGTTTTTCTCCAGGCCCTCCGGTTTTCCTCCCTCCAAAAACAATCAAAACACTTTCGATCTCAGGCTGTGCTCCGGGGTCATATATTGGTCGATGTGGCTGGCTGCCAGAGGCACCTTTACATGCCTGCGGCTCGACCACGCTGTAGCGGCGTCCTTCGCAAAATCAGCTTCTCAGCTGCGAGTAAGGGTGATTACCCTCCCCCCCCCCCCAAAAAAAATTATTTATTATTATCCCATGAAACCATTGAATATTTGGACAGTTTCGGGGCAGTCTGGTACAGTGAAAAGGGATGATATAAATTTGAACTCGTAATATATTGTTGGATGGTGAAAAGAAGACATGTTATCAGGAAATGGGTTTTGCTGATGGTATAATTTTTTTTGCGGGGGGGGGGGGGGGGGGGGGGAGAGGGAATAAGGTTGCTTTTTGAAGGGAAAGGAATTTGGCGCTTTCTATTGATGTGCATCAAAGAAATAGATCAATCCGGCCTGTCAAACAATGCACACTGACCAATAAGCTATCGACTTTTGATCAGGTGACTTAACAACAGTTGCTCTGCTCTGTGCATGTCTGCCATTAGCTTGGTCAAACTTGGTCACATGAGCTGTGAGAAGTATACACAAACCAATGGGTCCGCGTGGAGCCGCATGTGGTGGGCTTGATTTCTAATGGTTTGAATGATTGCAATTATGTTTCTCAATTTCGCCAGAGCTTTGACATATCTCTTCCCCTTTGGAGCGACGTTGAACGTAGCCAAGCCTGCCACAGCCATTCTGTCCACAGGAACGGTTGCCTTTCCCCTGAACAGACCCATATGTGCTCTGCATTCATCAAAGGTAGGTAGTTGCATTGTAGATTATCTTTAAGAATTGCCAGTAGAGTGTGATTTTGTCTCTTGATTTCTGACGTAATAAGTTGAACAGTTCCAGATATAGATTCTTGTGCTTGATATTGGTTATAGAGTACCGAAGTGCGCCGCGTATTCTGTTCCATGCGCACAGTTTAAGGTTGTGAACCAGATCAATGACAGCTGACGTCACACTTCAGTACTCTATAGTTCCTGATTCAAGTTCTGATACTTGACCATGTTCAAGTGCCTGAGTTACATGTACAAATGATGTAAGCTAGTCTAGCACTTGATGTAGGTTCCAGTTCTTGATTTATGATCCAGTTTCTCATTTGTGTTTCAGGCTGTGATGTACCGGTACGTTCAAGTCCCTGATTAAAGGGCTCATAACATGAATTTTACTTGGGAACATATTTTGTGGAACTTCCTACTCTTCTTAAATGTATGAAAGCTATTGGACATCAAATTTTGGTTAATGCTATTGAAAAGTTCACTTCTTTAAACTTTTTTAATTGTCTATGCTTTTTTTGACAACTGAGGTTGCTGTTACTGTGATGTAATTTCAGGAAGACACTGTTTATTTTAGGCGTTTTCTGGTCAAATTGTGAACCCAAAATTTCCTCAATGAAAACATTTGTGAGAAAACTTTGCTCATTGGCCTACTGTTTGATGTACTGACACAACAAGTAGTCACCACAGAAAAGGAAATTTACGGCAGTAAAATATACAAAATTTGGTGATGAAATAGCTGTAACACTGAGTTTTCTGCCCGGAATGACATCACACTTTTGCTAATGAATTTAAATTAGCATAAAAACCAAAAAGACACCAAAATATCCTTTAAAATGGCAAAATGAAAGTTGAAATAAAGGTTTAAATGGGACACAAAAATGCCTTTTCAAGGATTGCATTTAGAAAAATTACATTGCATGGGCCCTTTAAGGTTGCAGTTTCTGAAGTAGTTTCTAGTCCTTGTTTATGTTCCAGTATTCATTTAGGTGTCGGTCCTTTATTAACAGGCTCCAATTACTGACTTGGTCCAAGTTCCTGACTAAAACTGTTGGCCTCTGAGTTACATCATCACGCTTTGTTATCTTTACGCTCTCCCATCATATCATGGATACTTTTTAAACAGGAAAAAAACTTCAGTGTCTTTTTGGATCCTTTTTTTCCCTTTCAGTACTCCAAGGGTAAGCTTGCTGTTCTGGGCTCTGTCCACATGTTCAGTGATCAGTACATTGATAAGGAAGAGAACGCCAAGATTATGGACGTCATCTTCCAATGGTTGACTACAGACAGTGTCACACTCAATGCTATAGATGCGGACGATCCGGAGGTAAACCTCATTCATATTCATCAATATTAGCTTTTTGCCCTTCAGTTACCTCCCGAGTGAAAGTTGGAAAAATCAATCATGCCATCTTATGAATAGTTTCATTGCGATACCCATTGCTACATGTACATCAGATTTGAACCAGCCAACCGATCCCACAAGCTGGGTGGTCGAGTGGTAAGACGTCTGCACTAGAAAGCAGGAGGTCGTGGGTCGAGTCCCACCCGAGTGATTTTTTTCTAACTTGCACTCGGGAAGTAACACACTTGAGTATACATTGTTTACACATTGGTGAAGGACAAAACTTAATATTGATTTACATCACCCCGATGCAAATTCCATGTTTATGAATAGTCTCATTCATATTCATGAATGCTGAATACCAATTAGGAAAAAGTATGGAAACAAGGAGCGAGGATCTGCTTCGCATCGGAGCTAATATTCTGTCAATTCTCTGGGTATTTTTTTGACGTTTTGCTTAGGGATCACCTAGCGAAGGTCTGCAATTATATTAAACTTTAAATTCTTGAACTCAAATTGATCATATCATATACTGCCTTTAATGTGCAGTGAGCTTGAACATGTTGTGATCCTTGAAAGCATGACATGATTGTATTTTATTTTTCCATTTTTTGTCACAGAAATTACCATATGCTGTGCTTTCTTAACCTAAACTCTGATTCCATAAACCCTCAGTTTTTAAAACGTATAAATAATGCTACAAAATGTTTTCCCACTGGAGTGACCTGAAATATAAGAAAGCTTTTAACTCTGTCAGTGCCCTCGAAGTTTGAAAGTTTAACACTTAAGTGCCCAACTTCGAGCGTTTTTTGTAATTGTTCAAAATTCTGTAAAAAAAAAAGTAAATAAGTTTTACTCACTAAATTTGTTGTTGTTGCTCTCTGGTATATCCTTGGTATATTGGAAAGTCAACAGTAGTCACAGACATAGTGATACACCCTGAAACCCCCCCCCCCCCCCTTGTGATAACATGCTTACTCTACCTCGTACATGTACGAGGTTTGGCGATTTTAAGTATGAACATTACCTCGTACATGTACGAGGTTGGCACTGTCGAACTAACAAATATACCTCGTACATGTACTACTTTGGCACTGAAAGAGTTAAAGATAATGAGAACCAAACAATTTTTGCATGTTATTTTCTGCGAGCAATTATACCTACTAACTGCGATTAAAAATTACCAAGAATTTAGGGGATTGATACAATATCTGATTTAATTTTTTTTTTTGTGTAACAGATTTCTGACTACAACATGCTGCCAGACACAGCCAAACTGGCTGACAATCTGAGATGTTGCCTTCAGGAACACGATGACACACCACGAGATTTCAACTCACTATTCCACAGTTCACTGTACACTCTGGACACTACCACTGTACCCAAAGTAATCAGGTAAGATTAGATGTGTAGTCGGCATCATGGCAAAGGCATTCCTTTGTGTTGATCATGTCCTGTTACTTGCGACCTGATTTGTGATTTGACCTTTGATTTGACCTTTGATTTGATCTTCATTTACCTGTGACGGGACTTTTGATGGATTTGTCTGCTGCATACTACTGAAGTGGAAGTAAAGTCTATCACGAGCCAATGTGGCCCATCAGGCAGGCGTTTATCTCCGGTTTCAGTAGCATGAAACAACTGAGAATATTTCTATTCCCCCAGGATGGGATGCTAGTCCATCGCAGGTTATACCCCTGCTAATGCCGGTACCCATTTTTACTCCTTGGTGGAGAGAAGCAAGTGGGGTGAAGTGGCTTGCCCAAGGACACAACATATGGCCAGCAGCTGGATTTGAACCCCGGACCCTCTGATCATGAGTCACGAACCCTAACTACTAGGCCACACTCCCTGCTAAAGTGTACTGCGATTGTATTTGGCGTTTAATATTATCATTTCCATTTTCTTTATTTTTGTCTTGGTCAGGTCGTTTGAGTTATTAGGAGTGAAACATGACCAGCTGTCACTGATCCAACCTCAGTTTGAGACTCCGCTGCCTTCACTTCAACCTGCTGTAAGTTAATCCATTTCATTGACCTCCAGAATGGTGCTTACTAAAGGGATGAACAGTCACACGCTTCAAGGAATGCCAAGCTAATCCTCTGCAGCCAATTTCAGGAAACAGTGCGTAACTTACACCATCCGTAGGACTTGCGCAACAAATTGGCGTAGCTGCACAACGTTTTAAATTATCTACACATCTTGGATGAGGTTAATAACAGCATTTACGACGGCTGTTTGTGTATGATTTTGTTCGCTCATATAACAGTTGTTGAATCACCTCCGCTTGCAATTTTGAAAATAGTTTTGTCCGAATTTCTTCGGAATCGTGCGGCAACTCTAAAAACCACGTCACGGGTAAACTAGCAACTCATTTGCTTCAAACACAAAGCTGTGAGTGTCTTGTATCAACCTAGATAAGTTGTGCAATAACAGGCTCCACGACAATCACGATTTGCTGGTAAAATAGGTCATTTTCAGTCGCTACGCCACAACTCACACCACCTAAAATGATTGCGCAATGTACGCTATAATTTGTTGCCCAAGTCACGGACTGAAACTTTCGTGAAATTGTCAAAACTGATATGTTGCGCACTGTGAAATGTTGTGCAACTTACGCCATTGCGTAAAGTTTCATGAAATCGGCAGCAGATAAGCAACTGAGCAGCCTTCAAATCACTCCATTGTGGAGTCTTTGTTAATTGGTCTTGGCATCGTCCTAAAGCCTCAAATCTTACTTATCGTCCTAGATGTGCTCCGTGTAGAGAGTGATGGCAAAGCTTGCAGACCGGCAAAAAAATACATACAAGCAACATATTGATTGGAATTAAAAGTGCCGCTAATTTTGAAAGTAAATTGTTTCTTGTAGGTATTTCCCCCGGCCTTCAGGGAGTTACCAGCACCAGCCTTGGATCTGTTTGACCTTGATGAATCCTTCTCATCAGAGAAAGTCCGACTGGCTCAGATCACAAATAAATGTAAGGAATGTTGGGTCATATGTGGATTTCATTTAGTGATGAATGTAAAGTCATTTTTCTTGTTGTTTTTACGTCAACTGGTTTAGGGTAAAAAGCTTGCAAAAGTAATTTCAGTTCATATTTGCATGGCACCAGTTGCAATGATTGAAGTCGTTTGGACACCTGGACCTTCTCAACTTCCTGGATGTGTAGAAATCTGCCCCCTTGTCCTCTAAAAAAAAGGACAGAGACAGTAAAGAAGTGGAAGGGAATGAACTGACGCATAATCCACTTCCAAATTCACTCCCCAGGTTGTCAGACGTTTTTGCACACAAAGATTGGCTGTGGAGAAAAACCTCTGCTCAGCAAGACACAATACCAACAAAAACAAGTTACCAACCAAAATGCCATGATGTGAGGCCTGTAATTGTTTACGGGGTAATCTCATTAAGTATCTCAGACCTGCCAACTAGTACGATTCTGCCGTATTTCGAACGGGAATTTGTTGAAAATATGACTGTACGTTTTCCCCCCATAAAATACGGGTTTTGACCAATTTGACAAGCCTGGACAAATCCTAGTTCAAAGCAGCTGTGAGTGTAGATTTCTGCCGGATAAACTTAGCTGAAACAACGTAAATTGCAAGCAGCCAAGCAAACGATGTACTGCATGCACGAACTGAATCTGGTTTCGCGATTCCCACTGTACGATGTACATTATGTACACAGTATCACAAACTAGAACCAGTCCATTCCCGGAGTGTGCCGATACTTCAAGCAGCGGCACCCCTGCCGCAAAAATAAATGTCTGTATTCGTACACACACATACCAGCAGGAGTACGTACGGCAGATCTTACGTGCAGTCAACAGACTTTCTTTTTCTCAGTGCACGCATGATACACAGAATACATTTTGATGTTCGTGTACGATAGTCACAACGTGCGTGCACGTGGTGTTCCGTTATGTCAAACATTTTTGAATAGTAAAGTTTGATACTACATTCTGAAACCAATTCAAAAATCAGAAAAATCAACAGTTAAAGTGGGCGGCCCAAACCGAACCAGGTAAATCAGCCAGCAGATGCAAGAAATTGATTTCTTTTTCGGGTAGGCCAAGTTGAGAATAAAATTCTGTTCGATCGCTGTGTATTTTTTTAAACATTCAGTGCGTGCACGTGAATTATGATTCAAGAATCAAACTGGCACTTGGCGGCGATGTGATAAAACACGAATAAGCTTATCTGCCGATGGTGCAGATTGTTTCCATTTTTTTTTCTACCGATGGTCCAGATTTTTCTCCGCTTTTCCCCTGCGCGTAAGCATTGATTTTATTTTGCTGCCGACGCCGAACGCGAATACAATCACCAATGTACGTGTACATTGTCTGTACATGTGCCGTATACGAAGTGCATGCATTTTCAGCTCGCAGCCAAGTGTGTACAATGTATTGTACACTATGTAAACAACATCCGGGGAACCAACCGTCATTGCGCTGTGATTGGCTGCAGATAAATATCAATATTCACTTTGCCCACATCTTATCCCAGATATTTAACGAGATAACTCCTAACGTTTCTGCTGCAATGTTTGTGGATGTAGGTACTGATGATGATCTTGAGTACTATGTGCGTGAGTGTGGAGAGATCCTAGGAGTGAGCAACAAACTACCTGCTGATAGCCGAGATGCTAAGCATATACTGGAGCATATCTTTGCACAGGTCGTAGAATTCAAGAAACTCAACCAGGTAAGACTTATGGTTCCTTTGTTTTTTTAGCGTTTAGATTGGAACCTGGAGAGTCAAAGCCCGCTGTACCAATACTGTACCAACTGAGCTATCCAGCTCATCAAGCCTATATTGGTAGTCTTCATTGTCTGTTCTCTCTGTCCAGGGAGATCGTTTTTTTTTTTTAATTTAGTGTTTGATAATTCCAACTTAGGCTTGATTGAATATTCGTATTTGTGATTTAGAAATGCACTGATCAAATTCGACATGCTCCAGTCTAAACTGGCTGCCGATTAGGATTTGCGTGCTTGTTGAAAATTGACAAAGAGCTTATTAAAATAATATATAAAGAATGGGTAGCCTAAGCTGATGTTTGTTCCATTTTAAAGAAGAAATTTGAGCTAATATTCCTCATGGAAGCTCTAAAATCATGCGCGATAATGGCTTTCAACAAGTGTGTGGCATTTACCATCAATAAAACCACACTAACTTAAAAGTTTTCCATCATCTCCTTCAGACTGCTCAAATTTTTCAACTACATATATTTGAATTAAAAAAGATGCTATTTGGATATTCGGTTGATTATCAAATTGTCAAATGTACTTGATATTTGGTACCGCCTTACCTCCAAGAGCACAACATTCAATTACATTCCAATCCCAATCTCAATAGTGCAGTATGTCCCATCAGGCTGGTGTTTTTTCTGCATTGACTTTGGCATAAAATGGCTGAAAATGTTTGTGTTTCCCTGGATGGTGTACCAGTCCATTGTAGATGTCCCAGTCTTTATACCTTTGGATGGAGAGGGGCAAGTTGGGGTAATATGGCTTGCCTAAGGACACAACGGATGTATGGCCAACAGCTGGATTAAGACCCCTGTAACTTCTTAAGCCAATGTCCTTTTTTTTCTAATCATAAAATCATATAGCATCAAGGGCGGATCCAGCACACAATTTTTTTTTTGGGAGGGGGCAAAATTCTTGTTTGTTCCGCCCCGAATTTAATATGAAAAGCAAGGGGATGGGGGCACTAAGACTGTCCATGGCATTGGTGCATGGTGGCGCAATTTTAATGCTGCCCTTTGGTACACAGTGGCTGCCTTTTTTGCGATGTCAAAAGAAAAAATCAATCGTTTGGGGTGGGGGGGGGGGGGGCATGGCCCCCATTGGCCCCCTGGATCCGCCTTTGCATTGCATTACCTGCTCTTTGACAATAAGACACAGATAGCCCAATTGCCTGTCATGTATTAGGAGACTGAGAAATACTATGTAGTTGACTTGCACATCCCTGTGACCGTTTCATGTTGCAAATTCCTTTTGAATTTATGCAGGAGGATGACGGAATTGAGGATGAAGGCATCTACTGAGAGATAACTGCTCAATCAAGCTCATGAAACAGCAGTTGGGTATCCCACACAGAGATATATCAAGAAGTGTCTGGGTCTGTTCAGCCTTGGTTTAAACTGTTTTCCCTGTTATGTTAAGCTGCAAATAAGTGTTCCATGGTTTATATATAAAATCTACTCTTTGTCACAATGCACTCGTGCATGGAGAGTAGATGGAGCTTCATGACTACCTACATGTACAAGAGCACTTTGTACAGAACACTTGCGCCCACTTGTTTACCCTGCATGTATGATTGAGGTACCATTAGCAGGTGTTTGTGCTCCGTACATTGTGAAGCCTTTTTTGGTAAGAACTTGGCATTCTCTTATAGACATAAACTTGTCAGATCTGATTCTATTTGTTTTTTGTGGTAAAAGTGACATTAGGATGCGCTAATGATCAGAACCGTAATCAAGTCAGCATCATAGTCAGGTTAGTCAGGTCACGAAGGAATACCTCAGTCACAGCTCGTTTAAAGTTTCGCTTGACGTGACACTAGACTTGCAATTATTTACTTGGAACGCGACTTGTGTTTGACTTGTAATGATTTGAGAACTAGGATTTAATTTGTTGACAAGAAATGCCCCGACACTGTGGAGAGATTCCCATAGTTGAATTCAAAACAAATCAAGCAATTGTGTAAGCCTTGTCATTTGAGTGTAAATATTGTATTTATCTCATTTATAATTGGGAAAACGTCATGTACATACACTTTAGATTTGTGTGAATAGTTTTTGTGTTCCAACCAAATCAACATGTAAATGTCATTGAATGTAAATTTCATTTAATCCATCATCAAACTGTAAGGATGTGCCAGCCAGTGCTGAAGTTGAGTCCATGACGAGTCCATCACAGGTCCTTCAGTCTCAAGTCAAGTCACTAGCTATTCAAATGAACTCACAAAAGCATTCATTGTCATTGTTCATCCCCTGTGACTTGTTACTAGACTTGTGATGCACCTGTGATGGTCTGGACAACACTGGCTGCAGCTTCCATGGACCATGGCAGACAGTGCTGTACATCTGTGTCGGGGAGTGGGGGGATGGGGAATATTAACCAAAATCCAATAATTGGGGGGGGGGGGGGGGTGGGGGCTTACTTACTGGGCACTATATTACACAAGGGGGCGCTGTTCAGGATACAGATGTACTTTTTATGTACACTAACCCGCCTTAACCTTGCATCCAAATGGCATATATTAAAGCTTTTGTACCTTTAGTCTCTGTTCCTCAGCGCTATTGAATACACTTTGGTTTTTTTGAAGTTCGCAAAATACATTAAAATCCGCCTGTTTTGTTTCTCACCACGAAAAAGGTCAGAAGGTGTGGGATATCTATCCTCCCCCCCCCCCCCCCCCCCCCCCCCCCCCCCCGGATTTACTCCCCTGATGTCGGACTTGTTTGTAGTATTGCATGGTGCAAGGTCATGTGATTTTCACCAGGAAAAGCAAATGACTCTTTTCTCAGCGTATACAACTGTTTACATTAACCTGCATGGGCTCCGTGCGCCAACAAAAGTTTTTACCGCTTTTGAGAGCTCCGTGGACGGGACACACAGCATGCGTGTATTGTATTGATTCGCGCGCGAAGTACGCACGACCTCCAGAATGTGCAAAAGCTTAGCCACCGCATCTTCGCGTGAGCGTCGGGCGTCGTCGGCGCGCGAATACGTTCAAATTCAACTTGCGGTGGTCTCCGAGACTAATCCCCGCCTCCACTAATTCTGGATACATTCGAAATACACAGTGGATGGATCGGGAACCAGTCTAGGTCACCCCCAACTCTCCTTTTCTGGTCGTTGATGGGGTGCTTGTGCACGGAGCCCATACTGTGTGGAAGTCAAAAGAGACTTAGATGGTAGTTTTGCCTGCCAGTAGTTGGTAGGCATGTAATCACCGGTACCATGGTCTGTAGTTTGATGTCTCTGCTCAAAGCAGCCCAAGACTTTAAATTCTTTCCAATCTTGTTATGAATCATCAAATTTACCAAAGGAAATGTGGTTTTCCCCAGAAAGAATGACCATAAAACCTAAGCACCTTGCATTGTTTTCAATTTGGTTTGAAAAGCTTTGAAGTCTCTGGAAACAATCAAACATTGAATATCAGAAACATTTGCAACTTTGTCTCAGAGAAATTTGTTTGTACATGTATTAAAGGCAAGCCCTTAAAACTTGACTATTTTTATTAAAATAGTTTTTTTCTTTTTAAGTTAGTCCATACAAGTTTGAAGTTTGAAAAAAAAATTTTTCCCTATTTTCCTACAAGTTGACCCCTTTCTTTGTTTTGGAGAAAATCCAATCTTTGCAAAATTTTAATAAAATGTTAGCCTAACCCAATTTTTCTCTTTTTTTTTTATCAAAATGTATGGCTATTCTCTTATCCTTATATTTTTAAGAAAAACAAGCAAACATTTTGACCAGTTTTGATTGAAATGTCAGGTTCACCGTTAACAATTCAAATTTTTTTGTAAGAATAGAAATTTTGCTCTATTATTAATAAAAAGAAATGTAAGGATTTTTTTGATTTTTTGGTGGTCCCAGAGGGCCAGCCTAGGGCAAGATGAAAGAACAATTGTTGACCATTGGTTGACCATAGTTCAACTAAAGTTAGCCTGAACTCTGTCTAGTTGATGATGGTTCACTCCCCAGTCGACTATTTGGAACCAGCCTACCGCGGCTGGTCACACAACGATTTATAGCTGGTTATCAATAGCAATTTCAAAAACCCAGTGCAAAGCGGACCAAGTATCAACAAAAATGGCGGGGAAAAAAAACTGTGAGCGCTAAATTTCATTTTCATTGCACAGTTTTTCCATGTTAGTTCATGATTATGTCCCTTTTATCACCATTGTATAATAATATTGAAGATTATGTAAGATGTCCTAAACTATACACAATCACTATTATTTGTGTAAATAAAGAGAAACAACAAGTGTTAAATAATTGTGTGGCCGCCATTTTTTGACGGTCGTTGACATGACATACTATGGTATGACTAGAGTCGCTCGCTCTTGATTTCAGTGCGCATGCGCTAGGTACGTCACAAACCAACCACTAGTTAACCACTGGTCCTTGCGCGAACTTGGCCCTAGTGCCCTCTTTGTGACATCTCTGACTGACCGACTGACCGACCGACACGAGACATGAGTCTTACCTATTGAAGTATGTGCATGAAGGATCCTACACCACATGTGCATTAGTCTGGTGCCGCATGCACTTTAGTGATATGACAAAAAGACAACATGCCAGGAAGAATAATTTCACAGGGAGTTTAGTGACCAAGCAAGCTTTTCAACAATAATTTCATCAGTTACTTTTTTGGATGGTTGCAAATGATCTACTCTACCTTTAAGGTTATTTAACGGTTTGCCCAATAGCAAATATGGAAGGTTAAGTTGTTAAGAAGGGTTGAACTTGAGGGCAAATAAAAATATTTAAACAAAATTAAAGGTAAGTTACAACATTTGCAAACAAAAAACAAAACTACCAAACTATTATGAGATGCCTTACTTGACTGTAAGTGAATAATAGTCTCAAGCATCCTGTGAAATCATAGCACCTTGTGTGCTGTCATTTTAGTTAGTCTGCATTTTGTTTGCAATCAGTTACACATCCGTGAACGGGTGCAAGCCAGCTTGTCTGGTTCCCTGACCTGACAGTTCCCTGTCGTCTATAAATTGCTCCGTTTCGTTTTCAGTAGGGTCAGAGAACTAGACTACAAGTTAGTTTTTCCCAGCATCTATGAACCATATATCAGGCATGCAACTGGGAAATCACAAAAAAAAAGAGGAAATTCAAATTTTTCCCAGACTTTGTTCAGTGTTTTTCTGTTTTCATTGGCACACATGGGAAGTAAAAAAAGAGGAAATCAGCTGATCCGAGGAAAAGTTGCATGCCTGTATATACAGTGTGAGTCAAAAAAACTGTTCACCTTTAAAATTGGCCATAGTTTTATTCTGTAGCTATATAGATAAGATATTTTCATATGTACTTTTAGAGTAACTCTTCCTGCTTTTGGTGACATTTTCACTGGATGAGTTTTCATGCATGACTGCACAGGAGCAGACCAGAACCAAGACAATGGTTGTGTTCCTTTCAATTGTCTCATTCTTATCCAGCCCTGACCAGTTGGCGCAAGTCAGATATCACCCGACCCCTTTAATTGTCTCCTGTGCAGTGCAGAGTTACTCTAAAAGTGCATATGAAAATATCTTATCTATATTGCTACAGAATAAAACTATGGCCAATTTTAAAAGTGTATGGTTTTTTTTACTCGCACTGTATTTGCTATAAAATACTAATCCATCCACTTCTACTAAAAATTGAAGCAAAATCAAATTGTTGTAAATTGCCTTTTAAGAACGACAACAATACATAATGAAGTCAACAAAGTTATCTGATATTTTAAGGGATTAAATTTAATACAAACTCTGAATAGTACTTTTTTTAATGTAGTTTACTTACTATACTTTTCAGAAGAAGTTAAAGTCAGTATGGGAAATCACAACAAATTCTCATTTTACCACATCAGTTCAAATGTGACAAAGCACACATTATGAAAAGTAAAACAAAAACAAACCAAAAGAAAACTAAATCTAAAAGAAAAAGTTCTTGATTTCTAAAAATATTATATTCCATGAAATATTAAAAACAGATAAAAACTTAAACACACACTTAGTTATTAAATCTTTCTTTAAGAAAATTGTAAATGCAAAAAAGGTTATTAAATTTAAGGCATGTGTAACCATGAAAACTGACACAATGGGGATTAACTTCTCAAACTAAACTAAATTCAGGATCTTTGAAAGAACGGTTGCGAGGAAATTGAATTAATAGAGACAAGGGACACAATTCTAGATTTCAAACCAAAAAGGACCAAAAAAAATGTATTTACAAAAACCTTAAACCAAGAAATTGAGACTTAAAACCTAAAACCAAAGAAAAACTAAAACCAACACTCCCACAGAATATCACATGACTCCAACAACAGACTTGAACCCAAGCAGGACAGGCACTCCAGTTAGGAGGAAAATATATATGCATGTATGACTCGTCTCTGCTGGTCTGCAGATGAACTGAATTGTGGCTTGACCATGTGGCAGCTTATGTTGGGGGAACATGTGGGCTAAAGTAAACAAACAGGGGGGACACACTACCAACAAAAGGGGGGGGGGGAATCTTGAGTAACTAAAATGATTTCTTTTTCTAAGGGGAGCTACTCCTATTTAATACACTATACATTCAATACATGAAAATATACAACTAAAACTAGGCCATGCCACACATGCATACAAACATTTTGTAGTTATTGATGATAATTTTAATGATCTAAATGTTAAAAATTTGGGAGCTAAACAAAGCTTTAAAACATTAACCCCCACCCCCTTAAGGCCTTAACTGGCAATTTGGCACTGAACAAAATCCCAACAAATTATATCCTGAATTGAAGGCATGTAGAATCATTTGATTTTCATGCATTTTGTTTGTTTCCATTAATAACACCACTCAAATCCAAGAATGTTCAAAACCTCAGCCGTTGGAAGTTTCAGCTCAGTGGATGTAGACCATTATCATGTTGCGGCCCATTTGGATTTTTCCATATCAATGTAACCAAAGCGAGGCTGGAAGGAAAAGTAGTCTGGTTCTTTTTTGCAAAAAAAATCCAACATTATCATTCAGTATGTTATTGGATACAGGAAACGGACTGAAATGGTGGCAGCATGATAAAGGTCTATTACTCTTTTCGAGAAAACAGTGAAAAACCACAATCTGCACTTACCCACCCCCTCCCTTTTTTTTTATAGTAAATTGATCATTGGAAATCACCTACATTTCTTGTTTTCTTCTAAACGACAGCAAGCCAGACGGAATAATGGGGGGGGGGGGGGGAGACCAGTACGTACGATCTTGGATCCAAGTAAGCATTTTGATAACTCGGCAGGTTACTCGTGGGATAATTAATGCAAATGACCATAATCCTTCAAACATGACTGCACGGTTCCCACAGAAATCTTGAAATGAATTTCACGACTTCCAGGACTTTTCCTGGGTTTTCCATGACCAATTCCTATGCTGTTTTGGCATCTCAGGAGCCTGTTGCTTCAGAGGCAAGAGACACCACTCCTTTTCAGCCTTTCAGTTTGGCGCACAAGACCACTGAGCACCATAGACATGATAGAAGCATCACACTGGTGTATTGAATGAGCAAAAAATGCACACATGCATAACGATCTACAGGAAGTGTCTTAAACTGGAAATTCTGGAATGCCATACCAGTAGCCAAATATTATGCATCATCACATAATTGGGTTGTGCAGGATTTCACAACTTTTTCACGGCTTTTTCTGGGAATATCAACTGTCCATGACCCATGTAAATATCAAAATTCCCTGACTTTCCCATGACTTTCCACAATAGCTTTAAATTCCATGATTTTCCCATAACTTTCCACGATAGCTTTAAATTCCATGATTTTCCCATGACTTTCCACGATAGCTTTAAATTCCATGATTTTCCCATAACTTTCCACGATAGCTTTAAATTCCCTGACTTTCCCATGACTTTCCACAATAGCTTTAAATTCCCTGACTTTCCCATAACTTTCCACGATAGCTTTAAATTCCATGATTTTCCCATGACTTTCCACGATAGCTTTAAATTCCATGATTTTCCCATAACTTTCCACGATAGCTTTAAATTCCCTGACTTACCAATGACTTTCCACAATAGCTTTAAATTCCCTGACTTTCCCATAACTTTCCACGATAGCTTTAAATTCCATGATTTTCCCATGACTTTCCACGATAGCTTTAAATTCCATGATTTTCTCATAACTTTCCACGATAGCTTTAAATTCCCTGACTTTCCCATAACTTTCCACGATAGCTTTAAATTCCATGATTTTCCCATGACTTTCCACGATAGCTTTAAATTCCCTGACTTTCCCATAACTTTCCACGATAGCTTTAAATTCCCTGACTTTCCCATAACTTTCCACGATAGCTTTAAATTCCATGATTTTCCCATGACTTTCCACGATAGCTTTAAATTCCATGATTTTCCCATAACTTTCCACGATAGCTTTAAATTCCGTGATTTTCCCATGACTTTCCACGATAGCTTTAAATTCCGTGATTTTCCCATGACTTTCCACGATAGCTTTAAATTCCGTGATTTTCCCATGACTTTCCACGATAGCTTTAAATTCCATGATTTTCCCATGACTTTCCACGATAGCTTTAAATTCCATGATTTTTCAGGACTTTCATGATAGCTTTAAATTCCATGATTTTCCCATGACTTTCCACGATAGCTTTAAATTCCCTGACTTTCCCATAACTTTCCACGATAGCTTTAAATTCCCCGACTTTCCCATAACTTTCCACGATAGCTTTAAATTCCATGATTTTCCCATGACTTTCCACGATAGCTTTAAATTCCATGATTTTCCCATAACTTTCCACGATAGCTTTAAATTCCATGATTTTCCCATAACTTTCCACGATAGCTTTAAATTCCGTGATTTTCCCATGACTTTCCACGATAGCTTTAAATTCCGTGATTTTCCCATGACTTTCCATGATAGCTTTAAATTCCGTGATTTTCCCATGACTTTCCACGATAGCTTTAAATTCCATGATTTTCCCATGACTTTCCACGATAGCTTTAAATTCCATGATTTTCCCATGACTTTCCACGATAGCTTTAAATTCCATGATTTTTCAGGACTTTCACGATAGCTTTAAATTCCATGATTTTTCAGGACTTTCACGATAGCTTTAAATTCCATGATTTTTCAGGACTTTCACGATAGCTTTAAATTCCATGATTTTCCCATGACTTTCCACGATAGCTTTAAATTCCCTGACTTTCCCATAACTTTCCACGATAGCTTTAAATTCCCCGACTTTCCCATAACTTTCCACGATAGCTTTAAATTCCATGATTTTCCCATGACTTTCCACGATAGCTTTAAATTCCATGATTTTCCCATAACTTTCCACGATAGCTTTAAATTCCATGATTTTCCCATAACTTTCCACGATAGCTTTAAATTCCGTGATTTTCCCATGACTTTCCACGATAGCTTTAAATTCCGTGATTTTCCCATGACTTTCCACGATAGCTTTAAATTCCGTGATTTTCCCGTGACTTTCCACGATAGCTTTAAATTCCATGATTTTCCCATGACTTTCCACGATAGCTTTAAATTCCATGATTTTCCCATGACTTTCCACGATAGCTTTAAATTCCATGATTTTTCAGGACTTTCACGATAGCTTTAAATCCATGATTTTTCAGGACTTTCCATGAATGTAGGACCCCTGCAGCTAACATCACCAAAACAAAAGTTATCAAAAAACATTGAAAACCCATCTATATTTTGGGCCTTTCTGAGAAAATTAATCTCATACTTTTTAAAAATACTACAAATGTGAAAAACGATATACAAACATATTTGATATCTGAGTATAACTGATATTGTAGAGTTCTACAACATGCAACATGTATCTTCAATACTTTCTAGAAGTTCCAGTGGCTAGGCCTCAGTTGCCAAAATTGCTAGGACAACACACTATATCACATTATATAAACTCATTGATGTATCCACAAAACCAAACAAGTCGTCTTATTGGTTGAACATTCACAATCCTCACGTAGGCATGCGCAATACTACCAGTGAGTCAGTATTTCATAGTCCTAAATTCACAACGCACTCACCACAGCTGCATCAGCGCGTCATCATGCAGTACATGTGACGCACGTACCAATCTCCATTATAGGAATTGTTTATGTCTTACTCGTGAGCATGGTCACTCCATCATAAAGCTACAGGGGTGTTTCGAAAAACATGAAGTAAAATTGTTGAACAAAATCATTGAAAGTTTTTAATTTTTGACTTGTTTTGATTTTTGGACAGAAAAGTTTTGGTTTTTGACTGAAAAGGTATTGATGAACAGGGAATAAAATATGTGTTTGGTCGATATTTAACACTATGTTTAAGACCAGTTGGAGTCTAGATGCTGATAATTACCCTCGCCTTCGGCTCGGGTAATTATCAGCATTCCAGACTCCAACCAGTCTTAAACATAGTGTTTAACACCTCCCACTCAGCACACATTTATTCCCTTATTAACATCATGTTCTCAGTATTTTGGCATATCAGAAGTTCAATTGTTTATTCTTGCAGACAAGATCGAGTCACAAAAAAATATATTTAAAAAAACATTGTAAAAGCACATCCAAGAACACTTTGTGACCTAGTGGCAATGTTATCTCAGCTTCAATTGCTCAGGTGCGTGCCCTTTAAATCCTAGTTAAATTTCCTGGCCATGATGACCCCTATCACCACAATCATGACGGAGCTAGCTATGCAGCATGCAGAGGCAGGGGTGGTTGGTGGGGGCTGGGGCTTGGGTGTTGTGGGGTCTGTACAAAAAGGAAAGAACATCAAACTAATTCAATCCCAAGTCATTCATCGCAGTACACATGGCTTTATCAGATTTTGCTTGGCAGTTGTGGTGTCTACACTAAACAGTCATTGATTGCAACCTATCAGATTCCAGTCCACCCACCATGCTTTGCAAGCTCATCAGTGGTTGAGTGGATAAGATGTCTGCACTTGTAAGCAGGAGGACGTGGGTTGAAATTCCTCCTGGGTAATTTTGGGAATTTCTCTCACGTTTTCAGACAGCAATCAGTAAAACTTGCTGATGTCAGACCAAGTCCAAGTCTACATTGCTCATGTAGTTAAAAACCAGAGGGAATGTCTGGACATCTTTAGAATGCTCTGTTTCTTACATGGATATTTAAAAGTATAAATACCTTGTTTTCAAGGTTAATGTGGATTTAAAATGCTGACTATTTAACCCCTGCTTTTGTTGAGTGAGTGTGCAAGTCCAAATAGCAACATCAGTACTACTAAAAAAAATCAGTCTCAATAACTCAAGTGTTTTTCATGAAAAACGTACCTCCCAGCACAGTATAGGATGCCTCCATGCCTCCAAGTATGTGATCGTTTACATGACAATGCATGAGCCAATTGCCAGGGTTGTCTGCATACATCTGCACTGAGCCATACACACCTGCAGTGAAGACAGTCATGTCAATATTCATAACCATTCAAATCAGCCCTGCAAGTACATGCAGAACTGAATATGCATGAACTATAAACTGAATGAACAGCTTCCAAAAGATGCCTTAAATGTATAAATCAAATAGAAATCACTTGGCCTTGCATCTGTAACGGCAAACAATGGTTCACTAAAACAAATCCTGGTTCGAAAGAGTATGTCGTAGTTTACTTTTAGAAACTGGGATAGGATTAGTCGGATAAAAAGAAGGAGATCTTTCACACACACACACAAAAATCAAATTCTATCCTTAAATCAAAGCCCCCAAAAAGGAAGTTTTTCTCAAATACTTCAAAGAAAATCAGGTTTGAAGAGGTGAAGGGGATGAGCTTCACCACTTCATCTACCGGGAGAATGCCAACCACCAAATCTGCTCAAGGAGAAGTGGAATTGCTGCTGAGCTGGCGAGCGAGAAGTGATCTTGCCGAATTTGATGGCAACCCTGTCACTGGTCTACTCCCCACACAACAGCAGTGATGAGGCTGATGTGGAGCAGCTCTTCAAGGTTCTCCGAGCCACAATTGGACAGGTACCAGTTCACAACTTTCTGGCCGTACTTGGGGATTTCAATGCCCGTCTCGGCCCGGAAGATGTCCACTACAACTACCAGACTAATCTGAGTCCAACCAAAATGGTCAAACCTATAGTCAACCTTCTACAAGAGCAGGACCTCATAGCAGCCAACACCCAATTCTAGGAGCAGACACTTGTGGGGATGAAAAGTGCGTGTAATGTAGCAAGGTCACTAAGGAGCGCGAGCGGGGCTGATGTGTGTCTTGTCTGAATGCTGGTGAATGACCTCTAGGTAAAAGTGGCTACGCAGGAAGTTGAGGCTAGAATAAATAATTGGGGAAAACAAGGAACAGCTACTAAGCTACAGACAAAGCCTACATAGCTTGGAAAAAACACCCCAAGCATCTTACCAGCAAAGAGTTCAAAGACGTCAATCCTATGAACAAGACCGGTCCTGTAAGTGACGGTTTGACCATGGAAGTGGACAGAGTGGACATCAACCTCATCCCCAATGCCCAGCAGGTACCATTCCACTGTGTCATCTTTGGACATGTCCAGGTGATGGAGGTTGTGGAAGAGGAAACCATTGATTCCTAAATTGAGGGTTAAAATATTTTGAAAAAAAAAAGAAATTAGAAAAAAGATGCACATAATTTTTTATCTGCTACTTTAATATTAAGGATGGATTTTTTGGTTCAAAATCTCATTGAAAAGATCATGACTCACATAATCTTTGAAAAGCTACTTTTAAGGTGGCCACACCAAGGATGAATGCCTTTAAATTCAGGAACACAGGAAGATGTCAGACAGTTAAACATGCCAAGCAGATTTTGAATCAGTAACCTGTATTTCAAGTGTACTCAATTTTTGTTTGTTGTCAGGAATCACATTGTGAATGAACATGCACATGCAAAATCCACACAAAACTGTGATGGATTCTCATCAGTTCAAAACTCACAGCTTTTGCAATATGCTATGCAAGTTTGCTTCAAACAAACTGTCAATCGAATCTAATATGAACTCAGGGTTAATGTTTTGCATCATGTCAGGTCGACCAGGCCGACCAGGCCAAACCGACCGGAAACATAGGCCCCCCAAAAAGTCTCCGGTTCTGGTATGCGCGTGCGTCGCCGTAGCCATGCACGTCGGCAAAATTTTAAAATAAAATTCAATGTAAGATGATGTCTCAAAACTGCCAAACTCACTGGTTTGACTGGAATCCTGCTGCTGCACAATTTTAACGTGTTTTTAGATGGGGTTACGATCGAGTATAAGCTTTATGTGGCCTCTCTGGGCTCCCATATATTTTGCGCTAAATTTAGTTGGGCACCATTTGCAGACGGTATTGTAATTTTGTAATTGTGCGTCTGGCAGCCAGACTGAGGGAGCAATGGTCGTGTATGTGGAACATGTAAACGCTTTTTAATTAGCGCAATATATAAAGGAGCAGACTAATGACCAGCCTTAGAACTCATGCAGGATGTCGATGTCGCTGTAGTGTCTGGCCCGATGTTACTTTTATCTCTGATTTTTGTCTTGACTGTTCAAATTTCCTGAAGATTGTTTGTGTCGTTTGACATCGTAAGTGGGTGCAGAATTCTCAAACCATATATGGCCTTACTGAGGTCACCTCAAGCTCCACCGTAAAGGGTATTTTTGAGAGTTTTAAGGGGATCGAAGTGTCATCTGTAACATCATAGTAAGCCGACATATTTGAAGAAAAAAATAGTAGGGAAGAAAAAACCCTGTCGGCTGCATCACTTTTTGGGTAAGCTCCATACCAGAAACCTTACCTTGCCTTATAGATATAAAGCAAATCTGAACCAAAACCGATCTGAACTCCCTAAATCTGACCTGACCCGACCCAACAAAAATTGTTGTGTCCTGAACTTACCCGCAGTGCGGGAATAAAGTTTTGAAAATTGCCATCTCTGAGTAAAGAATCATGCCATATGGTACAGCGAACACTCCTAACGTGACCTAGCAGTGGGCCTACATGTTAATTATAGCCCGTGCATAGACCACAATTAAACTGCATGCACAATTGCACGGTGGGTTCAATTACAATATATCTCTTTGTGCGTACACGTTTATACCGGTCTAAATTTACTCATGTGTTTCCAGCACGCGATTGGACTGTAGAAATTAATCCCGTGGACAAAACCAATGCACGTTGGTCGTACTGGGCACAGTGACTCTGCAATAACATTGCACTACGGGAATTTCCGAACTGTTTTGTTTTAATTGGGTTATTTCTGTTGTTTTTTTCATGAGATGGCTTTACCGACCCAACCAGTCCCAAAAATCGCAAAGGTAAAACCGAAACCGACGCGGCCCAACGTAAATGATGGAAAAACCGGCCTGATCCGAACCAAAGTCGATCTATGGTCAGGTCGGTTTTGGGTCGGGTTTGCACAGATCGGTTTTGGGTCGGGTTTGCACAATAGTACTCGGGCTATCTTGATAAATGTACCCCCACCTTGCACAATTCAATTTCCAAGCCAAGCCACATCCAGCACTCTTGCAATCTTGAGCAAGTTCAGCCTTGGATCGTTAGTCGACTTGTGGTTGATTTGTGACGTAACTTATGACTGCACACTACTAGCAACGTACGATAGACTCTAGCCCAACCACCATGTTTTTGAGTCACCATGACTGCCCACTAATAGCAACGTACGATTGTCTCTAGCCCAACCACCATGCTTTTGAGTAAAGTTAATCAAACTACAGTTCACTATGGCCGTACCCTAGTATTCACCTAGATGAAACCCTGGACTCAATTTCAAAGAGCCGTCAAGAGGAAAACAGTGCTGAGTAAACCTGCTTAGTAGCGATTAAACTGTTACAAGACATTTACATCACTTGATTTTCTGGCTACAAACCTGTTTTTGTTTGCTAAGCATACAATTTTGTGCTTGACAGCTCTATGAGATTGGACCCTGGATGGTCACAACAGATCCTTATTATTTACCCTGACCAGACACAGTCATATTCTTACCATGCATCAGGTTGCTTTCCTCAAAATCCCCGTCTTCTCTATCCACTTCCTCAGGCTTCCCGCAGAATTCTGCAATATTCTCCTCCAGGTACCAGCTCTTGTTCTCATCCGAGACGGTGAAGAGAAGGGCAAACTCCCGGTCCACGTCGCGCCGGCGACCATCCTCTCCCAGAGTGCCTGGTCGACAGACTACCATCGGGCCAACGAGCCCCGAGTTGCTGTCCTGCTCTTTGTCAATGTTGGAGTAGTAAGCATACACCACACAGTTTGGATCTGTGGCCGTTGGTCCAGCACGTTCAGGGACTCTCCAACGATAGATTTTGGTACTACCCGCTCCTACACCTTCTTCATCTTCAAACACAGATAACATAATGACAGTCACTTCACTGAATTGTTTTAAACAGGTTAACAGTGTTATAACAAAATTCTTGAAGTAAAATAACAAAAACTTAGTCTTTGTTGTGGAAATTTCTGTACACTGAAAGTAAATATTCCATTCAATTTGATTAATTTCAATTAAATTATTTTGTTCCTCCTATTACAACAAATATGTCCGAGTGACATTCATCTTCCAGATTTAGATTGTAAAAATAGGTGTAAAAACATGGAGTACATGTTTAAAGTAAAAGAGGAATGGGGGAGCTAAAACGATAATTTGAAAGAAAAAACAACAGTTTAAGTACCTCATTTTTAATATTAAGATTGACATCTTCTCAATATAAAAAGTCTCCCTTAAAATTCTCACATTTGTCAACCTAAATAATAAAAATGGACAGCTTTGACAAATTTCCAGCACATCTGCCCAGGAAAAGGTGCCATTTTATGGGGAAGTGGATAATAATGTGAAGTACAAGCAATTAAACTGGAGAATGTGTTGTTGATTCATTCCTTACATTCAGTACATTCCTTACCATCATTATCAACAGAGTCGTCAACTTCATGTACCAGCACACCATGTGGCTCTAGAGCATACCGCCGACTTGCCATATTCTTGAGCACGACGGCTACATTCTCGCCCACCTCCATATGCAACAAGGGACCCTGGACTCCCAGGTGAGCATCGGGACCGGTACGTTCCTTCTCTGTACTGAAAGTCTCATCTGTGAACTCTCTGTACAGGGCTTTTTTGTATCGTGAGCCGATAGAATGGTCTCCTTGGTGAACAAACACAAAGCCAGTACTTCAAAGGAAAAAAAGGGAAGAAACGGAAAAAAAATCAGAACAAAGACGCAGCCTTTTCTGGCAATCTCTGGAACAGCCAAAAACAAAAGGCATCAATCAAATCTAAACAACATATAGTCTCGATTCCAAGACGTCCTTAGCATGCACGGGATGCAGCTAGCAAGCTCACGGCAAGAAATGCGCATTTGGCAAAAACTATTTTTTTCAAAGTGCAGTGAGGTGGGGGGGGGGAGAGGGGTGGCTGAAGGCCCTTCCACACATTTAGTTAAAGGTAGTATGGACCATTTGTCATATGTGCATTTGTTCGGTTGAAGCAATAGAAGTACTAAAATCTAAAGAGGTAGGTACTTATTCTGGATCTAAATTTCAATTCAAAAGTTGCAGAGTCGTATTTCGAATTGCGCCCTCTCGTGACACAATCCTGAAATCAGCATTCGGGACATGATTCTCATTCAGCCGACTGTAGTTACGTGATGTCACACACTGCCACCGACAAAAAATAGTAACTCTGCAAGTGTGCATCGTGTCAACGCTTGCACCCATTCACTGATTCGCCCAACTTACAAACAGAAATTTCCAAACATGTGTCCTTGACACATCTTTGGAAATGACCTTCTAAAATGTAGTGTTTTCTTCAAAATGACAGGATGCCAGAAGGTATAATTTCACAGGGAGTTTAATGGCATCACAATCTTTGAGTAAACAAAGTAAGTTTTTTTTAACAATAATTTGGTCGGTTACTTTTTGGATAGCTGGAAATGGTCGACTCTACCTTTAAGCACCAGTAATCAGACTTTATTAACCTCAGCATTCTTCCCTGCCAATACCCTTGAAAAAAACAGACAAGTCTGGAGATCACATGTGAGGTCGCAAAATTCTATACCAGTCAATTTCTTTGTTCAACCACATTCTGTTGACACGCTTTATTCAGTACTTTGCAGTTGTTAGTTCATTTTGTTCCAAGAGCATTTTAAGATGACACCTCAAACCTACCTGTCTGGATCAGTCAAATTTTCACTTCGTACAGGGTCCCATTTGACTGGTACATAGTCCCAGTACCGTTCCACAATACCAATGTAGTAAGTCCGGTCTGCCCCTGGGCCATCTCCTGGTTCTGTTGTGTTTTCCACAGGGGCGACGGTAAAATATCCCTCCATGCCATTAACAAAGTGAGAATTGGTTTCGCACTCAATTTCAAAAGTACCTAAGGAATATAGTAAAAGGAAAATTGATGTTTCTCCATTTTTTTCTCTAAATATGTCGCAGAAACTGCAACCAATTTTCAACTTGAGACAACTTAACTTCCAAAAGTGTCTATACACAATACAACTCCAGGTTTGTGTACATTGACATGAACAATTAGTGAGCCAATTCCTGTTAAAGACAACAAGCTGATGAGTCATTGGCTCAATTGTCACAGAAAATGGATTTAATTCCATCTAATTAAGGCAACTAATTCCATACTTAAAAGGGATATCTACCATGAATATCAGCATCCATGATCACGGTCTCTGACACACCGGGGAAGACCGACACCGATGCTTTGCGACCCGAATTATGTGTAAGGGTCTGACTCTGGAACGAAACGGCGTGCTCATCACTGAACTTGCCCACTGCCATCAGATGCCATGAGACACGATCACCGACGGTCATCATCAGGCCAGGAAGATTGCCATAGGAGTAACCATTGATGGCTGAATAAATTAAACAAAGATTGTTATATCAAATCCAACAATAAGGTTTTTAACTTAAAGTTTATTAATATGTACTGTAACGGCCAGTTTGTATGTCTCTGGCCACCAATGGCGCTCCAACCAAACCGATTTAATATAATGGCATTAACATCATAAAGCAAAATTCCAAACTGAAGTTATAAAGATCAGAGTTGATTCCTTACAAGCCATCTGATTGGATGTCACAAAGTCCTCGTCATTCTTGTCAACTGCCCCAGGATTGGCCGAGTACTCAGCAATACTTTCATCGATGAGCCAGCTGAGATTTTCATCAAATGTTGTGAAAAGAAGAAAGAACTCTTGGTCTACTCCGAGCTGTATGGAAAAAAAGCAGATGTCTGCAAAATGAGAATTCCAAAGGATTACATTGAAAGTAGTGAATTGGTTCCCACAGCACAGTACCTGGAGACTGGAGCGACCACGTCGACTGGAGAGACCACGTGTCCAATGAAGCCCTCTATGGCAAGCTACCGGTACTGCAGATCTCACAGAAGATCACATACAGGCGGATAGGCCTGGCAGGACACTGCCACAGGCATCCTGAGCTGCCCAGGGGCGGATCCAGGAATTTTCGGCGGGGGAAGGGGGGTCATGCGGTCGCAATTTTTTAATGTCTGATTGATACTATATTATTACATTTTTGTGTCGGGGGGGGGGGGGGGGGCGTTGACCCCCAAAAAACCCCTCTCGGTCCGCACCTGCTGTCGGTTAGCCTTGATCAAGGCAATCATCATTATCCATCAGTAAGGTATAAAGCGGCGGCATTATTATCCTTGCTATGATGATGATGATGAGTGAGTGCTTGTAAAAATACAGCACGAACAGCAACCACGTACGGCAAATCATTTGGATCCGATTGAAGGCCTTGGTCCAATCGTCGGCGAAAGCTTATGTTTTTCTTTATTTTGCATTAGATTTGTAGCGCACGACCTAATATGCGAATACAGATAAGTGTAGGCGGGACTTATATGTGGAGTGTCCAATCACACCTTGGTAAATCCCGACGTCATCAAATTATATGTAGCTATCCGCCTTATGCGGACGTGTCAGAAACCACATTTTTGGGGGGCATTGGTGCTGTGTGTAATGTGAGACACGCAACGTGTGTAGGTGTATTATGTACAGTACATGTCACGCCTTGTCGCTATATGACCCTTCCCCGCGCCTACTATTATGCACGTTTCCACGCAACGATCAACCAATAAGAAAACAACTTTAAGGTCAGCTTAGGCTAATAAAGCATAATGAGCACCACCCCCAAAAACTTAACAAGGACAATTGGACCAAGGCGTTAGTCTAGATCCAAATGATTTGCATATAAATAGTGGCCGCATGAGGTTGCTGTTGGCGCTGTATTTTTACATGCACTGCATAGCGATCAGCAGTCAGCGTGCGGTGAGGATATGCCACGGAATACCGTACGGACGGATAATGACCAACGCCTTGACCAAGGCTAGCTGCCGGTAAGCCGGCTTGTGCTGTGGGAACAGACTCACATAGAATAGCTTGTGAATCTATTTAATAAGCTCTAACAATGCTAAGTACATTGTGCTCATAAAGTCATGCTAGCTTTATATCAAAGTTTGCATCTCCCTGACACCCAAAAAGTTTCCATCAAAAGATGTGAATTTTAAAGGGGTGAAATTTGATATTTAATTTGAATTTCCACACGCACTAACAGTACAAACTGTGTTCGGTAAACAATAAGTAAATATCAGATGTCAGACCGTCATGTCATCCTCTGGACTAACCTGTTTGCCTGTGGTGCTGTTGAGGCTTCCCTTCTTACAGACCAATAACGGGCCGACCAAACCAGCAAAGACGTCAGCTTCTGGGTCTACAGCCGACGTGTAGATCCAAGTAATGCAGTCTGGATCCAGGCTGGTAGGACCGACGGATTCAGGTATGGACCAGGAGTACGTGTAGGAAGAACCAGGGATGACCATCTCATCAAAGTGATCCGCCGCTGCGAAAGAGTTGCCACCACTGTGAGTATTTTTTTTTATTCTACAGATATTTATTCTGAGGGCTGAGTGCTGAGACTGAGTGTGAGTGAATTTACATTTTGGGTTTGGACTCAGTGCAGCAGCAGTAAATGGCTCTATGCAATCACTCATGAGCACAGGCGTAGCCAGGCAAGTGCGACCGGCCTTCACAAACCCAAACGGACCTCTCTTAACCTTTGTACATGCGAGCATGGAGCACGAAGCCCTTATGACGTTGTGTCTGGGGCCTGCTTAAGGGCCCCGGGAAATTTTGGATTCTGGATGCTCTTGGTGCAATCTGAGGCATTTCCTGGCCACTTTCTTCTGACTCTTTGAATCAAATTTGCTCATGTTTAAAATTTGAAGGCAAAATTTTTAGGGGGAAGGTGTGGATCATCAAAGTTGATTTTTTTTTGGGCATTTTCTTTTCTATCTCTGAGCGGAATTCATTACCGAGCAGGAACCCCCCCCCCCCCAACCGTAAGGGCCTGTTTATGTTTTTTGTATTGCTCGATTTTACTTTGTGCAACACTGAAGTATAAAGATTTCTTTGTCTTCAACTATAATAATTTCGTTGACGACACCACAAAGTCACTCCCAAGTCCACTCCAGTGTTATGTCATGAAAACCACTCAATGGCAAATTTGAGTTTCACGACGTAACACCCAAATGTGTGCGCGCACTTCAGACACTGGCGCGAATGGATTTTCGTTTTCACAAAGTTACCACATTGTTACGAAAATACAATTTGGAGAAAAACGCTTTGAAACAGTAAAAAAAACCTTAAACTGGTAAGTTGCTTCATGCAAACAAAAATATAACGAGTGAGTGCACTCGGTTTTCTGCATTCTTATAATTCATTACAACTCAAGAGTAATTAAATTGCTGATTTCTTTTAGCTTTCAACTAAAGTGATTTTTGGCTTTGAAGTTTACTAAAAACCTTGTTGGAGTCTGAAATCAGGCTGTTTTTGAATAATTGCCCTACCTGATGTGCCATCATTGTATGCCTGTCCCTCGTTAGCTTTGTTGTATCTGACGCCATGGGGCTGCAGACTGATGTTGTGACTATTCAAGTTGTTCCTCAACGTCACCCTGATCTCGTCTCCAACCTCACCTCTGATAACTGGTCCCAGAATGCCCATGCTGTCATTGAAGGGGGAAGGACTACTGAACGTGGCATCAGTATAGCCCACAAACTTGGCTTTCTTGTACATCCCACCGATTCGATTGTCGTCCTTGGTGAAGAAGGGGTAGGAAGTGCTAGGTAAAACAAAGTAAGAATATTTCTTCATAAAGATTTAAGCCAAGACCTCACAAGCTTATAACAAGTCATTCACAAGTCATCGTGTCTCATCAACTTCAAACAACTTTCATTTGTCATTGTTCGTTTGCTGTAACTTGACTAACGACTTGAATGACTTGTGATGGGACGTGTGATTGTCAATTGCTATATTCTTCACTACAACTCTGGTTTAGGCCACACAAAAAAAGTCTCCGGTTTCTGGTATGGAGCTTGCCCAAAAAGTGGTGCGGCAACGCGGCTTTTTTTTTTTTACCTGTTTTTTTTTTGCTTCAAATGTCGGCTGATGACTGCAAATGGTGCCCAACTAAACTTAGTGCAAATATATGGGAGTCCAGAAAGGCCACATAAAGCTTATTCTCGATCATAACCCCATATTAAAACACGTTAAAATTGTGCAGCAGCAGGATTCCAGTCAAACCAGTGAGTTTGGCGGTTTTGAGACATCATCTTTCATTGAAAAAACTTTTTTTTCATTTTGCCGACGCGCATGGCTACGACGACGCGCGCGCATACCAGAAACCGGAGACTTTTTTTTTGGCCTTAACCAAAGTTTGACAATAAGTACATCTACATCACAATTTAACTACTAGTTCACCAATAATCCTTATTCATAAATACCTAAGACAGTTTACCCATTCCTATTGGTCGAGAGCCCGCCACGTGGCCGGTCTTACATGGTTGATAAAACACCTGCTGGCTGGTCTTAAACACTTTTCCAGTGTCACATCAAATTTGGACTCCTATGAAATCTGGTCCCTTTTACCCTTTTATTGGTTGAACGTTCACAATCCTCACTTAAGCATGCGTAATACTCCTTAATTCACACTACACAGGCACCACCATGCTCTGGGCCATATCGCGCAGTACGCGACCCATGCATGCACTAATCTCCATATAAGGAGTTGTTTGTGACTACTCGTGAGAGCCACAAACCAAAACATAGTTAGAGGGGTGTTTAAAAAAACATGAAGTAAATTTAGTGAACAAAATCATTGGAAATTTATATTTTTCTACTTGTTTTGACTCTTTGACCGAAAAGGTAATTATGAATGGGAATAAATATGTGCTTGGCCGGTATTGAACAAGTCCGTTTAAGACTGGCTGGGGGCCTGGTCACCAATAACATCTTCAGCTCGGGCTATTTACAGCTTCCATTCCCCCATCCGGTCTTAACGGACTTGTTTAAAACCGACCAAGCACACATTTATTCCCTTAATCAAACTTGTTCTATCTAATGTGTAATGCACACTCTAGAGTTTGCGTGCACATACCTTGTTTCATTGGTGAAGCTAGTACCATCGCTGTGTGTCCTAGTGAAAGGTGCATAGTCCCAGTTAACTTCCTCTGCTGCTATGAAGTATTCCCGTCGGCCTGTGGACGGGTCGACTTCAGGTGGTTGCCTACAAGATTCCGTGGAGACGGAGTACAGAGCCTGTGCACCGTCTGTAAAAAAGATTTATACAGAAAATCTACTTGTCGCTCACCCGACCAAGTGAGTCTGAAATCACCAGAGCTACTTTTGAGTTGATAAACAAATCTTTCACAATGGAAATGAATAGGAACTGACCATTTCACCAACCTGATGTAAACAATTCATTAGGATGTCAACAGAGTTTTACATTACAAAAAGAAAACAAAATAAGTCAACAAATCCTTGCGACTCATTTTTTGGATCTGGCCACAATTCCCAATATCCCTCAATATTATTGTGTGACATTGTACTTGATGAGCTTAAAGCCTCTTGAAAGTTGAAGGTATAAACTTGTCCCACTGTTCCATCTTCAGTTTGATCCAAACCAAGCCACAATGGCTTGGGCTTCCTCGTATAAGTACCATTTGTTGGATGTAACAAAATTGTTCAGTTTGATTTTTGGAGAGTATGTCCTAGATTTTCGTGTCGTTTCAAACTGTATATGTTTCTTTGTAATGATGTACAATATTCATAATAGTTGCTTTACAACCAAGCACTAATCTGGTATGGTTTTATTTTATTTCATTGGGTTGTATTCCATTTGTAATGTATTGTATTTGTACATGTGTGTATTAGTCTTCTGTAGTTATGCAGTAATCACGCATGCTTTTATTTTATTTCATTGTGCTGTATTGCATTTGTAATGTATTATATTTGTACATGTGTGTAGTCATTTGTAGTGTTTGCAGGGCCCCAATGGAAACCAGTTTTAAACTGTTTGGGCATATCCTGGGTAAAGAAATGTAATGTAAAAAATAAATAAATAAATACATTTTGGGGTAATTGGCAAATCCTGAAGACATTAAACAGTTGCAGTTACATGAGATGACACTGGAAACACCACACATCCCCAACCGTTAAGAAATTGGGTTAGCAATGGAGCCAGACCAAATACGGATACCCTGATCCCTGGTTTCCCAAACACTCACCCTTGAAGTGGGTGCTGGAGGCGGAGGTTAGCAGCCAAGTTCCTTGGTTCTCAGCTACCATGATGGCACTCATCAAAACGGCTGGAGTGAGACTAAGGGAGTCTCGACGACGACCTTGATATTCCTGTCCATAAACATGGGGGGAAAAGAAAAGAAAATAAGAGCAAAAACCCAAGAACTTGCACTAGCCTACTTGCGTACTAGACAAGTGGACCAATCAGACTACTGGGAAGGTGGCATATTGCATAGCAACCAATAAGACTTGAGAAGCTTTAAGGGTATTGCCCGTCTCATACACCCAGCAAGCTTGTGGACTTTTTCTCATAAACTCTCAGACAGCACTATACAGTGCTCGTGAACTCAGGTCAACGAAGGGGAAAATCTACAATTTAAATTGACAATTATCTTTTAACTTACAAGTACGTTGCCATGGAAATAGATAGTATGAATGTCAGCCTCGGTGCCAAATGCCGTAACGTGCCAATCAACCTTGTCCCCAACGCAGACTTCAAGACCAGGCAGGTTGCCATAGAGATAACCATTGACGCTATCCATTTGGTTGCTGCGGACAAAGTCGTCGCTTTCTGAAAGAGAAGGGGAAATTTTGTCATTCTTTTTCTCTTCTTGGGGGGGGGGAAGGCTAGATACAAAAGGGCACTGAATTATAACCCAAGATATCCTTGGTACTGTTCGTTTATGTGCTATTTTCTTCATACAGGGTGTCAACATCAATCTCTTCTTCAGGGCTCTGTTCTAGTACACAGAAAATCCTGTCAACTATAAAATAGTTAATACACACAGAACTACAAAACACAACTTAGCTATACACAAGAAATATATTTGAAATTAAAATAACACTGCTGTGTAATTTTCAATTCTATAGATTTTCTTTATTTCAATAACATATATTTCCATCAAAAGCAAGTAAAAGCATCAAGAGAACAAAAAAAGGCATGATTAAAAAAGTCGAAGCTTATAGGGGCATATGCCTATACTTAAATGCACAACTGTCAAAAAAACAATTTCAAAGAATTGAAAGAAAAATAGACAAACCAATAGACAAGTACAAATGAAATGCAAACAATAACCAAGGACTGTAAATAAGTCTACTTAATAGCCCTGACAGTCCTGAATCCTCCAATTTCAATATAATTTTGCACAACCCCTTGGGAGTTAGGGTTAATCACACAGTCCTTGATAATACAATGTACTCTCAAAAGGAGAAAAACAAAAAAAAACATTTGCTAAAAAGCATTGTGTTTAAATTAAAATCAAGTTTAATAATGCGTACATGTACAAATACGTCTACTTATTAAATAAACAGTTTTGACATGTACTTGAAACATTCCAGCAATCACCAAACAGACATGGATGAGTCAGTAAATACATGTATTTACTAAATAAAGTACGTTGTAACATAATTAGGAAATTAGTGAAGCGTAGTAAAGTCAATCACAAGTCGATCTTAAGTCAATCACAAGTCATATCACAAGTTATATCACAATATCACAAGTCACACCACAAGTCACATCATAAGTTACGTCATGTCACATGTCTGTCAAAAGTCATCACAAGTCACGTCACAAGTCACGTGGCATGTCACATCACAAATCACGTCACAAGTCATGTCACAAGTCACGTCACAAGTCATATCACAAGTCATGTCACAAGTCATGTCACACGTCATGTCACACGTCATACCACAAGTCATTTCTCAAGTCATATCACAAGTCATATCACAAGTCACGTCACAAGTCATAACAAGTCATATATCAAGTCATATCACAAGTCATATCACAAATTACAGGACAGGAACCAAATGACACATTCTTTGTACTTGAAACTTTCAAACTATTCATACAGTAGCTGGGTTCTGGCTACATACAGGGTGTCCTGAAAATAATGGTGCATGTAAACCCCACCATTTTCTCCAATTTACAACCGGAATTTACTGCAAATGTTTACATGATCTTCAAGGTTACAGATTTAGCTTGAGAATACTGTTTGTTTAATTGAGATTGCTTTTGTAAATCCAGAGATATATGTTTGAATAACCCTAAAGCCCCCCCAAAAAACCATTCTGTGCCACTTTCAGGAAGCGAGTGCTTCAAAGATCAGACAATGCCAGTATGGCTCTTTTGATAAGATTATCCCTATGAGTGTATTAAAGACAAACATTCCATTCACATGACAATATAGGGTTTTGTTCTTATGTTGAAACAATTTAATAGAACAGACAGGTTTACTTCTTTAAAACTTCAATGAAAGAGTTCAATTAAATATAAATAAATATTGCACACTCTGCTTAAAAATGTTAAAATCACTAACAGTAAAGTGATTGGTTTTAGACTAGGACTATACTGATTTTAACTACTTCACGAAAAATGGCACAAAATGGGTTTCTTGGCTTTGCCGTTATTCAAACATATCTTTGTATTTACAAAATTGTGGTGCTGCAGGACCCCCAACTTTTTTTTGATTGTGGTGCTGGAATACGCTTCAGCACCCCCTACTCCCGGGGAAAAAACTGTGTTCAAGCCAGCAGTGTTCTACTACGATGAAATTGCGCCGCTACGCTATAAATTTTGCTTGCTCTACTCCGTCCGTTTTGTTCGTTTTTAGCGTTGCCGCGGCTAAGCGCGGCGCTTCGACTGACATCTAGCACAAACACTGTAAAATATCCAGAGGAGGTAGCTTCTAAATCTTCAGGCAGTGCAGAATCGATATTTCTCTCAAACTATCTATAATCATGACACATCTATGATATTGTAAACTTGCGCAATATTGTGGCGCCAGTGGAGTAGAACTGCTATTATGGATATATGCCTAGACCCAAAAGCAATAACCTTGGCCATGACAATGGTGGCAAAGTTGTTTATGCATGCTTGCCAGGAATTTTCATTCGATCTTTCAATGAAGGTTTTTTTTTCATTTAAAAGGTTTCATTGATGTTGCTAGCATTCTGTACTCAACCTTAACAAATAGCACTCCCCAACCTTTTTCCAGTGCAGTTTCATATTAATAAAAAAAGCTATTCATGCTTGAACCCTCTGCAATTATTTTCTCATAAAAACTCAGTAGAGCGATAAAATATCCTTCCCTGGCCCCAAACTTGCCATCTACCGATCATAAAGATGCATTTGGTCCTTTAGTCTTTAATATATGCCATTCCATGTATCAAACAAATAACACTGCAAATATAACTCGAGCTTCATCGTTTGTTGAGTTAGAACCATTTTATTGGCTAGTTAAGTTGTGAATATTTTTATGAACAGGAATTCATCCATTTCCAGTGGAACCGTTTTGTTTTAACTTGATCCAAAAAAATCCTTTCGGGTTTTATAAGTTTCAGAATACATTTTATTTACACTGATGACGTCATCAGTTAAAATGTCCAAACTTTATATTGATTTAGTTCAGACAGGATAACGTTCGTCATACAGTGAAAATAACTTTTGAATATAAGGAAAAATAATGAATTTATAAGTGTGTGTATAATAAGTAACACTTAACTCCCTGTTCCGATTTGAATTTACAGGAAAGAAAACAGATCAGTTACAAATTCTTTCAACAATAACTTCCAGTCCGATGACGTCATGATTCTGAATGAACATCTTAGGATGTATGTTTTTGTGAAAAACATGCTCAGCTTAAATGAATCGTGGCTCCAATACAAATCAAAAGTAGGCCTACATTAAGCAAGAGTAGTAGAATGACCTCCAATCTTTTGTTTTTCCGATGACGTCATGACCTCACAAAGTCCTTTGAGATTGTACAAAGAGTATTTGGGGTTAATTTGGTAAAACTGTGACGATTGGTACGTCCTTTCAACTCAATGACGTCATCATGCCAACATTTGTGTTTGACATTCCTCACTGATTATTTATATATTAAAATAAAATGCTTCCAGTTTCAAGTTACATTCAATTTTCACTTCCGGTAAAACCGGACGTAAATGTCAAACAACTAATTGCCTGGGAATTCAAAATATTGCTTTAGACACTGTCTAACTGATCACATAATAGCGAGAATGGTACTCCAATCATGTGAAAAGTTACAGTTCAAGGAATGTTTTTAAAATGTTGACATTAAATCTCTTAACTGTAATTTATTACCTGATGATGTCATGATGACGTAACAACTTGTTTTCAGATTCAAACTAGGTTTTATCATTATCTGGCAATAAACCGTTTGGAAGAAATTTCCACATTTGAATTTTACCTAACTTTGACCTTGCGGTAGCCCCGGAAGTATTAAGGTTGAGCATATAAAGAGTCATAAGTGAAAGGAGTTGGTAACTTTTTCAACGAAAATCGCTTGTAATTTGATACCCAATGACGTCATAGTGACGTCAGAGTTATATGCACCACTTGGGGTCAAGGATGCCGTTGGTTCAAAGTTACACGTTGAACTATTGAGGAGAAAACGTGCAGAGAATTACAGTCCAGAAAAATAGAAACAAAGAAGAAAAATTTATTCGAACAATTCTAAAAATTGATCCATTCATGCCCGATCACACAATTAATAATCGCTATAAAAAATTGCTCAACCCTTACTGAAGATGTCATCATACAAATTCTTTAATAGTATGACCTCCTTGGTTATACACAAAAGCATTATATATCCACTAAAACATGGCTCACCTCTCTGGCTGCCTGACCACGTATTTCATCACAGTGCATCCAGAATCCAACAATAAGCGGGCCCCTGGCCCCACGCCGAATTAAAGGGCTCGGAAAACAATGATACAATTCTTTTTCCAGAATTTAATGGAACAAACAAATGAGATAAAAATACAGGGTTCCTGACTTTTCAGTACAGTAGAAACGTTTTAAGAGCAACAGTATATTCTAAACAAAATAATGAAATAAATTGTCTTTACAATCTCAAGAAACTTTTGCTAAAAAAGTCATATGAAAGTGGCCAGGAATCGCCTCAGATTGCACCACAGAGCATCCATATTCCAAAACTTTAAGGGGCCCTTTAAGCCACGCAGTTGCGCTCTGCGTTTGCATTAATTTTGTCCGTCCTTTAGAAATTCCAGCACCCCCTGGCAAAAGTTTGTTCCAGCGGGCTTGAAGCAATCTCAATGAAACAAACAGTATTCTCAAGCTAAATCTATTACCTTTAAGATGGTGCAAATATCCGCAAAAAAAATTTTGTTGTAAATTAGCAAAAATGGAGGGGTTTACATGCACCATTTATTTTCAGGACGCCCTGTAAATCCTGCAAAATCCTCCTCTCGCTGCTTCTTGCAGGTTTCGGGAGAACTAGGGTTAAAAAATACATGATAAGTTTACATGTTGTTTTTTGGGGCGTTTTTTTTTTTTTTTTACCTTGATCAAAATCTGTCCTGCCGATGTAAGTTTCAATGTTCTCACTGAGCAAGTAGCTAAGGTTCTCATCCACAATGCTGAACATGATGAGAAATTCCTTGTCAACATCTGTTCGTCTGCCACTTTCATCCAGGATCCCTAGTACAAAACACAAGCACACTTCCAAAGATAAGCTTTTTCTCAATACCCCACTGAAGTGAAATCAAGATGGCCACTAGAGGGAGAGCATGTACAGAGGAAATGATTGACAGGGTCTTAGGAAATCTCAAGATTTCCTATCCTCAAGATCAATTTAAGATGGATGGTCTCATCAGGCTGCTCAACTAACCTTTTTAAAGAAATGTTTACAGTTACATTTTGAATAAAATTGATTGATAAGATTGATCAATGTGGCATACTTGAAATTCCTCCTTACTATGATTAGGGTAATAGTTAAGTTTGTCTTTTTAAATGTGAATCATCCCAAACACCTGCTGTACTGAAAGGGAATGGAATGGTTGGTCAAGAAATCAGATGGAGAGGCAGACGTAGCTGACAATGGACAAACTGCACAGCTTATTCATTTTAATCAAGTCAGCAAACCATTTTCAAAGACATATGGCTAAAAGGGGGGGGGGGGTAGCCTGTTCAGCACCTGGTACAGACATAAGCACAATCCCACGACAATACAATAAAACAGAGCATCTAAATTGCGAGAGATTCCAGGGAGGCCGCTACACTATGACCCACTAGTTAGATGCTTGTTGCTAATTTGATCTAAAAAGGATAGATATAAACAGTGGAATGGAGTGAGTGGAGTGCTGTGGCCTGGAGCATTGAATTTGTGGTTTGCGGGTAATTCCGCGGGTTGTGGGTTCGAGTCCAGCCTGCGGCTACGGTGTGTGCGCCCTTCGGCAAGGCACTTTGTCACGCATTGCTTCTCTCCACCCAGGAGTGAATGAGTACCTGTGAGGGAAGAGATGGTTATTGTGGCTGATTTTAGCTGCTTTTGTGCTGAAATGGCAGCTGTTTACTCCCCAGGGAGCTGAGATGGTATTGGGAATGTTTCATTGGCCCGATGAGCAGGGGTAATAATAAGCGCATTGTATCCTTTGGCAATTTGGCGCTCTGTAAGTCCAGTTATTATTATTATTATGAGTGCATACGTGTTCCATAAGAAGTCGTATCAATGCATAAGTTAATGATAGACCTGACCAACCATCTTTGCAGATCATCAGTGCACCAATCAGGCCAGTGTTGGTGTCATGAGGTGTAGAGATGTGTGAGTGGTAGGGCCAAGGCCGACAATTCTCATTCTGGTCTGCCGGACCAGCAGCTTCATTGGCAATCCATTTGAAGCGGTGTGTCTGGCCTGGTTGTATGTCCTCATCATTCTTGTCTTTGCCTGTTGTCCCGTCTTCGTACCTCGCACCTAAACAATCAAAGGAAGGTTGAAAAATAAAACTGCTTACTAAATCTGATTGACTTGGAAATGAAAAGAAAACACGGCCAGTGGTAGGGGGCAGGGTCAGGCTAAGGGGTTTATCCCCCTCCCCATCACGAATTGTACCCATCTCCCATGATAATAAGGTCAAGTATGAACAGCTTGAAACAAGGTTATTTAATTTCTTGCGTCTTAGGTCACCAGAGCTACTTTTGAGTTAAAAGTCTTTAACTTGCACATGATTTAATCAGAACATCAAACTGAGTAATGTATGCAAATGAAGAGCTGATTGTGCTCTTTCTTAGGATGTATGTTTTTGTGAAAAACATGCTCAGCTTAGGCCAAAAAAAAAGTCTCCGGTTTCTGGTTCGATCGAAGAAAAACAAGTAGCCATGCGCGTCGGCAAACTGAAAAAGTTTTTTTTTCAATGAAAGATGATGTCTCAAAACCGCCAAACTCACTGGTTTGACTGGAATCCTGCTGCTGCACAATTTTAACGTGTTTTTAGATTGGGTTATGGTCGAGAATAAGCTTTATGTGGCCTCTCTGGACTCCCATATATTTGCACTAAGTTTAGTCGGGCACCATTTGCAGTCATCAGCCGACATTTGAAGCAAAAAAGTCAGGTAAAAAAAAATTAAATGAATCGTGGCTCCAATACAAATCAAAAGTACATTTAAGCAAGAGTAGTAGAATGACCTCCAATCTTTTGTTTTCTTCTAGCTTAGGTCCACTATATGAGTAACACTGACACATATTTTGTGTAAATCTCCATTCATATGAACGTATGAAAAGATTGAGATTTATTTCTAGTTTTGGACATCTAACACATCCCATGCTGTTCCTGAATTAAGGGACTGTTGGAGGGATGTCACATAGTATAGAACTATGATTCATAATGTAATCTTTTCCTTTACTTTGCAGCCGCTGTTGTCATTGGTTGATGACTAATAAACACTACACGAACTATCAACTAAAGAGTTATACTTATTGATGACAACAGCGACAATCTAGACTCTCTGACACGCTCTACCCCTCCCAATGGCTCTCGTCAACTGCTCGGCTCCTGACTGTGAGGCATCCTGGCCTAGCAACACACCCCCAGAGGTGCTGCTCGCCTTGATCAACCTACACGCCCGCACCGCCCACCCAACCGTTCCTGCCCCTGCACCTACTCCCGCCTCATGCGCCGCCAAAGTGGAGAAGGTCAGGCGACCTACGGTCATGGCTGCCGGCACGAGTGAAGAATGGTCCTACTTCGAGCTACGATGGTCCGAATACAAAGAAGCCACGCATCTCACAGGAACCGATATAGTCTACCAACTGCTTGAGTGCTGCGACGACCGACTCAGGAAAGACCTGACCAGAACATTCGGTGCCCTGACGTCGCAGGATGAACCGACCATCCTCAAAAACATCAAGAGCTTGGCAGTTCGCCGAGAGAACATCATGGTGGCTCGTGTGCAGCTCCAGCAAATGCGACAGGACCGCGACGAACCAGTGAGGGCCTTTGCCGCCCGCCTTCGTGGCCAGGCTAGCGTCTGTAACTACAAGAAGGACTGTACGTGCTCTCTAGTCGTTGACTTCAGTGACATCATGGTCAGGGACACCCTCATCCGTGGACTAGAGGATGAGGAGATCCGCCTGGATGTCCTCGGACAATCCAAACAGGACATGCATTTGGACCAAGTGCTTCAATTTGTCGAAGCGAAAGAGAGTGGCAAACGCTCTGCCGGCCGCCTCCTCGAGGGTGGTGCCACTGCCACTACGACTGCTGCAGCTGCCAGCTCCTACAAACGAAGGGAGAGATCCAAGCTACAGCCCCGCGACATTAAACCTCAGGTGTGTGACTACTGTGGCAAGGCGGGCCATGAACGTAACAAACAGGAGCGCGTGAGGAAGTGCCCCGCGTACAATCACACATGCGCGAAGTGTGGCATACTCCACCACCACGAGAGTGTGTGCCGCCAATCCCAGCGGAGACAGCAGCCAGCCACGCCCAAGGCACAGGAGTCACCTCACAATGCCACCGCAGTCTTCGAAACCCTGTGCTCCGTCGACGACGCCCCACCCATGGACGCGAATGCAATCACTCTAGAGCACCACATCTACAATCAGTTCTGCGACGCATGGGAGAGGCGAGGATCTGACCCCCAACCCATGGTGGACGTCTCTCTCAAAGCAACTCCTGAGGATGCTCGTGACCTCGGCCTCCCTACCCCCCTGCTCAGCACCACCTCCTCAGCCATCTACCCTGCTATGGCTGACACTGGCTGCCAGTCCTGCCTGGCTGGCACGAAACTCCTATCCAAACTGGGGCTTGAAAGGAAACACCTCATCCCTGTCACAATGAAAATGAATGCTGCCAACAACTGCCGCATCGACATAGCAGGTGCCCTGGTCCTCCGCATCTCTGGCACCTCCCAATCTGGAGAGAAACTCGAGACCCGGCAGATAGTGTACTTCACCGACTCATCCGACCGGCTGTTCTTGTCTAAGCAAGCCTGCGTCGCCCTGGGCATGATCTCTACCAGGTTCCCCACCATTGGCGAGGCAATCAGGCCCGACAGTGCCAGCGTCGCATCCTCTGCCACCTCCCCGACGCCCACACCAGCAGCCTGCCTCACGCCAACATGCGAGTGCCCACAACGCCAGATGCCACCGTCTCCCCCAGCAGACCTCCCATTCCCAGCCACTGAGGAGAACCGGGAGAAGCTTGAGACATGGCTGCTGGAATACTACAAGTCGAGCACCTTCAATGTATGTGAGCACCAACTACTCCCCATGATGGCTGGCCCCCCACTGCGACTCATGGTGGACCCTGACGCTCGGCCTGTCGCCTGTCACACACCTATCCCTGTCCCTGTCCACTGGCAGGACAATGTAAAGGCAGGCCTTGACCGCGACGTCCGCCTCGGCGTCATCGAGCCAGTCCCAGTCGGTACACCTGTCACATGGTGCCACAAGATGGTGATCTGCCCCAAGAAGTCAGGCCAGCCCAGACGGACGGTTGACCTCCAGTCACTCAATCGTCACGCTGTTCGTGAGACCCACCACACACAATCACCATTCCACCAAGCACGTGCAGTCCCTCCCCAGACTCGCAAGACTGTGTTCGATGCATGGAACGGCTATCACAGCATTGCCCTAGCTGAGGAGGACCGCCACCTCACCACATTCATCACACCTTGGGGCCGCTACCGATTCTGTGTCGCCCCACAGGGGTACATCGCCTCCGGTGATGGCTACAGCCGCCGCTTTGATGAGATTGTGTCTGACATCCCGAAAAAGACCAAGTGCGTGGATGATACCCTGGTATGGTCTGACTCCATCGAGGAGGCCTTCTTCCAGGCAGTTGAGTGGCTCGACACTTGTGGCAGACATGGCGTCACCTTGAACCCCAAAAAGTTCGCCTTCGCCAAGATGACTGTCAAGTTTGCTGGCTTTGAGATCACCCCGACCTCTGTACGCCCCTGCCCTGAGTACCTTGAGGCGATCCAGAATTTCCCAACGCCCCGTAATATCACAGACGTGCGCAGCTGGTTCGGGCTTATCAACCAGGTCTCCTATGCCTTCGCCATGACTGACCGCATGCTGCCCTTCCGCAAACTCCTCAAACCTGGTACCCCCTTCTCGTGGACCGATGAGCTGGACTGCCTATTCGAGGAATCAAAGGCCCTCATCGTCAGCGAAATCCACAAAGGGGTGGAGATATTCGACAAGACCAAGCCGACCTGCCTTGCAACTGACTGGAGCAAAGATGGTCTGGGATTTTGGCTGCTCCAGAAGCACTGCGACTGCCCCTCCTCAAAACCCTTCTGCTGCAAGACTGGTTGGAGGGTGACTCTGGTTGGGGGCCGCTTCACTTCAGGTGCCGAGTCCCGCTACGCCCCAGTGGAGGGGGAGGCCCTTGCTGTCATCGATGCACTTGACAAGGCCCGCCACTTTGTCCTTGGCTGCTCTGACCTCATAGTGGCGGTGGATCACAAGCCCCTCCTGAAGGTGTTCGGTGACCGCTCACTTGAGGACATCCCAAACCCTCGCCTCCGCAACCTCAAGGAGAAGTCCTTGCGCTACCACTTCCGCATCGTCCACATACCTGGTGCACGCCACGCTGCAGCTGATGGGGTATCCCGCCACCCCGTGGGTAAAGGCGCACCGCTACAGCTCCCTGATGATGTCGCACCTGTGCACTATGACTCAAGCGAACCAACGACCACTGTGCTGCCACATGACTTCCTCACTGCTGTCCGCACCAGTGGCCCAGACCCTGTCGAAGTATGCAGTCAGTCTGCCACCACAGCTGCTAAGATGATCAAATCAGTCACATGGAATGATGTCCGCCTCGCCACATCCAGTGATCCAAACATGTGCAGACTGATTGAGATGATACAAGGGGGCTTCCCCACTCTCCCTGGTGACCTCCCCCGTGAGCTCCGGCCATACCACCAATTCCGTGAGAATCTGTCAGAGTTTGATGGCGTATGCCTTTACAATGACCGTGTCATCATTCCCTCGTCCCTCCGTGCCCGGGTCCTTGAAGCACTACACTCGGCCCACCAGAGCATCACCATGATGTGCGCACGAGCTCAGTCCTCATTCTTCTGGCCAGGTATGACCCCCGCCATCACCGATACACGGGCACGCTGCTCTCCCTGCAACCGTATGGCGCCATCACAGCCAGGCGCACCGCCAACGCCTCCCGTCCAGCCCGATTATCCATTCCAATGCATTGCCGCTGACTACTTCACCTACCGCGGCTGTCACTACCTGGTGGTGGTGGATAGGTACAGCAACTGGCCAATCGTCGAACAGGCAGCCAACGGCGCCAATGGACTCATTACTGCATTGCGCCGCACCTTCGTGACCTATGGAATCAGCGATGAACTGTCCTCAGACGGTGGCCCAGAGTTCACCGCAGGGTCCACCCGCGCTTTCCTCCGCAACTGGGGCGTGTGTCACCGCATCTCATCCGTCGCCTTCCCCCACAGCAACTGCCGTGCTGAAGTGGGCGTCAAGACTGTGAAGCGCCTCATCACTGACAATACTGACGCTGAAGGCACACTTAACACTGATGAATTTCAGCGTGCCATGCTCCAGTACCGCAACATGCCCGACCATGACACACACCTCTCCCCTGCTATGTGCGTCTTCGGGCGTCCCATCCGTGACTTCATACCCATCCACCCTGGGAAGTACAACCCACACAGCACATGGCGGGAGACACTCACATCCCGCGAGGAGGCACTGCGCAACCGGCACATGCGCGCTGCAGAGCGTCTCTCAGAGCACACCCGTCCCCTCACGCCACTGATTGTCAGCGACTGCGTGCGTATCCAAAACCAGACCGGACCACACCCGACCAAGTGGGACAAGACCGGGGTTGTGGTGGAGGTGAGGCAATTCGACCAGTATGTCGTGAGGGTTGATGGATCTGGTCGAGTCACCCTACGCAACAGGCGATTCTTGCGGAAGTACTTGCCTGTCGTTCCACGTGCGCCCCTCCTAATGGCACCCGGCCCAACACCTTTGCTGCCGGGGTCGCATGCAGCTAGCCAGCACCCAAAAGCAACCCCTCTGGTGCAGGCCAACAACCAGTTACCGCAGGACGCCTCAGCCACACCACCTGCGATGCTTCCAGCCGTCTCCCAGCCAACCCGCACTAACCATCCTCCAACCCCGGATGGCTTGGAACCGACTCCCACCTCACCTGTGACACCCACCGTGGCCACCACGCGTCCACCCAATAGCCAGTCCCACCCAGGCTCCGTTCCCCGTGCACTCCGCGGCCTCCTGCCACACAATACTCCTGGTCTGAAGGAACACCTGGCCCCGACAGTGGATCTGCCACCCCTGGACCGCTCCTTGACTGCCCCTCGCCGATCCACTCGCTTGTCACGACCGCCGGCCAGGCTTAGGGATGAACTATAGGACACCCATATACTCTGGACTTTTGTTTTCTTCTTCTTTTTTTTTATATAGCCAAAGTTACAGCTACAGTTTTCTTCCTATAACCTATGCTTATTCTTGTTTCGATCTTTGCTTATTGTTCATGTTCACGCCTTTGCAATCTGTGCATTTCTTTAGGTTACATAGTTATGTCTGTTACATTTGGAATCTTTTCTTCCTAGAATTGTTAGCCTTTGTTATTCCCAAAGACTTGGGGGGCATATAGAACTATGATTCATAATGTAATCTTTTCCTTTACTTTGCAGCCGCTGTTGTCATTGGTTGATGACTAATAAACACTACACGAACTATCAACTAAAGAGTTATACTTATTGACATAGCACATCTCTACGATTTAGTGAAAGGATTGCACAATAAAGAATTGGGTCAAGTTGTATCAATTTCCTGGGATACATCCTGAATTCAGCATGACGATTTCCTTGATCAAATGGAATAAACAGAATAAAACAGCTAGTACATGAGCTTCCGTTGAGGTTTCCCCCATACTTATCTCAACCCAACATCCACCTTCCTGTAAGACCTTCAGACAATCATGTATTTGTTTTTGTGCAGTCGTACATGTACATGTAGGTATCATTTCGCCGTTTTGTTGCAGGAGAAGGATTGAATTGGGAGGGGAGGGGATTGCAGTTTTTCCCCTCCGTTCTAAATTTTTTCAGGGATAAAAGCTAGTGTACATTGAAAAATTCTCCCTCTGAGTACATGCACATGGCAAAATCATCAATCCCTCCCCCTCCGATCGAAACATTGATTTGTCAGTAACTTACATTTAACAGAAATGTATACATCACCAGCATGACTATCTATAGGGGTGGGGCAGACATAGTCCGACAATTTGGGACTCTCAATACTGTGTATGAGAGTCCCAAAACTTAAGGTATTGAAAACAAATATGCCAAAAAAAAAATAGACTGGCACTTAAAACAACCAGTCCAACACAGCTTCAGTATTGCATCAATCAACCATGCCAACAGAATTTAAGAAACATGTGGCATGAAGCGGGAACTAGTCTCAATTTACTGCACATTTCTCCATAGTCAAGCCACCAGACTATTGACACTGAATGAAGAGGTCAGTCTTTTCAAATAGTTGGACCATGGTTGGACATGTACCAGTCTAGTATTTAGCCCCATTTTGAAATCACTTGACTTCCCTCTCATGTGCAAAATATTGAAGAAAAGTTTCCTTTAAAAATTGAATTGAGTCTGCAAACTTGGTTGGTGAAATACTGAGGACCTTTTCTTTGCCCAGTGGAATTTTTGGAGGAAGTTTCTGGCTAAACTGTGGGTAAAGTTGGCCTGATTTAGTTTTGCACGTTTCAGAGCACTCCAGAGCCCTGTCTGCCCCAGAAACTTCCTCCAAAAATTCCACTGGGCAAAGAAAAGGTCCTCAGTATTTCACCAACCAAGTTTGCAGACTCAATTCAACTTGTAAAGGAGACTTTTCTTCAATATTTTGCACATGAGAGGGAAGTCAAGTGATTTCAAAATGAGGTCTAAAGACTAGACTGGCACATGTCCAACCATATTTGAAAAGACTGACCTCTTCATTCATTGTCATTAGTCTGGTGGCTGACTGTCGGGAAATGTGTAGTAAATTAAGACTAGTTCCCGGTTCATGCCACATGTTTCTTAAATTCTTTCGGCATGGTTGATTGATGCAGTACTGAAGCTGTGTTGGACTGGTTGTTTTAGGTGCCAGTCTATTTTCTTGTGTTGCATGTTTTCAATTCTTTTAAGTTTTGGGACAGTATTGAGAGTCCCAACTTTTCGGACTAGGGGTGGGGCATATGAGCCACTACATGTAGCTAGGCATGTGTCCTCTCTCCTGTTAGAATTTTTTTTTGGGGGGGGGGAGATCTTGACATTTACTGCAACTATTATTATGACAAAACCTTATGTCAACGAGTACCCCACTTAAAACAATGACACCAAAGTGACCCCTCCCTCCCCCTAGAATTTGAACTCTAAATGTCGCATCATTGATTACCATCAATAGAGTGGGTAACCAATTCACCAAGTTTCACTGGTACCAAAATTCCCCCACGATACGAAACCTATCCACTTACCTTCAGAGTCCTTTTCATACTTCATGCCATGTGGATGCATGGTGTAAGGTCTGCTAGCCATATTCTTGAAGTGGACAAACATGGTGTCGCCCACCTCCGCGTAGAGTATCGGGCCCAGGAAACCAAGCCATTCCGGTTTGGCAATCTCCTCTGTGTAAGTAGCGTCTGTGTACTGCTTGTACACAGCCTTCTTGTATTTGCGTCCAATGCGGTGGGTTCCGTTAAGGAGAAAGTCTGCCTCATAACTACATCAAGACAAGTCAAACAATATGGAGAATAAACACAGAGAACGTCTGGAACGGGATGAGGCTGAATGTTCTAGTTTCAGCTACTTTGTTGGTGGTGTCCTAACCAAAGTGCGTTTTTCCCGAATCTGCCGAATCATACCACTATTATTGGGGCAAAGAAACATTCACGTGCATGACTTAACTACCCTTGCATTACATGGTTAAGGATCAAATTTATACTTTAAAGGTTTCCACATCGTTGAGGTTTATTTTTCCAAATTAAGCTTATTGCTTTGAATAACGCCTCCACGCATCAACTAATGTCCGCACCTCCATGGGCATGGTCTTCTCTCGCTCTAAGTATGGGTTCCTTTCTCCATGGTATACTGCCGAGTTCTCCCCCCCCCCCAAAAAAAAATCCCTACCCCCACCCAAGACACAAATCCTGGCGAAACCCAGGAGCATTTACCCTATCATAATTACAGCAAGCAATCGGGATCTCGATGTTTGTCGACAATGGGAACAAAAAGAAAATTGATTCTTCGTACCCATGGGTATAGGCCTATTATTTAGGATTAACGTATAGCCAACTCGATCAGTAAATCAAAATCTACATATAGTTTTGGATGTTACTCGAGGAAAATAAAAGCATTTGTGATCTGGTAACGTCGAGCGATAAATTCATGGAGTGCGCAACGGGCGTGGCCATCTGAACATTTTCTTCGCCAGGAAAAATCAACACGATCGTGACACAAAAGTAAATAGGTCGCGTTTTGACTTTTTTGCATATACAGTGAACTTTGTATCTATCGTAATGATTGAAGTTGCGTTCCCCAATGCTCTTCAAATTCGATTTTTTATTTTTCTCCAAACCGGCTAACTTTCTAAACGTTAGGTCTAACGTTATGCATTCGAAACAAAATAAGCTAATTTTCTCTGTGAACACCGAAGTTGCAACCCTGGTGTCCCGGGACAACTGAGACTAAGACTTTATTGCTCATATACATGCAGCCTATACATGTCCCATTTTTTTAATACTGTATAAAGTTACACAATGCCTATGGTGTCGGTTATCAAGTACTACGTACTTTGTACTTTTTAAGAACTCTATACGCAGAAATTCATTAACAAAAAAATAAAAAATTACAAACACAAGAACATAGTGGCTGCACTATAAAGCTTTATTGTGCGAAATGGCCAACGTAGCCTCTCACATAAAACTCCAGAGTTATTTTCAGTCATTATGATATAAAGGAGTCTTTCGTAAAATGAGATGTCTTTTCAGGAGCATCAAGTTACATTCACCACATATTACCCCCTTTTCTTTGGCGATGAAAACGACTTCACGCTCACTAAACGAGGAACGCTAAAAGTATGGGATAGGTTTTTTAAAAGCCAATGATATAGTGCATCGCTTTACTTTTGATATGACAACCAATCCGGTATTGTTTTGAACCTTTTTGGAAGTCGTCGTTTTGTCAAATGACAGGCACAATAATTTATTTATTGGTGGGGGTGGAGTTGCGAGGGGCTGGGGGTTAACGAAATTGACGACAGACAAATTGAACCCGCCAGATATCTCCCTTTTACCGACCGCCGCAGATTCGAAAAGTGTCGGACATTGATTCCCTCTCTTTCGTCATGATCAGTATCGTCTTGTGACTTGTTTACGTTCCTTCACTCTTCAATAAATCCATTTTGAAAAGGATTTTTTTTTTTTTTTAGGGGTGGACCTCGAGAATAATCTCACGGGGAGAGCAACTCTGAAATTAGGTCGGATCGGGTGAGCTATCGATGCATGAAATAAGGCCACAGCAATCAAATGAAGTCAGCGTCGTGCTCCACTGCTTGTACGGCTCGTTTCCTTTCATGCATGCACACTTCAATTGAAAATCTCCCCCTATTTCTGTCTGAATAAAATGAAGAAAAAGTATTTTATAAATCTGCCCAAGGCTTATACATGGATCAAGTGACGTGTTTGGGTCCATCCGGGACAAATATCATGTCTCTGCTAACCACAGAACACTTATGATCACCGTTTTTGTGCTTACACCGAAAGCCTGGAATCCTTAAAAACGGGATGTGCGTTTAGTATGTCTGTGTGTGTGTCTGCATGCAGTGCGTGCGTCAGCCAAAAAGTTCCTTGCTTACCGTGCATGCTAGTCCAGCCGGACCGGTAAACAAGTTGTGCACACATTTAAAACACTCATCTTATGAATATAAACGTCCGTGCACAGTTTCACGCTTTTATGAAAAGTTGCACAATTCATCGATATTTTAGCACAACATATCCTTACTATTACAGACTTGTTCCTCCTTCACGCAGTGGAGAACGTTACAAAGAATCTTAAATTGCTGCAGTCGTGAAGTTTATGGACCGGCCTTACGCCTACCGTTTCTGCGCTTACAGTCGGCTATAAAATAAAACCCGCGCCCTGGGGGACCCTGGCTATAGCGGGGCACTAGCGGGGACCTACCCAAGGGTTTCCGAGAAAAAGGTGCCCCGCTACCCTGGACATTACCCCGGGACTGACCCGAGACTTCCAAAGGGGTTGCCCCGCAAGCCGGGGCGATACCCGGGGATTTCCAAAAAGCATGCCCCGCCGGCCGGGGCATTGCCCGGGGCTAATACATGTACCGGGACTTCCAAGCAGTTACTCTGGGACTTACCTTCGGAAAATCACTAGCCTATATGTACATGAACGACATGCATCAGAATGCGTGGGGATTGAGAAATCAGAAAATCATGAATTGTCTAAGCGCGTGGGACTTGACTAAAGGCTACGCTTGAATAGCACGCAAGAGGAAACTGCTTTCCAATAGGAATTCTTAACTGGAAAAACACTCGGTAGTAGTCGAATTGTACTTGTATTTGCTGCTCCTTTATGGGTGTTTAGTCGCAATTAAAATTCTGAGAAAGATAGAACAAAAGATTTCTATATAAGTTGGTTTCTAAGCCACCTCATTGAGCAACACCGGATACGTTTTCCTAATATCAAGTCTTGCAAAGAGGTTTCGCATTTGCATATTTAGAGCACCAAACTCTCTTCTCGGTAGGTGGTACATCCATGCATTATATTCCCTTTATAATTCAAGTTGTCCAGGCCGGGGCAGATCCAGGAATGTTTGCAGGGGGGGGGGGGTGTTTCATCAGGAAAACAATTCTGAAACGTAGACAGGTTTTTTCTCCGGACACTTATCCTCCGAAAATCAATGAGGGGGGGGGGGGGGGGGGGGGGGGGGGGCCTCGTACCATACTTTTAATGGGGGCGCTGTTCAAATCCGACGATAATTAACACTATATTACAGAATAGTGTACATATACCCCCTTACCAAGCTGGCTCTGTCCGTATTTTGTGCAGGCGGACATAATTAACATATTATTTTTTTGGGTGTCACAGCAGGGTGGGGTGGGGGGGGGGTTCGCATTATTTTCAACACATTTCTATGAATTTTTTTTTTTTGCACAGAGCAGGTTTTTTTTTTTTTTTTTTTCCTCCCCCCCCCGGGATCCGCGCCTGTTGTCGAATACCTAAACTTTGAGAAAATCATATCCATCAGTCACTGTTAATTTAGGCCTTAATGTATCACACATAAAAAAAAATCGAAAGAGAAGTTCATCATACTTATTCACTTGTCAATTGTAACCCGCACCCCGGGGGACCCTGGACTAGCGGGGACATAGCCGGGGACTTCCATATTGAAATTTGGAAACCCCCGGGTAGTCCCCGGTAAGTTTCTAGTCAAGTGCCACGTAGCCTTTAGTCAAGTCCCACGCGCTTACCCAGACACGTGACGCACTCCAGATGCTGACACGTAAAAAGACTAGCACGAGCGGCGTAGCCGCGAGGGCCTTTACCATCTCGTGGAGAACGCTTAGGCCTATGTTTTTCTTCACATTTTGTCTACCGATTTGGTAGACATGCATAATGCATTACCCGTTGTGAATTGACCAATGCAAATGCAGAATTACTAACGTAAATCAGCCGTCGTCTGGCGCCAGAAAGCACGCGCGCCATGGCGCGCACGCGTGCTGTTGCTGGTAACCGCAAACCACCGTTAGATGATTGGTTCTTCTTCTTTCGTATGATTTGCTGACAACTATACAATTTTGTTCAGCTGATGTAGCCATGATTGGTTTATATTGCTTGATTTATATTACGTGAATAAATGAATAAGTGATTAGTTCCACGAGATAGTAAAGGCCCTCGTAGCCTTGACCAATGCTGTCAAGCCAAGCTTTTTCCCTGAACTGTCCGGCAGCCGTTTTACCCTACTTGTCACGGCAACGTACGCCGCTAGCAGCCCCCTGGCTAGCTCCGCTTGCCTGTACTGTACTTGTCACGGCACACGTACGCCGCGCGCTTTGCCGGTACGTATACAGTACCTACGTACGTACGTACGTACGTACTACGTGCACCCCATGCAGTAACCAATACGCAGTCGCAGTCGAGGCGAAAGACAGCCTTGACGCAACCGTCGCCAATTTCTTATGTGTTTCTTTACGTTTTCGGCCAATATCGGCCGAAAATTTCTGATGCACATATTTTACACGATAGCCAATCACAGCCCGTGCACTTTGACCCAAACATGCATATTCATGTTACTTCGCTTCGTCTTGTGCGTGCGCGTGTTGAACGAACGATGTGTGTGTGTGATGCGTTGTATTATACATGTACATACTGTACATAATGTACATGTACATGTGTACGTGTGTACACATTGTCGTGCTGCAGTAACCGAACAAAATGGAGGTTTCAGAAGTAAGCCTAAATGGATGTCTCAATTCTGCGGCCGATAAGCTACAAATTGACGATTTTCGTCCTGAACAACGGACTGCACTTCAATACTTTCTTCAAGGACACGATGTCTTCGTCAATTTGCCGACCGGGTTCGGTAAATCAGCGATTTTTCAAGCAGCGCCGTACTGCTGTGAATTTCTTTGGCAGCTCGGCCTGCAACAAGCACGACAAGGAGGAGCGAACGTGGACGAGAGTAGTTTTTGCATAGCCCTCGTAATTTCACCCCTCACCGCCTTAATGAAAGATCAGTTGGACTCCCTAAGTCGCAAAGGAATCAAGGCCACTGCTTTAACCAAGGATACACCCACAACTAAATGTACAGTACAAGTTTGACAGCTACTGAGCTAGCTTTTACTGCGCAAACAACACAAACCACACGCACGTGTACAAAGTTTATTGACCCTTCGACTTCACGCAGTAGTGATGAATATTTATTTTATCGTCAGCCATTATCCAATGAGAGAAGACTATTTACCATAGCGCATACTTATTATCATAATGAGCAGAAACGGTTGCGTCAAGGCTGTCTTCCGTGTGACAGCTCCCACGGCATGGTTACTGTATACTGTACATGTACATGTACATGTACATGTACATGTTCTGTACATGTACGTGTACGTACGTCCGTGTGCGGATTTGTGTTAGGAGCATATCGCGCGCGCAGTACAGGCAATTCGCAAGCGGAGCTAGCTAGCCAGGGGCCGGGGGCTGCGAGCGGCGTACGTTGCCGTGACAAGTAGGGTAAAACGGCTGCCGGACAGTTCAGGGAACTGAAACTGAAAGCTTGGCTTGACAGCAACGGCTGACGGACAGTTCAGGGAAAAAGCTTGGCTTGACAGCATTGGTCAAGGCTAAGGCCCTCGCGGCTTTGCCGCTCGTGCTAGTCTTTTTATGTGCCAGCATCCGGGGTGCGTTACGTGTCCGGATGGGGTCCGGGTATAGGCGCGTGGGACTTGACTAATTAAGGCTAATTCAAGCGCGGTATAGGCGTATGTGCCAAGTTTTCAAACAAAGTAAAGTCAAATCATCGTTCCAGAATCAAGCTCTTTGTTGCGGTTTGCGGTAACGGAAGGTAAATACAACAGCCGGACAGTGATGACCAAAACGGCTGCCTTGTACCATGGACAAATCCCAAGTTAAAGTATACCCCATCAATAAATCTCGATGGCCTTTTCAACCTCCAGACTTAATGCGACCTTTGCCCACGCTTCTCACTCGATCGAGCGGAATGGTTCTTTCCCGCGTCCGTGATCATGCCACGCATGCGCCCGGTGTCACGGTCTCACTTCTCCGGCGTGCTAGCTTCTCCGAAAGGGAAATTTCGCTTCAACACGCATGCACAAAATTGCGCAGTGGTGTACATTTTGGTCAACTTTATTTGTGTGCTGAGTTCTTCGGGGTTGTACTGGTGCACGTAATATCATAGGATATTTGTATGCATAGTTACAAGGTACCAGTCAAATCCCAATAACCAAAAAAGACTTGAAATGCACATTTTATTTAAGCCGCATGGTTGCAAAAATAAAGACAAAATGGACCACGAACGAGCAAGGAACACGGACCAAGGAGTTCGTTCTTAATTATTCCTCCATGAACACACACACATGCATGACGTACGCTGGGAACACAAATCAGAACGCTTGCAAGACCATGCGGGAAGTGTTACATAACACATTCTTGGATGTCCCTCACTGCTTGGTAATACAGCCCGAGGAAAAGTAAGCACAGCGGACACATGAGCATGAATCGTGCTCATGTAATGTGCACTGTAACGTGCTCAACTGTCCGCCGAATCCACCTGGAGAAGCTAGCACGCCGGAGAAGTGAGACCGTGACACCGGGATCGCATTACGCAGGTGAAAAATTAGGGGAAATCCCGTTATGTTCCCGAGTCCGACATTGTTTTCTACTAAAAGCATAATCTGTGCTCGGTCTTACAAATGTTTTTTTGTTCCTCACGAAGTTACAATATGTATGTTTTATTTCAAAGAAAAAACAAACACATTTTTTTGGCGATTTTGGGTGTCATGCAACCCTTTGGAAAAAAAGGCTTTCGTTTTGCGTCGCTTTTGCGCCTGTAACGCACAAAATATTATTTAAAGAACAACATGCGCTGCATGCGATAACCAAATTATTGACAGGCCGCAAATAATTCGAAATTTGCGAATTATTAATGCAACTAAAACGAGAATATTTTGTTCGATGTTTTATTAAAAAGTGACTAACTTTTACGTTGCTACAAAAATGTAGCAATCGGAAAACAACTCTATTTTGGGGGGTGAAACTCGAAAAAATAAATACCCAATTAATTATCTTACCCGAATCGAGGAGCCTTGTTCAGAGCGACTTTACTTGTATAGTCGGAAATAAGTCTCCTGAAACTTTTGTCTCCATATCCTATGCTTTCATAAACAGACTAACACATCCCGGCAAAATCTATCACGCGTTCATATTATTTTCATTGTAATCGGCAAATCATTAATTATCGGAACAATGTACGACGCAAGCCTTTGAAAAAAAAGGCACTATAATTATAAAGTGATATATATGATTGAATTTTGTGACTCGAGTACAACGTACGCCGAAAAGAGTATAACTTAAGACATCGGAAGCAAGACTCATGCGTAAACATTAAGTACAGTGACTAAAGCAAGTCAGTCATTAAGAATCCAGTCAATCAATCGACTAAAACCGACTTCACTAACAGCAGTGCAGGCGCCAACAGCAGAAGCCTAAGCTAAGCCGAACCGCAGCCGCAGATTCAGGCACGGCCTGGGATTCTGGCTGTAAAGTTTGTAAGGGGATATAACCACTGATCTCCTTACCTTCCCTCGTGGATGTCAGTGTTCTTGATGAGATTTCTCCCCGATGGAGCATAGTCCCACTCAATCTCCACGGCAGCCACAAAGTATTCCCGTAACTGGTTGGTAACGAAGCCTCGTGCAGACACGACACTGCCGTAGAGTCCCACCACCAGGCAAGCAGCCAAGACCACGCGGGGCCAGATATGGACCAAACGGTGCATACTTCGTGCTAAAGCTCGGTACAAGTTCTCGGAAACTGGGCCAGCACTGCAATCTGGGCAGCAGGTTTGACTGATAATTTCGCACTTAACTAGCTCAGAACACGTTACACCAGCCAGTAAGAGAAGCTGTCTCAAAGCACAGTACCAATGTGCCACCAGGCGCGACCTCACTTTTATAATATTTATGAAGCTTGCTCAGTTTCCGGTGGGTACACAAAAGTGATTGTTGGTTATGAGACAATGGATGCCAGACGTATTCTGGTGCTGTGTGTGTGCCTTTTGAGTTGCGTTTATTATGGACGTGACTCACCTGGGGTCAGAGTCGGGGTGACGAGCTGGTTGTTGCTGCCATATTAAAGACTCGCACCCGTGATTCACCCGGAAATACCCACTCCATGGTAACATACTAACATTTACGAAACTTGAGATCCGCCAATGTCAGTTTATCTGATAGCGGATTTTAATCTTTGAACTGTTTGTGAGAGATCGTCTGGATTATGACACAAATACCCAGCTATTACTCGGTAACGAGTGCGCATTAGAGCAGAGCTGTCAGTGTCACTGGTAGTCCAAGGTTACGGACCGTTGGAGGGCTTTTTGTGTTTTGTCGCTGGTACAGTGTATAGTGTTTGTCAGACGATTTCATAATTCAGTGTTAGTAAAAAAACACTGCAATGTTGCAAAGGAGCCATCTTTTTGAAGTTTTGAAGTTTTGAACTTTTTAATTGGACTTACCGCTTGCCTTTTTAAACCTTTTTTTTCTGCAGTACCCGATTTACGTTTTTGTCCACGAGGCAACAGAATTTTGCATATACGAGCGGAAACGGTACAATTATAGACAACGCAGGTTTAAAACTGACTGAACTTTAGTTCACGGTTTATTTTTATTTTTCACTTCTTTAAATACAAAGTTTTTTCTGGGCTATACTAGTTACTGTGTCCTTCATTAATTGCAGCTCTGCCCTCTACTTGGCAACCCTGCAAGGCAATGCATGTCTCAGCTCTATATCCTCATAGAAAGAACGGCTCTGGGGACGCATTTTGTGCTCCCGGAGTACGCATTATTTTTTTAGACGCCTCGCGGACAAAAAACTGAAATCGGGTACCGCAGTAAAAAGGTTCACAAAAGACAAACGGTAAATGCAATTAACCTCATTTTTTTTCAAACAAGGTTACTACACTGTTAGAACATTGGGCAAAAGAATGCCCAACTTATTGCCCAAAGTTTGTTCAATAGTCAACATGAACATCTATTGCGCAATTATTACCCAACGGTCGTTGGGCAATGTCTTTACTAAATAATTAAGCAAACCACTTTCTCAAAAGTTGGTTATGTACTACTGCCCAACCCTTGGTAGGCCTAGTGTGCCTAAGGATTGGTAATTATAGGTTTCCCATTTTTCGGGCAGTAACAGTTACCCAATTGTTGACTAACAATTTTTGCTAATTTATTGGGGAATTCAGAACGACTGCTTAAGGGCCTGTCACATTATATGCGCTCTCATAGGAGACCTTACGGCGACCATTTTTTTCTCTCATAAATTTAACAATCGCAGCGAGGACGCAAGAAAATGACAATTTTCTGTCTCAAAGAAGCTCAAGCTACGCTCATACTGTGCTCTTCTCGCGCTTACGATGCTCTCAACTCGCTCTCTAGTCTCTATGCGCTTCTGTCAAGCTCAATTACTCGATCTAGTCGCTGCCGCTGCGCTGTCACCGCACCTGCACTACGCTCTGCTCGCTGTTGATACGTCCTAATTGCTCGCGTCGCGCTCTCTGTTCGACCAAAATACGCTCATGTGACGTCACTTGCGCTGTATAACGGTCACTTGCGCTGTATACCACGACAAAACGGTCAATACATAGTCCAGTTTCAAAAATTATTCAACAGATTCATCGCAGTCGAGTTACTTTCTCATGGGGGGGGGGAGTACATCGACTGCCTTGCGCCTAAGCTGCCTCACCCACTTCAATGTCGCACGATTCACGCTCGCACAGCGCCCGAGTTGCGTCATTAGGGCGCCCTGGCCAGAGCGCAGAGGTGTTGCGATTGTTTTGAGCATGTTCAAAGACCTTTGCGCTCATCGAAGACAATTAAGACCCTCTGGCGCCCATCTGGCGACCTATGTAGTTGTCGTTGCGATCTAGTAGTTGTTGTTGCACCCCAGCTATTTTTCAAGGACGCAGTGAGAGCGCATATAAGATCGCAGACAGTGTGACAGGGCCTTTAGTAGTTGGGATCCAGCTGTACAATAATTGGGCAACTGTGAATCCAGTTTACGACCACTTGTTGGTAAATTCTCGTACATTTTTATAAATTGTTGGGCATAAATCCATTGCAAAAGCTCAGTTGTTGGGACTTGATTCAACCAAAAAATGGGCATTTTTTATCCAACAGTTAGTTAGCACAGACTTTAATAAATCACTTCCGAAAAATGTTTATTTCGTTTTTCCCTCTTTATTTATGAACACCAAACAAACACCACAGCAAATCCTCAGTTCAAAAATAAATACATAAAATAAAGATTCACAAATATCTCAATTTCTAATGAAAACACTCGTTGGCTAAACAAAAGCCTCACTTCTAACTACTTCATCAAACTGAAGAGCTCAAATCAAAATTGAGAGTCAAAGGTAAATAAAAAAACTGTTGTGAATGCACCAAGAGCTGCTTTACTTCTAATTAGCTCTTTCGTGCCTGATGGCGTCTACAAAACACATTTATTACCGTGCCTGTTTGAGTTTTCATTTTTTTTTCACTCTCAAATACATTATTTCTTTAAATTTACTTGCGGCAGAAGTTCTTTAAGCTTCTTACAAATAAAACGAAAAGAAAACAGCATTATCCTTTTATTAAATGTCTCATACTGGTCGGAACAAAGCTCCAAATTTGCAATCAAAACATATTTTTCTCTACTATGATTCTGAGACTCTAGACAGCTTTTTTTTTTGAAGCTATAGGGGAAGGAAACAGCTTGGTACTTGCAGGTGCGCTCTTTAGCAAACATCCAGGGCTTTTGAGGTGGGTGGTCGTGGTATGGCCTGCTTCTTGTGATCCACTGCTCAGTGAACTTCGCTCCCAAATACCATCTTCACCCTGTCAGCAACTGTCTGTCATTATCTGTATAGATGAGAAGGTGTAAAAAAAAAAAAATCAGTCTGTCCAGCTGTTTAGCATAATTATGTGGATATTGTGGATAATTTTATTGTAGGTAGAAAAAGCCTCCAACAATGCTTGGAGAATTAAGGAGCGTACCCCAATCCTTGGATATAATAGGAGTATATCGTGCCCAATCTGGCCCGGCCCTCGGACAGCGAACAGGAGCACGTAACCCAACCTTTGGGGAGAATAGAAGCAAAGAGTTGGGGAGATAACGGCATGTGTATACCAAACCTTTTGGATAAAAGAATTACGTACCCAATTTCTGAGGAGAATGGGAGCATAACACCCAATCATTGGATGGAATAGAATCGTACACATGTTCCCAAACTTTGGGGAGCTAGAAGAGGCTTACCCAACCCTGCTAGTGCTAAATCAAATGTCATACCATTATGACATTTATCTCCCAAAATATTTTAGGGAATATCACATGAAATGAGTCATGAATCAGGAATAAGACATTGGGACACTCGCATTATAATGCAATTGTTGGGTTAACAGTACGATATGGATAACGTTAAACCTAGCATATCACTGCGAAAATGCACAGAAACCGTCCGTGTGCTGTGCTTATCAGACAGGCACACATATTCCTGTATCATGAATTCTCTCTTTATATAAATATAAGAATCCGTACTTTTAAATTTCGAGACATGTACAATTCTTACCTATGAAAACGTCAATAAGGCGTTAACACCACATTTACTAAACAGTTCAGTCGTAAATGTGGATCTTTGCTAAACGTAAAACGCATGCGCATTGGAGTCTCATTACTTGTCGCAGATATTTTATTTACGATTATAGATCTCTTTGTAACTTCAGTCAAAAGGAGCCCGAATAATAATACATTGATGACATTGTGAATTGTAAATAAAATATACATAAATATATATATATAAAAAATTAATTACAGAAATAGTCCGTGTTTTTTTTCAAAGAAAAATTACTTTTGTTTGTGTTAAAATATTGACTGACTAAACGTCTCCGTGCTCCTCATTAATAGCGACGTAGGGTTTTTTTTTTTGGTGGTTTTTTTTTTTAATTATTATAATTTTTGAAGCAATCCTCTACATTCTTTAGACCAGAATACGTATGTTATTTGGCAATATGCATGTATACAATCTACGTAGCCTACACCCGTCGGGGTTTTTGTTTTTGGTAATAATCTTGATTTTATGATCTTAATGTTTAAGATCGTCTTGACAGCGACGCGTAAATCTCAAGAGCAAACGGAAAAATACATAATTACTAACAAATAGGCATATTTGCTTGTTTCAATATCAATTAAGAAAAAGAACAAAAAGAAGAAAACACACCTATAGTGGAAAAAAATCCAACTTCTTACTTGTTCAACAAATATTAATATTTCCCACTCGATAGAATATAATTCTTGATAACCTGATTGACAGATGATGGGTACAATTGCTCGAAATGAACTTTTAAGGACCATTTGGAATGAAATACACTTACTTGTCAAAATGAATAATAAAACGCACGAATCAAATTACTATTAGTATTATTTTTTTGGAAAATCTTATACTGATTCAAGACCCCTTGAAACGAAACTGATCAAACCAGTACAATATTAAATTAAAGACTCGTTTTGATTGTACATGAATTTGTCGGGAAAAAACGCTATAATGATTTTAATGCATCCTTTTGCTTTCATTATTCATTATTCCAATTATGATCCTTTTCATGTGATTGCTTGCGATTGTTTTCTTCTTTTTTTCTCACCAGAGTCACTTAACTACATGTGTTCTGCGTCCAATCGATGCAGTCGTTGTCGAGGGCCACCTAATGAATATGGAAATTAACAAGTGATGTTGCGTTCATACTGAATTTCAATAATCTAGAAAAAAATCACATCGTCTATTTCCCACTCATCATCGATAATAATAATTATGACGATCATGAAAACTGAGTTTGATTAGGCCTAATTGTCACAAAGTTGTTAAGAACAATGTGGCCTAATCCAAACAAGAAAGAAAGAAAAAAAAACTGGTCACAAAAGTTATGTACTGACTCCACTGTGTAATTGCATGTGCAGGGTGTCCTGAAAATAATGGTGCATGTAAAACCCGCCATTTTCGCCAATTTACAACCGGAATTTACTGCAAATGTTCACATGATCTTCAAGGTTACAGATTTAGCTTAATAATACCGTTTGTTTAATTAAGAATGATACATCATATATGAACGACCAATGTAAACTAATCTTATCTTGACAATGCGACACATCTTAATTCTAATCATGGCCATGTAATATACAAAAAAAAAATAATCCAACGTGAACGCAAACCATTTTTTTTTTATGTAATTTCATTAACAATATAAATTTCCTAAAAAAATAAATAAAAAAAAAATAAAAAAAAAATTAAATAAAATTCAATCAAACATTATTTTCAAGGTAGCTTTCTTTTATTAGCATAACAATGAATATGCTGCGCTATTTTTAGATTTAGTAAAAAAAAGAGAGATTTTCGTCATCTGGAAGTAGATAAGGTGAGGATTGTCGTCACGAGGATCAGTCTGAATGTGGACATTGACATCGTCACGTCGCTCTTGAGTCTCGAGTAAGTGTCCTATAATTGTAATGTATTCGATAATACATGCACATTTACATTTGTACATAAATGGTGTAATTTCTTACAATAACGATTTTCGTTTTTCTTATAAAACCCAGATACCCTCAAGTTTCAATATGAGCCATCAGGGAGTTCCTTCGATGCTTGCAGGAGGAGTGGGACATCGATCAAGATGAAGATCAGCTTATGGTAAGTACAAAACAACCATCTGGAAAACAAATATTACTACATTATATACATGTATTATACTATACTTTACAAACCAACTTGTTGGGATACAGTTTTTCTTTCTTAATTAGTAATCCATTTAATTAAAAACAAAATGTCTATGTATTGATCGCATTTTATGTTAATATATGTAAGTGAATATTTGTACTAACGATCCTGTTTCTGTTTTTCTCTGCAGATTGTTGACGTTCTTCCCGAGCCGTCAGCCGCGGTGAAGCAGCAAGGATTACAGGATGGGCGAGAACAAAACGAAACGGCAGTCAAAGGTAGACGATACCCATGCGGGACGTGTGGAAAGGTCTTCCGTCAATTGACCAACCTCATCCGACACCGCAAGCTTCACGAGATCGGTCCGAATGTCAACAAGAAGGCCGTGACCTGTCCGGTTTGCAGCAAAGTATTCTCTCGTCCCAACAACTTAAAACGGCATCGCAAGAACCACACCGCAGATCAGCTGCCGTCCACCACACGTCAAATATCGCATCAAGGCAATGGAGAGTCGCCACGTGCTGAAGCTGGAAGTAACTGTACGCCTCCCCAAAGCTCAATCGTTAAGATGTCAATCTGTCCAGCATGCGGAGGTGTTTTCCAGAGGGTGAACCAAATGTTGTGTCATCTACAAAACGACCACGGTGGAGTGTCGGCATCTTACTACACCGTTCGAGCCAAACCATGAACCCTATAAATCCATCGCTGAGAATAAGGAGCGAGAGCCTGATATGATGGAGGCTGTTCCCAATGTCCTTACTTCAACATCACCGACTGGCGTACCACTACCGTCACCACAGGCACCACAGACACCACAGGGGCACATCTGCCCACTGTGTGACAGTCTTTCAGTCGACTTGACAGCCTGAGGAGACACATCAAACGTACCACGAAAGCGGTGCAATTCCACCGTCAATACACGAAGAACCGTTATCACATCAGATTTCCCGTCCTGAGTCACCTGAAACTGTTCCCGAGGATCCCCGCGAGTTTCCAGCTGATGATAACGGCGAAGAAAACTTGCAAGAGACTGATGATATTCCCAAAGCTCTCCGTCGACACTGGTTGCCCATTCGCACGCATTACACAACCGGCCGCCGCATTCAAGATGTATACAACTTTCGACTGGCTGGAAACTCGACCATGGACGTTGATTTGGCTTTGAAAATGATATTTCAGCGCCTTCGATACAAGGGCGGATCGGGGGGGGGGGGGGCAAAGGGGGCCATCCCCCCCCCCAAAAAAAAAAAACCCGACACCAATTTTTTTTTATGCGACATTGCAATAAAGGCAGGCAATGAGTACACCACCATCTTTTCCTCAAAAAAAAACATTGGTTAAAGTGGTCAGAAATTGCCTCAGATCGCACCACAGAGCATCTCGAACCCCACGCCATAATTTTGTTGACCCACTTTTTGGGGGGACCAACATTTTTTTTGGCCCCCCCCAAAAAAATTGTGTTCTGGATCCGCCCTTGCTTCGATGCCGAGTAAAGATCAACTTATCGTTTGGGTTTACGTCATTCGGAGACGGGTCAGCTGAGGTATTTCCACGCCAGTCAAAACAATGCGAGGCTGTTCTCTACCCCGGAGACTGTTGCTACGGAGCAAGACATGGACCGTGTGAGGGAGAAAGTCCGAGAGACTGACATCTTACAGTACGGCATTCTGCGTCGACCCGACACAAAATGGACCGTTGCAGCCACCACCATCGTGACGGTCTACGTCAACAAAATGCCGCAGTTTCCGATCGGCTCACCCGTAGTGAAACTGACTTCCGCACTACGTCGCTAACAATCGGGGTCTGACAAACTTGCTCCGAAACACAAACTCCGGAAAGACGCTTGATGACAATTTTTGTTTCTTTCGTTGTCTGGCCGTGCATAGGGGAACCAATTCACACTCGACTGAAAAAGCAGTACATCATCTGGTCGAAACATACCGCCAGGCTGCGGGCAAAGATCGGGTAGACGGAATAACGCTGGATGAGCTGGCCATTGCCGAGGTGGTGTTCGAGGTGAATGTGCAGGTGTACATGCTGCTGCCGGCAGAGATCGATGACGATGATGATGACGAGAACGAGGTTGATAAGATGACAGGGGATGAACAATGTCCGAACAAATCCCCGATCCAGGTGGAACTGATCAGGCGTTCTCACCGCCGCTATCCCGATACTCTGTATTTTAACCTGTGGGGAAATCATTTCTCCTACATTTCTGATCTCAGTAAGTACAGCCGATCCTACGCATGCTCCAAGTGCAACACCGTGTTTACCAGATCGTGGAATCTTATGACCCATGAGATCACGTGTGACGTCTACGTTAAACACAAGTTTAGTGGGGGTTCTTACCAACTGCCTTTAACAATCTTCGACAAGTTATCCGAGATCGGCATAGATGTAGAGGAGGACATGAAATATTACCCCTACAGGGCAACCTTTGATTACGAATGCTACTTCCAGTCCGTATCTCCCTCAATGCGCCAGCGAGAAGGAAAACTGCGATGGGAAGCACGCCACGAGTTACTCAGTTGCAGCATAGCCAGTAATATTCCGGACTACGAGGCGCCACGGTGTTTTGTCGGTAACGGCAACCCGCGTGAACTGGTATCAGACATGGTCGACTACCTACATACCATCAGTCTAGCTGCGTACGACACACTTCTGGAGAAATATTATGAAGTCATTTTTGAGAGGTTGGATGAGATGATTGAGGACATGAAAAGCGAGTCAATGCCGCTGAGCAAACTGCACAAGCACATCAACAAACTCAGGGAGCAGTTAGATGAATATCTTCAAGAGTTACCGGTGCTGGGTTTTAACTCTGGAAAGTACGATATCAACGTCATCAAGCGTTATCTGTACCCGGTACTTCAAGAAAAAGATCCTCTAAAATGGATCATCAAAAGAACCAGCACATACATGGCCCTCAAAACCGAGAAGTTGAAGTTTCTCGATATCGCAAATTATCTTGCTCCCGGATACAGCTGCGCGAAATTTTTGAAGGCGTACGACTGCCCCCTGACCAAAGGATTTTTTCCCGTACGAGTGGGTAGATGATCTGGACAAACTTGAAGTCGGGTCACTTCCACCTCATCAGGCCTTATACAGCAAGCTGAAGGGATGCAACATATCCGAGGAGGAATACCAGTACTGCCAGAGCGTGTGGAAGGAGCACGGTATGACCACAGTACGGGATTTTCTCGTTTGGTACAACAACCTGGACGTGGTTCCCTTTCTCGATGCGGTAGACAAGATGTATGCATTCTACAGAGAGCGGCAGATGGACATGTTTAAATGCGCCATCTCGGTCCCGGGTCTGTCACTACACTACCTTTTACTTACACTACCGAATGACATCTATTTCAGCCACCGGCGGCGGAACCGGGGGGGGGGGGGGGGGGGCAGAGGGGGCAGTTGCCCCCCCCCCCCACTTTTGAATAGGTAGCTATTTTGCCCCCCCACTTTTTACCAGGAGCGATTTTAAAAAACGAGGTTAATTAAAATGATACAAGAGGTAAAAAAGATCAAGTTGAACACGTGTCTCATTTATAGGGCCCTATTAATAGTATTATGTACTACAATGTATCTCTTGCTCAGAAAATATTTGTTAAAGTGGTCAGAAATTGCCTCAAATCGCACCACAGAGCATCTAGAATCCATTTTTTTTTTCGGGGCCCTTAAGCGGGCCCCGAACCCCACGCCTCAAGGGCTTCGCGCTTCACGCTCGCATCAGTTCTGATCAAGGTATGTTCCCCCATTTTGGAAAGCGATTGACACCCCTGTTTGGGGGTGAAATTTGACAATAGGCCTTATACCTAAGGGAGTATGGCGACACAAAATTAGAAAAATGATACGAAAAATAGGGATATACCATAATTTTCGGAATATAAGCCGCGCGGTGTATAAGCCGCAGCACGCAAAAATCTGCAAATTAAGATCTGAAGTCGGCGTATATAAGCCGCACCCACCGCAGCGGTTTCAATTTTGTAAGGCCTCCAAAAATTCTAGTCAAAAAGCTCTGAACCAGTTCCAGTTACACTACAGAAGCTATAAAAAGGGCCACAAAATTTATATCAAATCATTTTCAATCGATACTCTTACAAACAAATATGGAAATTGATGATGAGAAATAAACACCGGGAACTGCTGCCGGCTGCCCCGTCCCGGTCCCCGGCCTTAAAAGTTGCATGGCCGGCCAGGCAGCCTGCGCCGCGCCGGTGAATGACAACATTTTCCCGCAGTACGTGAGAGAGTATGCAACCCACCGCGTGTTGTCTGACTGGAGCGCTACAAATCTTGCTTTTGTGGCAACAGATGCTGACTTGTTTTGTCTTAAGAATAAGCAGGTCCGTTTTTACCTCAAAACTTTTCAAATTTTTGTGATTACTAGCGAATAGTAACGTAAAAAATTCAAGTTTCGATCGTAACTTCCTTCAAAAATAGTCAAAACCAAAGACCCTTTAGCGCCGTAGGAAACGATGCTGACATTTTTATGGACGAATCCATTAATTTTGTAAGGGGTGATTTAGTCCCTTTTTTGAGTTTTACATCGTTTCTTGAATTCGTTTCAAAAAAAATATATACTGTGACGTTAAACAACTTATTATCTAATAAAGAAATGTTTCGAACACCATAAAAAGTATTAGTCGTCTTTTTTCGTGTTTTTTTTTTTAAATGCAGAAATATTGGTAATTATTGTTCCCAAGAAAGTACACCCCTTCATTACCACAAATGGTGTGGTCCGCTGGGGGAAAGCATGCAGCTAGCTGCACACCATCACGTACGGCTGGTCACAAGCGTCGAAGAAAGCTTTCACCGTACTTTTTACCGCTCGGTACCTTGGTTTCGGTTTGTTAATGACTTTTTAATTGATAATTCATTTCAGCGACACCTCTCTTCTTATACCAGTACATTAACTACACATGTGAATCTTATTTTTATTCTTCAAGGCTCAGCGTATAAGCCGCCCAGTGTATAAGTAAACATTTTCATGGGCAAAATCAAGCCGCGGCTTATATTCCGAAAATTACGGTAGGAATAGTCCACACGCATAGGTTAGCAGACATTACGTAGGTCACACTTTCGTTTCGGACCAACTTCACACTTTTCCCATTTGCTTTGATTTTGCTTTAATCCTGCTCCGGGAACAGTAACTGGACCTTGCCCCCCACTTTTAAAAGTGTTCCGCCGCCGATGATTTCAGCCTCATCGACGAAGCGAACAAGGACCTTTATTACAAACTCAGAGACAACATCGTGCGTGGCCCGTCTCTCGTCTTCCATCGATACCACGAGAAATGGAAAACGTTCATCCGAGGAGGCACCAAACTGTGTCAAAACATCGTAGGATTTGACGCCAACGCCCTCTATGGTCTCTGATGCAAGACATGCCCGTGGGGTCGTGTATAAGGAGACGGGCCGACCACGACTTCACACCCATCAGGAGCCATACATTCGGTGTTATGGCCACAGAGTGGCTAGACTGGGTGGCCCATTGCGAAGGTGCCCATATTCGGCATCAATTCAACAGCACGGAGAAGCGTGTGGGTGAGCGAATGATCCCGGTGGATGGCTACTGCAGCGACACCAACACAGTGTACCAGTTCCCCTCCTTTTTTTTTTTAAATTTTGCCCCCCCCCCAAAAAAGGAAATTGCAGGGGAAATGTGCCTTTGGGTATGTAAGCACATTATGAAGTATGAAAAATCTGTCCCAACTTTTTGGGCATCCATCCAAAATATTGTTTGTCCCAATAGCGACTTTTTTTCACCGATAATCAAATTCATAGGTGTAAGGGGCCATTCAGAATGTTCAATGTTTTAAAATTTCGACTTTTTTTCCAAATTATTTTGACCCACCCACCCACCCCTAATTTCGATTAATAAAAAACTGAACATGTACATGTACATGCACTTGCATGTACATGTACTTGAACACCATGTACATGTGTGTCTAGTTCAGTGACGGCGTGAAGTTGTCGGTCTTCCTCTTTTGCACTGGTGACCTTCAGTTTTCTTGTGTTTTGCCAGCTGATATGCTGTTGGGAATGACAGGTTGCAGTTTTGGAAGCCACAAAGATGACCGTGGTTTTGTCGTTTTCTGGATGAGGTGGATGACATGTGACATACGAGGTTGTGCCTATCACGTGAGGTAGCTGAGAAAAACATTCGCTCGTCCGCCCCCCCCCCCCCCCCCCCCCGCCCTGTTTGCAGGGCGGGGGGTACGAGCGAAAGAAAACATCAGGTTTGGGCAGACATCACATCACAGGCTGCGGTCCTCGTAGTCTTGGAGTCCAGTGGTTGAATAGTCCAGTTTTATAGCGATTGGATACACGTAGGCCTACATGACGTACATGTACAGTACACAGTGGCGTAGCCACGGGGGGGGGGGGGACAGCCCTCCCCCCATGAAACCTTGTCCCCCCCCCCAGTCGCCCCCCCCCCCCCCCCCCCCCCCACTGAGATTTTGAGTTTCTAAAAAAATTATCATTGATCTACATGACGCCCCCCATGAAATGTTCCAGCGCCCCCCACTGAAAAATTCCTGGCTACGCCACTGGCCCCGGTTGACTATGCACACCATGGCTCGAACTATAGTGTGATCCGGTACACTCGCTGGCCCCGTCCAGCTGTTGCTTCCCCGTCACTGTAGCGGTCCGCTCCCGCTTCAGTCCGGCCGTCTCTGCGAAGCGAAAGCTCGTACCGTGCCACTCGGTTCAGCTAAAATCTTTGGCATACTTGGTTCCCCCAGTTAGTGTTGTGAGACTCCGACACCGGTGTTGAAACCAAGGAAAACCCTGACGTTGGAGGAATCCCCACAAAGTTAAATAAACCAGTAAAGTCACTGTGTGTGTGAAAGCTCTGTTTCCCGCCAAATTCGTTATCATAGATAATAATGTTGATTCTAATATAAAGTTAATGAACTAATAGGGAATGCAACAATAATTTCAGGAATGAATTGCAGGGCAGCTCCGTCGCACAGCCTTTAACGTTTCACCACTTGAAACTTAGAACTGATAGACACATGGATTACAAGATAAGAGAACTGTTCAATTGCCTCATTCATGTTCTCCGAAGTCATCGTGTTAAAATTAGAAAAAGTTTTAACTATGGAAGGTTGTGAATCTTTTCTTTCAAAACTGAGGGAGGAATTGTTGCAGTCATATTTATTTTATCGTCAATGTAAAATTGTGTCTTATTTCATTTTGTTCCCGGGTATTTTCTTGTTGTTTCTGTAGACCTATGTATGTCAACTAGGTTGTTTGTTTTTATGGTTTGCATTTTTCTCTCTGGGGAATGGGATTGCTTTTGTTTCTCGGTTTTGTTTTGTTTTGTTTGTAATAAACTTTTTAGCCCGTTTGTCATTCATTCCCGTTATTGAGTCTGGTTGTTTGTTTTGTTTGTTTGTTTGTTTGTTGGGTTGTAAGAGTATTTATTTATTAGTTCGTTTTTATATTTTTGTATCTGTCTGGCTTGTCCAATGTTTCACTCTATGATTTTTTTGCTGAGTCTTGTCTCATCTCCCCGTCTTGTCTCGTCTCGTCATGTCTCGTCAAGTCTCGTCTCGTATGATTTGTACAATTTACTTTTCAATAGTACTTTAATTTTTATGAATGGAATTTTAAATCTGTTTTATTGGCAGGGGTTTGGATAAATGTCTCATGAAAATTGTTTTTTTTTACTTTTACATATCCGTGGCAGCCTGTCCAACTTTTAGCTTTTATTTTATGTTTTAAGATTTAAAATAAAATAATTGAATCAAATAAATCAAATAAAGTTTCTTCATATCTTTATTACGCTGGAGATTTCCCGATCGCAGTACATATGAGAGGCAGCCCAAATAGGCGCGACCTAATCCGGCCAAATTACGATTTGTATACTAGTTTATCTCTAATAATAAAGAATTTTGGCCCCTGCACTTGAGGGTCTGTATTTGTAGAAGTGAAGGGTCCATGTTCCTGAACTTGGATTTCTGAACAAAACATTTGAATGGAATCTATATTGATATGGAGTGGAAGGAATCTGTTTTTTTTTTTGTTTTTTTTTCAAAATGGCGATGGGGTGATCATTGTTGGAGGGAAAAATCACCTAAAAGTCATAGGTCAAACCCCCCCCCCCAAAAAAAAGATTTCCAAAAAGGTAAAGAGGATTAATTCAGCTTTCATTTGATGTATGTTTTGATCACCTGTGAGGGTTCAGAGTATGTTCCCCGATTTGTTTAAATTGGGGTATTTATCTTTGGTGCCTATGGGAATTTATGTATTGGTGTGCACCCACAAACTTTTCATCTGGAAGGCTCATGTCACGGAATGTCCCATTAAATTGTTTAGAAATTATGTTGAAAATAACATCTTCATGGATTCCCAGCACAACTCCTCACAATAAGCCCAGTGTTAACAATATTTCTCGTTGTGGGTCTGAAAATGAAAATTGTCGGTTTGTGTATTGTGAATATGATCAAGTGAAATTATTTATGCAGTATTTTGCCCATTTCCCTCAAAATTGCATATTGTAATATTGTACATTTTTGTCAATTTGCTAGAATATGTGATGCCTCACCAACAAGTATCTTTTAACGAAATTCAATCAGAATATTTATCAATTTTTAAAATAAAATATTAGTTGTTGTGTTACTTGTTGGTGTCCCTGCCACACTGTACGATGGTGTAGCCGTGCGTTATGCACGTGGATTGTTTACTTTCGTTTTGACGGGGACTTTACTGAATAGAGTCTGGTGACTGTACATAGAAATTTCTTTGAATAAAAGTCGAATCGTTCATTCATGTGCACTTGTTATGCAAAGCAGGGGCAGTGGTTCAAGGATATCTATGTCGACATGAAGAAAGTGTGCAAGAACGCGACTTGAATGCTTTTATGTGTTCACAATACAACGACGCTGTTTAGTTATTTCACTGTGTGACACAGTGAGAAATTTTGGAATCATAATGGCGTCAGCGATACTTGCTGGGGAGCTCTTGCGTACACTTTCTGTACTTTGGGACTGTTGTTTCCAGGACAATTGTGTGTGCGGTAACATATTTGTCTGGATAATTGTTTAGGGCGTTACCGGCAAGTTAACACAAACTTGGTGTCAAATAGATCATGGGAGTTACTTTTCTTTGACTTTTCATACAAGTTTACATAAACTTTAACTGTATGACCTGCAGTGGCGTAGCCACGGGGGGGGGGGGGGGGGGCGTGGGGGGCGACAGCCCCCCCCATGAAACCTTGTCCCCCCCCCATTCGCCTCCCCACTGAGATTTTGAGTTTCTAAAAAAAATATCATTGATCTACATGACGCCCCCTCCCCCCCATGAAATGTTCCAGCCCCCCCCCCCCCCCACTGAAAAATTCCTGGCTACGCCACTGACAGTACATATAGGGGACGAAGTTGGAAAAGAAACACGCATCGCGATATCGGAATGCTTGCACGTAGTTCAGGCAAGTCAAAAGATATATCTTTCTTTGTTTTTTTAAATCTTTTTTCCATGGAAAGTGAATTTCGATTTTCAGTTATTTAGCTTGACCCATCCACCCACAATTTGGAAAAAAGATCGAAATTTTAAAACATTGAAAATTCTGAATGGCCCCTAAGAGCTTAAATAATGCTCTTCTTCCATTAAAAAAGTGTTTTTGCATTGTTTGGAGAAAACTATCGCCCCCCCCCCTGAAAAAAAATATATAGTAGGCTTATATAAATTTAAAGTTTACCCTCTCATTTTTTTGAAATACAATTTGGGCAAAAATACAATTGCTTTATAAACTTGCTGAAAAGATGCTTAATGTTCCATTAGGCCAAAAAACAACTTTTGACTGATTTTATTGAAAAGAAAACCTTAAGACCCACACTTAATAGTATTTTCTGTTTTAAGGTAATTTAATTTCTACCCAATTAATACAAATGGAAGGTTTACAATTACACCTCATTCTGAATGATTGAGAAAGGTCAAAGTTGAGGGCGATGTCAGTAAGAATAGAAAGTATGACAATACATAACGGAATCAACAAAGTTATCTGATATTTTAAGAGATTAAATTTAATACTAAACTCTAAATAGTACTTTTTCTCTACGTAGCCTACCATTGTCTTTTTCTTGTATTACAACAGTTGAAATGAAGTAAATAAAACAGCACACAAGATAAGATGTTAATCAAAGTGTATCTAAAAATTATAATATTTAAAAAAGATTAAACAAATTTTAATCTTAAAAATATTGTATTATTGCATGCAATATTAAGAGATAAAGACTTAAACACCTGAGTTCTGAACCTTCCTTTAAAAAAGTATATATGCACAAAATGTAATCAAATCCAATGCATACACAGATTTTGTAGTTATATTTCTTCAGCCTTTCTGAATAGTACCGGTAAGTTTGGAATGTAGAAGCTAATAAACTAAAACAAAACCTTAAAATGCCAAGTTTCCACCGGACGAAATTTTAAAAGGAGGTATCCTGAATGAAACATGACTGTCATTGCTAGAAAAGTTGTTGTCCCCAAAAGGGTACCCTTAACCTAAAAGTATCTGTATTCTTTTTAAACATTTTCAAATATGTAAAATGCTATATCAGTACTATTTGCACACGATATCTGGACATAACTTAGAGTTCTACAACATGCAATATTATCAATACACTAAAAAAACATTCCATTGTTAGGAGTAATTTTATTCCTTGTAGTGATATAAATCTTGAAGACCTAAGTGGCCAGGCTAAAGTTGCCAAAATCGCAAAGACTGATTCTGCACACCACAATGAAATGTACATTAAAACAAAAGGTAGCAGGGGTGTAAATATTCAAAGGTTTGTCCATGTATGCGTACATGATGTGGTGATGTACTCCAGTCCGCAGAGTCCATCAGGTGGTCATACATGAAAACATCAGTTGAAATTTCTCAATCTTAACAAAGTCTGATGGTTTAGAGTGCTTTTGCAGTTGATTGTAGGCCTATGACAAGCAAGGCAAGATATATTCCTCACTTAAATAACACACAGCTTGTGTAGCCATAAGTCAATATCTACAACTTTCTTTGTTCATTGCAATACAAGATGCCGTCATGCAGTTCATTCCTGAACAGTAGTGAGAGATTTTATCATTCTTGTGTGGCTAGTAGACTGAGCTACTAGAATTGGAGACTGGCAACATTTCCCTGAAACTTCAAGCCGTACTGATATAAGTTGACTATATCATAGATTTTAAGACAAGTGCTTATGCCATATTAAAGTATCTGCTATTAAAATCAGGTTCTTAGCATCTTGGCAACACAAGCTTGTTTTTTTTGGTTGCAGACAGAGTGACAAAAAATTCTAATGAAAAGAAATTTAAAGCACACCTAAGCACATTGGGAGCTCCACGGTGGTGATATTCACTGCCTGTAGGTAGTTTATGGTATGTCAGGTGTACCCTTCATATCCTAGTTAAATTTCCTAGCCATGCTCACCCCTATAACCACAATCATGACGGTGCTAGCTATGCAGCATGCAGAGGCAGGGGTGGTTGGTGGGGGCTGGGGCTTGGGTGTTGTGGGGTCTGTACAAAAAGGAAAGAACATCAAACAATTCAATCCCAAGTCATTCATTGCAGTACGCATGGCTTTATCAGATTTTGCTTGGCTGTTGTGGTGTCTACACTAAACAGTCATTGATTGCAATTTATCAGATTCCAGTCCACCCACCATGCTTTGCAAGCTCATCAGTGGTTGAGTGGATAAGATGTCTGCCCTTGTAAGCAGGAGGACGTGGGTTGAAATTCCTCCAGAGTAATCTTGGGAATTTCTCTCACGTTTTCAGACAGCAATCAGTAAAACTCGCTGATGTCAGACTTGTTTTGGAGTCTTATATCTTCGAAGTCCAAGTCTACATTGCTCTTGTCCAATGTTTAAACCAGAGGGAATGTCTGGATATCTTTTGAATACACTGTTTTTTTTGGGTACATGTTAAGCATAAACACCCTGTTTTCAATGTTAATGTGGATTTAAAATGCTGACTAATTAGCCCTGCTTTTGTCGAGTCAGTCTGCAAGTGAAAATAGCAACAACTGTTTCTACTTAAAAAAAATCAATCTCAATTTTATGTTTTTCATGAAAAACGTACCTCCCAGCACAGTATAGGATGCCTCCATGCCTCCAAGTATGTGATCATTTACATGACAATGCATGAGCCAATTGCCAGGATTGTCTGCATACATCTGTACTGAGCCATACACACCTGCAGTGAGGACAATCATATATATTATACAAATGTGGAGCAACTTGGAGTGGAATGGGAGGAATATTATCGCAATGTAAAATCTGGACTTTTCTAAAGTCCAGATTTTACTGAGTGATAATATTCCTCCCATTTCACAATTTAAAGCCACTCAATATTTTTTATTATATAACCTACATACAGATTCTTGTCATTTGATTGGTGGAGCTCACATCACATGACATTCGTTATTGCTCTCATGCACACCGGGGCTCAAAAAGTCCCATTTGCCCATGGGGAATGGGATTTACTATTCAACAGTTAGGATCATTCTTGTTCCATGACGCGGTATTTGTGCAAATGTATGCTGGTGTGCGTGGTCAGCGTTGCGCGTAGCGTGTATTGTTCCAAAAAGCCAGCCCTACAGAGTTGGGTTCAAACATTTTTGTGAAGGGGTGGTTTGGAAGAGCGAAATACATTTTCAACCAATTTTGTATTGAAATAAAAATTCAATCATATCAAATGACAAGGATCTATATGTCAGTTATATAAAACAAATATTGAGTGGCTTTAAATTGTGAAATGGGAGGAATATTATCACTCCGTAAAATCTGGACTTTTCCAGTTCACTTGGCTTCGCCTTGTGAAATGGAAAAGTCCAGATTTTACCTTGCGATAATATTCCTCCCAATCCACGCTGAGCCACTCAATATTTGTATAATAGATAACTGACATATAGATCCTTGATCGTTTGATTTACAGTCAAAATGAATTTTCAATACAAAATTGGTGGGAAATGTATTTCTCTCTTCCAAACCAGTCATGATGTTTGAACCAACCTCTGTAGCTAATGGCTTGTGGGAACAATATGCACAATGCTCAACGCGCACACCAGCATGCATTTGCTCACAAATGATCATAACTGTTGAATAGTAAATCCCATTCACCATGGGCAAATGGGACTTTTTGAGCCCCGGTGTGAATGGGAGCAATAATGAATGTGAGTTCTACCAATCAAAGGACAAGGATCTCATTACAGAACCGAGCCCAATCTAAGCGCCTCTGTGCTCTTATCTGAGATAAAGTAGGTATCCGTTACACTGGGCGGAGCCCAGGACTAACCGACATTATTGCCACTTCAGGAGTGGTTATTATTAGTTACGCAACACACAATACGCCGCACACAGACCCTTTACACCCCCGTGGTCAGCATTATGCCCGTGTGAGGCAATTATTAAGATGTTTATCTTAACTTGAAGGTTTAACAGCATGCTAGCTCTGCGTTATTTACTTCGTACACAACTGACGACTGGGATTTGATGTATCATTGTCACGTTAGGTTTACAATTTCCTTAAAACAAATTGATAAAACAAAATTGATAAAAAACATTAAAATAAGCTAGACTTATGTTTGTGGACAAACACAGGGCTGTTTCGGTAACATTTCTTGTGACATATATGTGACATAGTTTCAAGTATAAGTTCCATCCAGGAAGGATGTGTAGTATATATTAAATGGTGGCATATAAATATGTGATTACATTCTCGTAGGGCTTTGAATTATGACGTCCCATGTCACGTGATGACGTCATGATGACGTCACGTCAAAATAGAAAATAATTTGTTATTGTATTTTTATGTCATGTAAGGCTGATAGGACAACATGTGCGGTAGAGTGATCAGGACCAATACAGTTCTGTAGATATTGGCATTCAAAATATGCACATTTAATATGACATCACATGATGACGTCATGATCTCATCGTGACGTCACTTCAATTTTCATCTATAACACATCCCGGTCTAGGTACGTACCAAGTTTCAACCCAATCAGACCTGTAGTTATGTAGATGTAGGCCTTCAAAATATGCTCATTCAATATGACGTCACATGTCACGTGATGATGTCATCGTGACGTCACTTCAATTTTCATCTATAAAACATCCCGGTCTTGGTACGTACCAAGTTTCAACCCAATCTGACCTGTAGTTATGTAGATGTAGGCCTTCAAAATATGCTCATTCAATATGACGTCACATGTCAAGTGATGATGTCATCGTGACGTCACTTCGATTTTCATCTATAAAACATCCCGGTCTTGGTACGTACCAAGTTTCAACCCAAATCGGACCTGTAGTTCTGTAGATATTGGCCTTCAAAATATGCACATTTAATATGCCGTCACATGTCACCTGATTACGTCATCGTGACGTCACTTAAATTTTCATATATAACACATCCCGGTTTAGGTACATACCAAGTTTCAACCCAATCAGACCTGTAGTTCTGTAGATAGGCCTTCAAAATATGCACTTTCCGTTTCGGTTACGATAGTTTCATTTTCTGCAAACCTATAAATCAGTTTTCAGTAAAAGCCTTTCATTAATTTGTATTCATACAGATGGGAGTTTTTATTTATACAAACTACCGTACGGTATTATTTGTACTTTTTCGCAATTAACATTAATAAATGCAGTAATTTTTGCGCAGAATTATGTGCTTATATATTTTCAAGGTAGCCCCAACCCAACCTTGAAATATGACAAGTAAATATTTGAAATCTGAAGCATTTACTCCTTTTTATTCATAAGAAACGAAGTAAACGCTTATAGTGTAGCAAAAGCTTAAAGGTAAAAAGTAATTATTTTCAGATTTTAGCAAATGGTTTTTAGTAAAAGTGTATGCTTAATTTTCATTCATACAGATGCGAGTAAATGCTTCAAAAGTGGTAGTAAAAGCAAATGCCATGTTTTATTCATACAAACATGGTATCATTTGTACTTTATGAACTTTAATAAATGCAGTAATTTTTGCGCAGAATTATTTTGCTTTATAATATCAAGGTTGCCCCAACCCAGCCTTGTAAATGACAAGTGCACATTTGAAATCTGAAGCATTTACTCCTTTTTATTCATACGAAACGAAGTAAACGATTATTAGGCCAAAAAAGGCTCTGGTTTCTGGTATGCGCGCGCGTCGCCATAGCCATGCGCGTCGGCAAAATTAAAAAGGTTTTTTTTCAATGTAAGATGATGTCTCAAACCACCAAACTCACTGGTTCGACTGGAATCCTGCTGCTGCACAATTTTAACGTGTTTTTAGATGGGGTTACGATCGAGGATAAGCTTTTTTATGTGGCCTTTCTGGCCTCCCATATATTTTGCACAGAATACAATACTGCTGCTAGAGGGCGCTCTAACATGTTATGACGTCACCGGAATTTTTTTTGTAAAGAACAACCTAGCCACAGGCTAACATCGTCGCAAGCAAGATCACATCTTTTTCCAATTTCAAAGTATAAGGCACTTCGAATTACTTCCAGTTAGGACCAGAAGGAAGGGTCACGTGATTTTGCTCACACAAGATAAAATGAAGATCCTGGATTATTCTATCAATTCCCGCAAACGTCAAGTTCGGGTCTCTCGATCACGGCTGATTTTACACTGATTTTCAAAGATTAAATCTATTAATCTTTAACGTGACCAGGGCTCGATTTACAAAAAAAAGGGGCATGCACTGGTGCATGTAGACCAAAAAACCTACATGCACCAAGAAAAACCCACATGCACCATAATTGATTTACACCCGTCTGCTTCTCTGAAGGCATTCTTTCTCTTTGATTTATCGAACTTTCGATGGACAGTACAGTACATAGCCTTTTTTACTCTATCATTGCCAAGCCTAGACCCGTGAACGTGGCGTTGTATACAACGCCACGCTGTTGTGGCATTTCGAACATGGCGAAATCGTTCCGCCATACATAATTTCGTACATATGTTCAGTACTCGCCTAGAAATCTAAATTTGCCTTCCCGCGTGTTCAGGATGTGTCATTTCGACGAAATGTGCCGTCGATGAAGACCCATACGAACGTGTAGAAATTAGATTTTAACCTGACAAGTGATCCTGACAAATGACCCTGTACAAGTACCCAGGGTCATTTGCGTGCAAAATTATCGGAGCCCTCCGAGCTACCCGTCTGCTTCATGTGGCGCATATGATAGGCGGCGTCAGATTGGTCAATAACGAGACCACGTGATAAACGCAGCTAATAATTTGGACTTATGATGCGGACATAAGGAATGCCCGGCCGGAGCGTCAGTGCGATACCAAATTATCCGCAGCATGTATGACTGACGTGGTAAATCACATGCATGATCGGAGGAGGTTGCAGGACGTCGAGATCCTGCCGAATTTTACCTCGTACTGTGAATCTGCTGCGACAGTGCGAGCATGGTGCGAGGAATAATTTATGGATTTATAAAATAAATAACACGTTTGTACACTATCTGGTCAAGTATTCAACAAACTTTATTCTTATTCTCACTCACTGGTAAATATATGCATGAAATGAGTATTTTGGTGGCTAAAAAAGTTACATGCACGTCGTGCATGCTCAGTAAAATAGGTACGTGCACAAGCAAAAATCTACATGCACTGGTGCATGCGTGCACCCAGGTAAATCGAGCCCTGAACGTGACCCATAATGACGTCATGATGATGTCACTCTTTGGGACACAACTATGCTATAAGGACTATGCCCATGCTGACTTTGAATGATGTATGACAAAGATTCATGCAAAAAGTGGCGTTAAGAAAAGACGTATACAAAAATTATGGGGTTTAGGCGACAAAAAGAAGAAGAAAGAAAAACCAGCACAAAAAGAAAGGCTTTTCCGCAACTATGCGGAAAAGCCAAAAAGACTAGATGTATGTTTGTTGACAAACATAATTATGGCTGGTTCGCTATTGTGTTTTTTATGTCATGTTATATAGACTACCTGAAGATAATAGATGTGAATTCGAAAGTTGCAAAATCATGAGGACAAATGGTTCAAAGACATATGCGTAAAAATGCAGATTGGATTGAATGTCTATTAATTCTTATCTGATGACGTCATCATGACATGACTGATATTGTGATCGATATCATATTGAGGTATAGGTAGAAACTATGTTTGTCAACCGAATGGAACTTGTAGCATGTCGCATGTGGTCATATCAACAGAAACTGTACACAAT